TTTAATAAATTGTTTCCTAAAAAAGAGAGACTTTAGAAATACATCAACCACATGTAATGTGTGGACCTTGTTTGGATCTTGCTGTACACAAGCTAGCTGTTAAAAAACATTGTGAGACACTTGGAGGAATTTGAACACTAACTGCATATTTGATGATAATTAAGAGATTATTAGATTTTTAGGTAGCACAGTGATACTATGGCAATATTTTCAAAAAGAGGTCTTAATCTTGCCCTGACTGGTGTGGTTCAGTGGGTTGGGCATTGTCCCGCCAACTGAAAGTTTGCTGGTTCAATCCCTCGGGCACATTGATGTTTCTCTCCCTCTCTTTCTCACTTCCTTTCCCTCTCTCTAAAAATAAATAAATATTTTTTTAAAAAGACATTTTATCTTTTAGAGCTACATACTGATGTGTAAATAGATATTATAAGTAATATCTTGAATTTGCTTGAAAATAAGCAGAAGCAGAAGGATGGCTAAAACAAGACTAGATGAGCTGACGGCTGCTGTAGCTGGGTGATGGGCGCCTGGGAGAACGGGCATTCTCCTCTCTACCCTCTGGGTGTGTTTAAAAAGTTGCATAATAAAACCTTTTTAAAACCATAGCAAATCCCAGTTGTATGTTTTTTTTGGCAGGGGGGCAATTTACGATCCCTCTCTTCTTCCCCCACAACCTAACCAAACAATATTATGCCGTGATGACGGAAACCATAAACATTGAACCCTTAGGCTAAAGGGACCTCAAGAAGTCATCGTGGCTTTTTCTCCCCTATCAAGCGGAGGATCTGAGGCAGAGGAGAACCACAGCACACGTGCACACTGCCCAGCACAGGAGACAAAGTGTGCCTCTTCGGAGAGCCATTAAAAGAGAAACATTTCCTAGGGACCTGGATGAGGCAGGGTACCATTTACCCATAGTCTTTGGGGTACATGCCAATGTGAGGTATCTACACAGCTTGGGTGCCCTCCCTAAAAGAGTAGACTCATAACAGATGCTCCTGTGGACTCCCTGAACTGCCCGTTTCTTGCCTTATCCCTGTCTAGCATCGTCACAGTTACCTGTGGCTCTCCTGGCCAGCTGACCCGACTGCAGCTCCTACTGGAATCTTCAAGTATGAATTCCTAAATAAATCAAGCCTGCCTCTTTCTTATTCCAGGGTCCTGCACTAGTGCAGGCTTACACCGTCTAGAAACTCTCATGAGACAGATACAAGGGGTTGTAAAAATAACCTGGCTGGGGCCTCCTGACTTAACATGTCACCCAAGAAGCCCTCTAGGTCTGGAGCTTTCCTAGCTCACAGGGAAAGAAAAGTCGGTCATTCCTTCTGGCCCTCGCTCACCATTTCAAGATGTAACCTGTAATCTCCAGGCCACATCTCGCTTACTGTGCTATCCCTTTTAGGCAAAATGCTGCATTTCAGCAAGGACTCCGTGGAGAAATGAACTGTATCTTTGATAAGGAGTTTTTGGGCACTCCTTGGGGTAGCTTTTAGAGGAAGAAAAGCCGTTTACTATCCCTTATGGGCTCACTTATCTGTTCCTACTTAGGCTGATGAAACGATGAGGGCCTCAAAGGTGAGGCCCCAGGTGTCATATACACAAAAAGGGCAAAGTTCAAAAATTAATTTATAGGGCTTGCTTCTCTTCCTTCTTTGACCCCTAGCAATTGAAGCAATAGGTACTTCTCAGACTAATACTAGCCATCTCTGAAAAGCAGTATAGTGTAGGGGTGAGCACATGGCCCTCCCACGTGCGAGCTATGGGACCTCAAGTTTTCTGTGCTTCAGTTTATTACCTGTAAAAAGGGGGTCATAACAGCATGTACCTCAGCAGGTTGATCAGAAAGTAAAATAGTCCTGTATACGTAAAGTACTTAAAGCAATGCCTGGTTGGCGTTAGCTCGTCGTGTTATTTCATTATTACCAAAGACCTGCCTGTGCTGTCGTCACTGGAAAGAAAGGATAAGAATGGAAGGGGTGGACGCTTGGAAACAAGATGAAAAGTGTTGAAACTCTGTGGCCAAAGCTTAGGAACACATCTATTTCTATCTATGTCCACTGTGTTTGTCAATGATTTAGAAATAGAGACCAAGATATCCTGAGATATGGATCAGAGGTAGAGCAGGACACTAGACATCCTTCTACTGCAGAAACACACACAGAAAGGCCGCTTGTGTGTGACGATGGAAACCCCACGGGCATTAAAGGAAACAGCAAGTCTCTGTCAGCCCTGCTAGCCAAACGCAGCTCCACAAGCCACAGAAAAAAGCCAAGAGCCGCTGTTTCGTTCTTTCACTGTTAATAACTGGCACTCATAAAATTTCGGCTCTTATAATGTTTTATATTTGCCTAGACGTTTTGTATTATTTAGTAAAGAGCACAATTTTAGAATAAAAATAATTAACTGAAGAAGTCCAGAGAGCCCTTTCAACAGCCTTTTTAAACTTTATGAATAATTACCTACCACACTCTTTCAAATTTTTAGTTTTTAGAGGTCTAGCCATGAGGCCATTTCTTCTATATGAGCTGTGCATACATATTTAGAAAACTTACTGTCTCATAATAATTAGAACATGTTTGTTGTTAACAATCAGCGTTGCGTCTTACCCTCCTTAGTGATGGCTACCACAATGCCGGGAGAGCGCACAGCGTGGATGAGCCCGAGAACGAGGGAGACCGCCCAAAGGGCCTGTTGTCTGCTCTGCCGGGACCCTGGGGGCTATTAATTATTTATCGACTTTTCAAAGTTAATAAATAGGAATGTCTTTTGCCCTTTATTCCCAGATGAATTTAACTAAATGAGAGGTGGGGGTGTGTGTCTGCAGAGTTAGCCATCTGAGAACATGGGAGGTGCAGGTAATGGAAAGGAGACTTTTAAAAAATCAGATGTATTTAATGCCTATTAAATATGCACATCACTGCTTTATCTGGCATGTTTTTCTTATGATTAAATTCTTATGAATATTTTGATGGTTTTAGAGTGTACTTTTAAAAATATGAGTGCTTTAAAAATATAACATTTATTAATACAAAAGAAAGCAAAATTCAAATAACAAGTCGTCACACACACACACACACACACACCCCTTATATATAGTTAGGAAATGTGAACACTGAAGAAGAAGATCAAATGTAAAAAATAAGAACCTCCCTCCTCACCACCCCAGTCCTTCCAGCCAAAGGTTAATCACTGTTTATGCTTTTCTTTCCTATAAGGAAAAAAATGTATGCACATATATTCATTTATTTAACAAAATGAATCACATTATACACATGTTCTGTTACATGCTTTTTTACTTAATAACACGACTTGATACTATTTCCGTATCAGCACATGTGACTACCACATTCTGTTTGCTCTTACAATTCTTCAGTTCATCTTTGCACACACAGCTTAGTGTTAACATGTGTTTGGGTTTTGTTTTCTCAGTGTGACCTACCACGAAAGTTGGTGCAGCAAGTACAAGCTACTCCAAGCAGTCCTATCTCAGCTGCGTGGGGAGGGAAGAACAATCTAGTTACCTTGGTTTATTTGAGCTCCTTCAGAAAATTTCCTGAGAGCCTGTGAGTTCCACCACATGGGTCTCAGGAACAGCTTGAGGGGACTCCTGAGAAAAGGACCTTTTTCAGGTGAGTGAGGTGACTCTTTCTACCTGTTCACTTCCGGGTGTAAAGGCTCCTGTGACCACGCAAGAGTCCTGTCTCTGCACTCAGATCCACCTGGTGGCCGCCCGCACCCCACTTGCGGAGTGTACCGAATGTTCGTGGCATGAATGGAATGCTTGTAGAAGGGGGGACAGACCCAAGTGCTGGAGAGCCGGGCGTGGAACAGTAGGCAAAATGGCCAGATGACCATGCCCTGCACTCTCTTAGGCAGCTTTGGGAGCTCCCTGCTTATGGAAGAGCAATATTCACAGGTGTCGGCCTAGAGGTGCACAGGAACTCAGGTGTCGGAGTGGGGTCAAAAAGTGACTGCGGAGTTCACAGCTCAGAAATAGCAATAATAATAAAACCATCTCCTATCTTTGCTCTCAGTGGCTTCAAATCCTTCTGGAAATGAGGGAGGGTTTAAATTATATTTCAAAACCTTTCAGTGTAGTATTTTTCCAAATATTTGTTATTTCAGTTGACTCACACATCAATTCTATGAGGCAAGTAGGCCAGTGTCACTCACTGTCTCCACTTCAAAGATGAAATGACTGTGGAGCTGCAAAGTTAAATGACCTGCCGAAGGCCAATCGGCTGTGTTCTAGCTCCGAGAACTGGGCTCTTTCCTGCATTCTCCCCAGCCCACCCAAGTCCAACGCGTCCAGCACGCCCGGTTCAGAACTCCAAACAAAGCAAAGCTAAGGATGAAGCGAGAGAAGTAAATATAAATATATCCCTTCCCACGGATGCCTGAAATCCTGAAACCTACCTCTTCCTGACAGAACTTTAATAAATTGAATAAAATCAATGTTGTTAAGTACCAGGTTGAGATACCAAACTTAAACCTTGGCAGAAGAATAACAGTCTCTATTAGTTTTACAGAGGCATCTGTGAAAATTTGGTTTTATATTTTATTATAAACACCATACTATCTCAGCTTTTTAAAAAATTTAGTGGCTCTTAATTTTTATAGTTAAGACACTGCTTTGCACAGTACTAGTGATTTGTTATTTATATGCCTAACACCTATTTCTTGAGTTTCAGTCAGTCAGGAATGTCCTAGGTGAGTGTTTTTCAAACTTTGTTGAAAATGACCTAAATATACATTCCATCTCTTTTTTCTCAAAGACAACCTCAACCTTTCCCCCTAAATCCATCTCAGGCTTTTCCAGGAAGAGGGTGGAAAGGGGAAGGTAAATCAAGGGGACTAAGGCCTCGAATAGGCTCCCCTCTGATGACCTGACGAAGAGGTCTTAGCAAGTTTAAAAAAAAAAGAAAGAAAGAAAGAAAGAAAAGGAAAAAAGACATCACAAGCAGCCTTCAGAACTGGAGGCCTGCGCAGACCATACTCACGAGGAGGGACGGGAGGCTGGCAGTCAGGCAGGGCTCCCCTGAGGAGGTCCCAAGCGAGCGGGGCCTGGAAAGGCCGACTGCAATCAGAAGGGTGGAGAGAGAGCGCAGGCTGCGATCAGAGTGCATGTGGACTTCATAAATTCAGACACCTAGCAAGATCAGTCTGGATCGCACAAAACACAGAAGAGCTGGGCTCCCCACAGGGAGCCTAGACAGCCATTCTGTCCAGTTTCTCTTTCCTTCTATCCTTGTATTGTCCTTACGTGAAGTGGGAGCCTTGCCTGCAGCTACCACGGATTCCTTCCTTGATAAAAGCTGTGGACTTTACTCAGAAGCTTGTCCTCAATCCTGCTATGGGCCCACAAAATTATTATGAACGATTTTTTTTTTTTTTTGGTTTTTTGGCCAAAGTTAAATTTTGTATAAAGAATAACAATAAAATGAATAATAAGGGTGTCTCGAGTTAATGTATAAGCAGGATCTCGGACGGTGTGAACTAATAATCCCAGCTCTGCTGCACACAGGGACGGTGCCCTATGAACCCGAGCGAGGACTCAGGTCCCTCCCGGGTGAGCCCGAGCATGAACGTGTCACCTGGCCATTGCACAGCCCCCTGGCCGCGGGGTTCAGAGCTGAGGACCACGGGGCTCAATCTCTGCGGGGCCTGCCCTGGTCTTCCTGCCCCTCCTTCCGGTCTGAGAATCCACAGAGCCCCGATTCTTGCCTAATGTCTCACAAGCATCATTTTTTTATTCTTTTTCTATTCAAAAGGGCTGTCTCCCTTTTTGAGGGAGTTACTCTGCACTATTAATACCATAAAACTCAGGGGTCTAAGATGCGTTAGGCGAGTCTCTAGCTTTCGGACAGGGAAACTACTGGAAAGATTTTTTTTTTTCCCGATTTCCAAGAAAATGTGCGCACGTATCAGGCGTGTATACTCCCGACCACATACATGGAAGTAATTGTCTGGGGTCATGTCGAGCTGACGGCCATTCACCTATGGTCACGATTCAGCGCAGTTTCATGTCCACAGGACCAGGTTAAGCCACGGTGACTCAGAAGTCTCACAGTTCACCCCAAAATTCGAGCCTGGATCTGGTGTGGAGCCTGAACTCTCCGTAGGAAGCCTGTCTGGGAGGCAACTGCCCGCCCTGCGTTCCTGCCACCGAGCCTGGGCGGTGACTCAGGAGGCCGCGGGACGCGAGACCGGGTTCTGGGCCGGCCGAGAACGCGCGCAGCCCGCAGCGCCGGCCCTCCCCGCCCTACACACCCACAGCCCGTCGGCGACTCGTGGTCCCCGCCAGGTGCTGCTCTGACAGGTTCTCTCTGCTTCCGGGGTCGGGCCCGGGTCCTCCCGTCCGCTCCTGTCAAACCTCCCGGGACGGCCCCGGGCCGACCGCGCCTGCGGCACCTGGCTGTGGAAACGGGAGTTTGTCCGCACTGCACGGCGGGGCGGGGGTCCCGGTGTGAGTCCCGGTCACCACGGAGCCAGCGACAGCGCCTGCCCTCCTCAGGCGCCCTGAGGCGCTGGCGACACCTCGCGCCCCGCTCGCCCCCCGCCCCTCGCCCCCGGCCGGGGATGGAGAACGCGCCGCCGTCCCTCCGCGCGTCTGACACTTGTAGGTCACACGGGGTCCTCACGCACACACTCGCGCACACGAACACAGCCCTCCGGCGCGCCGCCGGCCTCCGAAAGCCGGGACAGACTTACTCCTGGCCGAGGCGGCCCCGCCAGGCGCCGGGAGAGGCCGGGCCCCGTTCCCGGTCGGGCCGGGGTCGGGTCGGGCTCCGCCGGCCCGTGGGCACCCCGCCCCTCACGGTCCGGCCGGCCCCCGGCGCACGTGCCGGGTGACAGGCCCCCTATAGGTTCCATACCTGCCACCGGAAGTGAGTGAGGAGGGCAGTATAGGCATTTCCTGTGACGCGAGCGCCTGGACTCCATTAGGCAGCAGCTGGGGGAAGAATCAACACACCAGGGAGCGGAGCGGAGCGGACCCGAGCACAGAGGCGGCAGCTGCCTCCGCTGCCGCCCGTCGCCGCCGCCGCCACCGCCGGGGCTCAGCCCAGCGGCGGGCCCCGCGCCCCCGCAGCCGCCCCGCCGCGACCCCCGGGCCGCGCACCCCGAGCTGCCTCCGGGAGGGGGGGGGGAAAGGGCCCGGATCCTCCTTCTCCCCCTCCTCCTCTCCCTCCTCCGCCCCTCCTCCCCCCCCGACCCTGACCCCCGCCCCGGCCCCCCTCACCCCGACCCCCGCCCCGGCCCCCGCCTCCCCTCCCCCGTCTCGCCCCCCCCCGGCTTCCCACCACGGCCTCTCTCGGCGAGGAAACTCTGGCCTCCGCTTCCTCCTCCTCCGACTCGGACACCGGCGGAGCCTCCCCGCCCCCGCGGAAGAAACCCCGAGCCTCGGCGGCGGAGGGAGCAGGAGAGCCCGGGGCTTCGGCAGGCAGAGCAGGCCTCTCCCCTCCGTCCTCGTCGTCCTCGTCCTCGTCGTCCTCGTCGTCCACCTCCTCCTCCTCCTCCGTGGTGGTAGTGGTGGGACTCCCCCCGGCTGCTGCCCCTTCCGCCGCCGCCGCCGTCCCCCACCGAGGTAGCGGCCACAGCCTGGTCAGCGGCGGCATCATGCAGGCCAACGGGGCAGGAGGAGGAGGAGGAGGTGGCGGCGGCGGCGGAGGAGGGGGCGGCGGGGGCCAGGGACAGACCCAGGAACTCGCCTGCCTGTCGGCCCAGAACGGGGAGTCGTCCCCCTCGTCGTCGTCGGCCGCGGGGGACCTGGCCCACGCCAACGGGCTCCTGCCTTCCGCCCCCTCCGCCGCCAGCAACAATAGCAACAGCCTGAATGTCAATAACGGGGTCCCCGGCGGGGCCGCCGCCGCCGCCGCCACCGTCGCAGCTGCCTCCGCCACCACGGCCGCCTCCTCTTCCTTGGCCACCCCAGAACTGGGCAGCAGCCTCAAGAAGAAGAAACGGCTCTCCCAGTCGGACGAGGACGTCATTAGGCTAATAGGACAGCACTTGAATGGCTTAGGGCTCAAGTAAGTATCCTTTACAGGCAGCTGCTGGGGACCGACCGAGGGACGGAGGCTGCGGGGGAGGGGGCCGCGAGGGGATGTCTGCGGGGCACGCAGGGCCCGGGACGCGGGAGGACGCAGCCCAGACTGGCCGACCCGGGAGGAGGAACTGACCGAAAGGGAAATAAGGGGAAATCAATCCGTCTGACAGATGGGGAGACGGGACAGGCGGGTGGGGGTTTGGGGCCGGGGTGGTAGGAACCAAAAGATCCCCCCTCCCTACACACCTTCAGAGCCTAATTGTCTGTCAATAAAGACATGTCGAGTGTGTCTCTGTGTGTGTTGGGGGAGGGGTGGATGAGAGCTGGTGGAAATAATGAACCTTGGAGGATTTGTTTTTCAAGTATATCTCAGAGGCATCTTTGTGGGACACCTCCCCACCCCCAGCCGTGACAGACAGCCCAGGCCAACTACCAATCAGGAAAGACAATCACCTACAAGTGTTTATGGGAACGGAGGGGCTGGGATCCTTCGGCAGGAGGTGGTTGAATAAATCTGATGGGGATAATGAAGTGAGGCACCGTGTTGATGCCATTTGAAGGCCCTTGTGTGTGAACCAGAGGCCCACCCGTAACCCGGCTGAAATCCCGGTGTAATGCCGAGGGGATGGTTGCCTTTGAAACAGGGACATCTGATCTGGTGAATCATTTATTGTCCAACACCATTTAGTAGGTGGCCTTGCGTACCTAAAATAGGGTGGAGGTAGACGGCGACCTTGGCCCCAAATCGCCGTTTTGTGTACACACAAAGAGAAACGGACGGGCTGGAAGGGGGGATTGGTGGGAGCCCCAGAATCAGACTAAGGGGGAAAACGTGCAACAGTCAGTTCCCTAGCCTCACAGCGCAGATTAAAATGAGCTCTTCTGTCAGCCCCTGCTGTCGTTTCAGGATTTACAGATTTGGTCTGGGGACGGGGGAAAAGAGCACTTTTGAAAAGTGGCCTAAGTATTTTGATTCTCAGGCAGATTGAGTGATTGCACTGTTGAGCTGAAAAACAAATAGGGCTGAATAAGAAAGCCTTGAAACATAAACAGATATGTAAGGCTGATAAAGGAAGGTTTTTAGGTATCACAATGTCTGGTGGAAGAAACTACCTTTGATGAGTCTTTTACACTCTCCGAGAGAAATATAGGAAGATTTGACTTTTGTTTACAGGAAGAAAAAAGAATTAGTATGAAAACAGGTTTTGTAAATGCTAACTGTATCACTGAGACAAGAAGCAAGCTGACAGCAGCAGGAGGAAATAACCCGTGACTGTTTGGAACCTACACCATAGTAAATTTGCTATTTTTAGTATAGAGAGAAAGGGAATGATTTTTGATGCTGGATTTATTTTAATTTTAAAGACTGACCTACTAGAATTTCTATGCAAACCTGCCATCTGGATGTAAGGCTCTTCCCTAACACAGGGCATCTCTGTCACCTTGTATAGAGCTGACAATTTTTTTAGCTTTCAAAAATGTAACAGTGTTAGTATGTAGATCCTGGTTTTTCCAGTTATTTAACCATTTGGTTACAAAATGTTTTTAGAAATTTTATACTTCATTTAGACTTCTGAGGCATTAAATGGCAAAAATAGGAAGAACTTTACTTTGATTTTAGTTTCAGGAAGGTTTTTACTTGATTAGACAGAAATGGAAGTAGCAGTTTAAAAATCAAGTTGGTTTAGCCAAGCAAATTAAAGCTATTTATTTCTTTTTTCTTCGTTAGATTAGCTTAAAAACTTTGGCAACTGTTTTCATAGACGTTAGTTTATTTGGAAGAGTAAACCCTGAAGTTGGTCAGGTCTTTTTTACACTGTATCTCTCCTGCAGCCAGACTGTTGATCTCCTCATGCAAGAGTCAGGATGTCGTTTAGAACATCCTTCTGCTACCAAATTCCGAAATCATGTCATGGAAGGAGACTGGGATAAGGTAAAGTAGGGCCTATAGAGCTGTGTGACTGCTGCTAAAATTATATATTTGACGTGCATGTTGTGACATTTCTGTTTTTCTCTTATACCAATTTTTGCAGGCAGAAAATGACCTGAATGAACTAAAGCCTTTAGTGCATTCTCCTCATGCTATTGTGGTAAGAGGCGCACTTGAAATCTCTCAAACGTTGTTGGGAATAATTGTGGTAAATACACTTTTGTTCTTAGTTTCACATTTATGCTTATTTTAGTAGGTTATTGATAACTTTAGGCTTCTGCTTCTTATAAAAGATAAGGCCTAAAAAGAGTGGAACTTCATGTAATTAAGTTTGTAAACTAGGATGAGTGTTGATGATGTTTTAAAGTTTGAGTTTTGTATTTTTAAAATCATGTAGTAAGTGTGATTTGAACCACATTTATAAATTAAGCTTCTATAAATTTGAAAGGTCATGCTTTTTAGTGCTATTAGTAGGAGTTTTGTACTTCTAAAATCATGGTTAAATTATACTTTATATTATTTAAACTACTGAATGTGCTGGTAAAGAATGTGTTTGGGTGTGTGTATATATAGCCTTAAGTAGCTGATACTTTAATTTATTTAAATCTTTGGAAATTATAGTTCATTCAAACCAATTCCATTGGTGTGCTCACCATTTTCCATTCTTGCATTCCAGTTGTGTGAATTGACAGTGTCAAAGTTTGTGTAATATTTATGACTCTTGTGGGGGGTTTGTATGTAAATTTGACCATTGGGCTCTGCTTACTGGCCTTATTTCCCCAACAAGATCAGTTTAGTAGTTTGCCTGTTAGCCTCTTCCATAAATCTTAATGAGTCTTTTATACTGATAGGCTTTAATTCTTCAGTAGATGTTGGTGAGAGAGGAGGGGATAAGATCTTTTCATAAGTGCTTGTGATTGGAAACCGTGAAGAATCAGCTGCTCGCCTCTGCCTACTGGCTTTTTAACTTCTAGCTGATTGATTTGTTGTCAGAAGCAGTTTCCTGTATGATGGGGGAGGGAAAGAGGGTGAAGTGAAGTAGGGAAACCAGCTGTTTGTTAAATATTAGTAATGAGTGTTACTTTTGATTTTTTAAAATTGGGTCAGACGTTAATCTTTCTGCCTTTGTCTATTAACCTGATAGAGTCTCCTGTTTTTGTTCTTGGGGTTTTAAACAATCCTAATTACACAAGAGTTTTCGAATTCTTAATGTAATTTTATACATTAATATCCTAGAGAATGACCTTCAGGTGAACTAAGGTGCAAACAAATAATGAACAGATAAGGGTTAATTTAAATCGATGATCTTCGTATTATCTTTTTCCTTTAGTAAATATTTAAAATACTAAAATTTCTAACTTACTATTACTGAATCAGATGATAATTGATTAACTCATGGAATAATCAATTCCATGGTAAATTTTAAAAATGAAAACACAGAAGTTAAAATAAATAAGCATCTACATTCAAACGGATTATAAATTTCCCAGTGGCTAAATTTTCCCCAATTAGTGTGTTTGGAGTGTTAAAAAGAAAAATATCTAAGTATATTTTAATTGGTCAGTTTTTCATTAATTGTTAGCTCTGACAGAATGAAAGGTGACCCTTAAAATAAAGGCAATTAAATGGCCAAAATAAGAATTGCACAAGTTAGCACCAGTTGTGTGGTGACAGTCAAGGACTTGCCCAGGGACTATTTTAAATAAGGGTGTGATTTCTTGGAGGACTGTTTTCCTTTTTTTAAGCTTCACCCAAATTATATCTATAATTTAGTGGTAAAAATTTGCATAGGCTCACTTCCTATTTTTTTATGGTTTTATAGTAAATTGAGACTTCTGTATTGGATTAGAGTATGATTATATCTCATTAGAAACCTTCATTAGAAGCAACATGTAAACTGAAGAAAGGTAGTTGTAGATAATAAGGAGGAATCCTTTCTTTTTACAGCCTGTTCAGTCTATAGAACATTCTAGGATCTAATAAGAGATGAAGATTAAATCTCTGGCTGAGCCTCCCACCATCAAACTGTTTAGGTATTTATACAAAGAAAGGGGTTCCAGTTTTATCTCACTTTAAGCATTGACGAATCAATTGCTTTTAAAGATTCAGTTCAGCATTTTTTTCACCTTTCTAATTATGTTTAGATATACTTCTCTCCCCGCCTCCATCTCCAGAAGATAATCTAATGTAAGCATGAATTTGTAGTAACACCTTAGAAAACAACTATTTAGTTTTGTTTTTATTTTTACATAATTATTTTGACTATATACTCAGACACACTTGATGACTTAGTCTAGACTAAAATTGTATTTTATTTTTAAACCTAAATGTCTTTATTGACCTAATCCACTCTCCATTCTTCCCTGTGCACCTCCTCCCAACCCCCCACCCCCATATTTTTAAATGGCCTCCAGTTAACTGATACTGGAAATGGCAGGATTTGCTCTGAATTTTCTGAAAGCTGTGCTCATGAATCAATATTTTTTTAGTGTGGGTTCAAATATGCTTAGCCATGTCTGAGAAATTGGGATGGGTATTTGAGGTCAATAACATAAAACTTTTGTATGTCTAAAAATGTTGGATCCTTTATTTTTCAATATGAAGAAATATACTAGTTCTTTATTTTTCAATATAAAGAAATATACTAGTTCTTTATTTTTCAACATAATAGAAATATACTTAACAAAAGTGTTCAAATATTAGTGTAAAAAAAGAACTAGTATATTTTAAAGTATAGGGAGGTGTTTTGAGAGCCATAGTTTAAATATAATTCATTTCCCCTTTCCTCTGACTCACTTAGTTGATATAACTTGCTTATAACCTTATTCCAGAGTTAGTCAGAACTACTGCTAAGTTGGCTAAGAGGCTGTCCTTGATAAACAGACTTCCTGTGTATCGTAACTTCTGAGTTTTTCTTTCACGTTGAGTTCAATGTAATTATGTGGGAGGAAAGGATGAAACGGTGCAAATACTGGGTAGGATCGGAGAGCAACAGCCAGATTGACCATGCGAAACTGTCTTTCAAGCTCTCCTAATCACTTTTCAATTTCAAGTTTCTGTGAGATAGGAAAAGAAAGAAACACTGCTGGGCCCAAAGATGCTGCAAAATTACCAGAAACCAGAAACAATCTAAAAAATTAAGAGTTAGGGAAAGATAGAAAGGAGAGTTTATTTTCTTTTTTTTTCTTCATTTAAGAAGCTCATGATCTTATAAGAAGCCATTAGTAAAGCTTTGAGCCCGCCTCAGCAAACTTCAATTTTGCTTATTTTTAAAAACTTTTTTAGTAAGTAATTAACATCATTTTTTAAAGATGTTTATTTTCTTGAAACTGTATTTGCACTTTTGTGCCTTAAATTTTGGGAAGTAAACTACAGTTTTACTCTCCATTCTAACCATGTGTATCAAATACTTGAATTTAACTGATTTTAAGGAGAAGAAACATTTTCTCTCTCAACCAAAATCTCTTTCTGTGCTTGGCCAGCAACATGTGTGGTGCCATGTAGACCACAAAGATTTGATATCTGATGATACTCTTTGTCTTAATCTGGATAAAATGACTCATAGAAAAATGTTCTTGCAGTGCTTTTATAGCATTCCCTGTATACAGAAAAACGTGTTTATATTGGCTTCTCTCAAAGTTTTACCCTGCCTTCCTCTTCTCCCCTGCCCTGCCTCTGCCCCACAGAAAGAGAATAGCATGTTCTAGCAGGATCTTGGTGGGAAAATAAGGGGGAAGTGGCACTTGGGACACTGTCCCTACACACATTGGAATGGGGGAGGGGTGTGCATAGGACTTAATGACTGATACCCAATAAATAAATAAATGATAAATAATGAGCCCTAAATAAAAAAATTCCCCCAAATTCCTAACTGCTAAGAAAATTTAGTGAAGAAATTGAATACACATGCTGGCCAGCTCCATGTGGCATTAAAATGAAAAAAAAAATGCTGCAACTAAATATGATTTTCAAGTTGGAATCAAAAACACTGTGGGATATGAAACTTCTATCAGTATGTTGATAAATGGAGATGTGTGACCTCTTCATTTCTAAAGGGTTGAAGTTTTTTTAAGATAAAATGGAATATCCAGAATTAACTTCAAATAGAAAATCCTTTGAATTTTTTTGGGGTTGTTTTATTTATTCTGTTTTTTGTCATCTGATGGACTTTAAAGTATTTTTTAATTTTATACATTGAAGTAAATTTAAGGTTGCACGCACAGCAACACTTCTTAGGACATCTTGGAAGCTAATTTATTTCTGAAACACTCATTTAGTCTATCTAACTTTATGTGTAAAATTTGGTAAGTGTAATTTTTCTAGAGTTATAGGAACTTATCTTAGAGTTTGAAATTTTTTCTATTCTTTTGCTATAGATTTAAGATTACACTATTACCAAACATAAGCAATGTATCATATAAAAGATGAATTTAAATTATGCCTAATTTACATGAGAGCGTTTTTTATTTATTACCTCTAGAAACCATTTTGATAAGTTGGTAGGTGACGCCTTTCTTCTAAATGCTCCCTCATAGAAAAAATCTGACAGAGCAATTATATGATACTCTTAATTCCGTAAATAAGTGATAATTTCTTTAAACCATTTTTTGAGAGCAGTACATATTAATTTGTTGAAGCAGTGAATTTTTTTAATTAAGTGGATTGGAGATTTTCACTGCTATGTTTCTTGGAGCCTCTAAGCACCACTAGTACTTCGTGCCTCCCAACCGTCCTCCCGCCTCCGGCGGCTCGCAGACGATGCACCGCAAGCAGGTGGCCGTGGGGAAGGCCCTCCACCCGCAGGACCCTGGGTTAGACTGAGGGTTTAGAAGGGATTCCAACCCTGACAGTCACAGACATCTCTTTTCTGGAGCAAAAAGCTGCTAAGATTGTGGCAATCACTTTCAAGTAAAAAATAAAATAATACAGTAAAAGAAATAAACTATTAAAACGAAACACCTTCCAGAAAAAAAATCTAAATTTTAAGGTACTTCGTAAGTTGGAAATGGCTTATCCTTTGGAGGGGAAAGAGCTGATAATTGTGCTTCAGGGTTTTAAACACACCAGTGATCAGCGTGTTACAAATTCACAAATGCAAATATTGATACTTTAAATACCTTTAAAAAGTTGATCCTTTATTGCCTCCTATAGGAGTTCATCAAGCTTATGCTTGTCCAGTTGAATCATAGGAAACTCAGTACTTTGCACACCAACCTTTCAGTCCATTTGCTGGGCAGCTCTTCTTATTTTTGATAAGCCAGAATTTGCCACTTTGCAGTTTACACCCCATGGCTCTAGTTCTGCTTTTTGGTCTACTTAGTCATTCCTTCACGTTGTGGGATTTAAATAATCTTCCCATTCACTGAATTTTCTGCAGTCTTTTCAAAACCTGTTGCATAAAATTCCCCCATTGCCCTATTATTATAAAAGTCACACTTTTTTACCCTGGCTGGTGTGGCTCAGTGGATTGAGCACAGGCCTGCCAACTGAAGAAGCGTTGCCAGTTCAATTCCCAGTCAGGGCACATGCCTGGGTTGTGGGGCAGGTCCCCAGTTGGGGGTGTGCAAGAGGCACCTGATAGATGTATATTTTCACAAATTGATGTTTCTCTCTCTTCTCTCTTTCTCCCTCCCTTCCCCTCCCTGTAAAAGTAAATAAATAAAATCTTTTTTTAAAAAAAGACTTTATAAAAAAAGCAAATATAGAATACTTTGAATAGTTCTAAATTTTTATAGAAGAAACAAAATGTTTTGAGGGCAGAATTCATTCTTTCCTGTTTTGATGTCATTAATGATTGTATCTGACTTGAGGTTATTTGTTCGAAATCATTTTATTATTAAGACATGGAATTGAGCACAGTCACATTTAATAGTGACTCTATTAAAATATTTTGAGTCATATTAAAGCTTTATAAAAGTTATTGTCAAAGGGCGTAGTAGAATGGTTTCTACTGTTCTGTTTAGGCACAAACATTTTCTGAACCTTCCATCAACTTTTTTCCCCTGACTGCTGCTTTCTGTCATGTCAGAGGATGAAGTTTTTGCTGCTGCAGCAGAAGTACCTGGAATACCTGGAGGACGGCAAGGTCCTGGAGGCCCTTCAGGTTCTGCGCTGTGAATTGACGCCACTGAAATACAATACAGAGCGCATTCATGTTCTCAGTGGGTAAGGAAGCTTGGTTCTTAGACTCCAGGTCAAGGGAGGGGCTCGCTCTTTTATCAGGGTCACCGTCCAGAGTTCTGTCTCTCTAACATTTTTCCAAGATCTGAATAGTGGTAAAAGCTTAGATAATATTTATCTGGGTAGGTTCACTTGTATGTGTACTATTTTTTGTCATCCTGGGAAGCTTTCCTTGTTAGAATAGAGAGAGATTTAAGTGGGTAAAAGGAAGAAGAAATAGCTATTGCCAGTGAATGGCCATTTCCAAATCTTCTATAGAAATACCTGTGGCAGAATCTTCCATAAAACTAATAAGCAATGAAGTCTCTAGTATTGATGCATATATTCTTTTAATGTATACTTACCAGGTACCAGGTTCTTGCTAAGCATTTCATATGCACAATCTCACTTTATTTTTATGTCAGTACTTTAAAAGTTAAGAGTGCCCAAAGGTTTGGTCTGGACCTCCTTTCTATTCTATCTACATACTCTTCCCAGTAACCTGATTCTGCACCAGGTCTCCCCATACCATCTCTATGTCAGTGGCTCTAAAATTGACCCTCTCACCTAAATTCCCAATGTATGTATCTAATAGCCTGCTTGACAGTCCTTGTTTGACCGAAATGCTCAAAACAAAATTCTTGATTCCAATTGTCCCTTTACCCACTGGTTTAGAGAAAAAAACTTGAGACTCATCTTTGCATTTTTAAAAATCAACTTTGACATGTATTGGCCTAAATCCAAAACGTCCCAGATTTGTCCGTCTTCACAATTTCTACCCTAGTTAAGCCATAAACATCTCCCTCCCTTAACAATACATGTTTCACAGAGCAGCCACAGAAATGCAGAAGCAAAACCATGTATTAACTCATTTCTCTCCGTTCCTTAAAACTTTCCACTGGCTTTCCAGCTCACTTAACATGAAAAATCTCTGCTCAAGCCTACAAGGTCCCTGCTCCTTTCCCTGCCATCCTTACCTTGTTCACTACTGTAGCGACACTAATGCTCAGGCACTTATATTGCCTGTTGCCTTTATCTTAGATGTTCTTCCCCTAATCTCTGCACAGCTGGCTCAGGTCCTCGCCCAAATGCCCTCTTCTGAGACCACCCACCAGGCATTTTCTTGTCACATCACTCTTGTTTTTTTCCTTTAAAGCATTTTTTACTACATGATATGGCCCCAGTATCTAAAGTAATATCTGACACATGATGAGTCTTTAAATAAAAAAGGATAGGCCCAGGGAGGGATAGAGTTCATTTTAGGGTCTTTGCTGATAAGGAAACTGAGCCTCAGAGAAGTGAAGTAACCAGCCCAAGATGTAGCTAATAAATCAGCCAAGATATAAAGCCTGGTTTGACTGATTCTAAGATCGTTGGTCTTTACCTAATAGTACATCATGAGATAGTAAATTCTGCTGGATATTTTCATATTGAGGCTGACAGATTACTTTATTCCAATTACCTTTTTCATAGGTTTCTGATGTCTATATCACCTGAATGACATTCACATGGTGGATTTTTTTTTCTGGTCTAGCAGTAGTACATACAATTTAATCATACAGTTTTTATTCTGACATGAACTTCATCAAGCTTATCCCTGAGTATTCCACATAGGAAAAAGGTCCAGAGATGACAAGATGTGGAATTGGCATCAGAACCCAGTCTAGTGATTTCAATTATAACATGTGACACATTCCAATAAGCACATTCATTTGAAACCTTAAGGTGCAATATTTTCAGAAGGGCACAGAAGCAGTTGTAGGTCACTTTTGTAAAATTTCAAAAGTAAACTATTGTTTCATAAAATTATTGGTAATCAGTTTTACTTCCAAAAAGTTATTTTTGAAACCAAATTTTTATAATATCCAGCTTATAATAGAGTAGCTTAAATCTAACTACTCATGCCTTTTTTTCTTTTTTTTTTTTTTTAAGTTCTCATCAGCTAAGACACTATGTGCTAAATAGCAAGAGAGCAAGTAGTTCGGCTATTGGGTAAAAGGCTATTAAATTATTTAGATGCTAAATGCAGTGTGCTTTATGCATTGGAGAAAAGGAGGAGGTGACACTCAGAGTAACTGAGAGGGTTCTGGTACTTACCCTATATTAAGCTCTACGTGCATACCAGTTAATGGACCAAGTACTTCATGTACTGCGTCTTATTTAATCCTTACTACCCTGTTTCATACCCTTTTACAAGTAAGAAGAACAGATTTGTCTGAGAACAGAGTACCAGGCAAATAGCAGGAGAGTTACTTGCCAGGTCTAATCTCCGTGTTTGAATAATGCCTTCACTTCTTTTACTTTTAAAGCCTGTTCTTCTGAGAAGAGCCAGAAGCAGGTCAGGGTCAGACTTCCAGCAGGGGGCCCTCATGTATTCTCCAGAATCCATGAACTTTAGCGTTTATGCCTCCTTCGGCACACATAGTGAGTAAGAAAACAGTGCCCAAATTTTCTGCTTTGGGATCTCAGTACCTCTCACAGGATGACACAAGGATGGTTGTCCAATTATACCATTACTTGAGTGACGTTTATGATAAACTCTTAAAGGTATGTTGTTTTGTTTAATTAACTTAGTATATCTTTTAAGGTTTTCTTGAATTTTGTTGTCTTACTATTGAGAAGTGGTTAAGTTAGCATAGTGGTTAAGAGCAGGTTCTGCAGCTAGAACACTTGTGTTCATGTGCTTGCGTGGCCTCTTAACCCTAAGCCAGTGACTTAAACTTTCTGTGCCTTTGTCTCCTCATACATGAAGCAAAACTAATAGTGCATACTCATACAGGATTGTTAGGAGCATTAATCGAAGTAATAATAGATGCTGAGTGCTTAGAACAGAGCCTGGCACACATTAAGAGCTATTTATAGATAACAAAAACAATATATAAATAGATAATATAGACTAAAATAATATATTTAGCTATTTCTGTTATATTCCATTTTTGTAATTATATCCAGGTACTAGGTTGTGTTAATGAATGGAGTCCCCTCTAGAAGTTTCTTCCTGATAAACGTTTTTTAGTAAGAACTAGGATAGCCCAAGTATAATCAGTATTTTTGAGTTATGTTTAATCTAGAGAAAAAAGCTTGATACTTGGTTCTTTCTCTGTCGTATTTTTAGGTATCTGATGTGTAGCCATGCAGAAGACCTACGTGCAAAAGCAGAGTGGGAAGGCAAAGGAACAGCTTCCCGATCCAAACTGTTGGACAAACTTCAGAGTAAGTCTTGTTTTTGGTGTTTCTCTGTTTGCTCTTATATTAGAAATAGATATTATGAATCATTGAGGAAGACTTGTGTCTAGACCTACTTGTAGGGAGTGGTTAGTTAGGGAGAGGTGGCAGGGAGTCCAGTAAGAGTCCCTTTAACCAGAGGTTTTCACACTCCGCCCTGGAGTCTGAGGAGCTCACCTTGGGAGCCAGGGAGGGGGCTCGTCCCTGGGCAGCTCCCCTTTCAACTGGTGTCTGCAGTGAGGCTTCCGTGAGATATTGTTTGGGGGAAAAGCATTGTGGTTAGAGAACAAGTATGTAAATCTCAGCTTTAAACCATGAGTGTTTGAAATATCTTGTTATTTTCATGTTGAGCTAGGAACAGAGACCCTGAGAATCGGAAAACTGTGTGCTTGGAGAGGTGTAAGGCATTAAAGGATTGGAATAGATTGGTATCAGTATCAAAACACCAGTGATTCCCTGAATTTTCATTAGGCATTAGAAGCAATTGGGGGGGGCCTAGAGTTTGATTTGTTCTTTGTTAACTTGAGATTGTTTTTTATACTTTCAGTGATGTGTAGTCTCCCTCTTTTACATAGTCATCTTTAAAATGTTTTTTATTGTTTGTTGATTTGTTTTTTGGTTTGTTTCTTAAAAAATCCACATACGAATGAAAGCCCTCCTGTTCATGTGTCTTCCATTCTAGTGGCAACACATCTGTAGCTGCAGAGAAGTAAATATTCGTAGAGCTCACGTGTTACTTTGCCCAGAACTGCTCTACGTAAGGTGCATTAGTATTAGGGGTGGACAAGTGCAGCAGAAGATAAGCAAATGTCTTGGGTAAAAGTTTATCCTATTTTGTTTTTTTAATTTAATTTTTATTTCTCTTTTCAAACCTGTCTTCTATTAAAGCCTATTTACCACCATCGGTGATGCTTCCCCCACGGCGTTTACAGACTCTCCTGCGGCAGGCGGTGGAACTGCAGAGGGATCGGTGCCTATACCACAACACCAAACTTGATAGCAACCTAGATTCTGTGTCTCTGCTTATAGATCATGTTTGTAGTAGGTAAGAGGAAAACTTAAGTTCTCAAGTAAGGCTAGCGTTTTACAGGCTCAGCTTGAACTTTATTAAAATGTTTTGGGTTGTTGTTGTTTTTTTAGTTTTATCCTGGAGCTATAAAACAGTTCATGTCATGTTTAGCGTTTGATCATAAGTAAAGCTAGAACTACTGAAGTTGAAAATTAAGAGAAATATGTGTATGTTCATATGTAGTGTGACCACCCTTGAGAACTAGAGCTGGAAAACCAATTTTTCTTTTTTTTCTCTATGGGTGTCATTGCTCACTTTCTGGCCCTTCTATTAGGACACATAAGGGACCTTAGGTGGGAACGCCAGGGGTCTAAGTGTGTGCTGCACTTGGATAGCAGAGGTGACTTGGTGACTCTCCTCTGGACGCTATGGCTATTTTAACTATGGCCCAAATTATTTTCTACCCGTAAAGTTCATGAAAATACTTTTTCCTAATGGAAGTTCTGTGTTTTAGCAGAAGATGGCCTCTAAGCTAAAATGGTTAGAATAACAGGTATTAACTTTCTGGTTTGGGTTTTGTCTTTATACCTACCAGTGTGCATAGTTTCACTTGTAAGAATTCAGGCTTCACTTTTGATGTTAGGAGTATTTTGAGTAAAAACGCCCCTACTATTTTAATAATCTCCAAAATGGTAGGGCAGCTTTAATTTTTAAGACATTGAAAAGACCGACTCTGAAATCTTCCAAACTCCAATAAATTGATTTGGGTCCGGGGGACCAAATAGGAACAGCTACAGGACGTTGGGTCAGTCTGTTGCCAGACATCATCCAAGAGCTACGGAAAGGAGCATGACTAGGAAGGACAAAGGTACCTAAGTGTGAGGGCTTTGGAAAAATGAGGAACTTCCGAGTGACCATCAGAATTACACTGTGAGTTAAAATTATTCTTTAGGTGTGCTTAAACTACTTCACAGGTAGTTGGGTTCTAACCTCACTCTCCCTAGATGCAATAAAAAATAATTATTTGAGCTGTTGGCCTTAAATTTCAAGTGTTATTTATCTTAAAGTACTGGGTAATTACTTGGTGCCTGTCTGAAATATTCTAAAAGAAAGTGATTAGAGATACTTTTTCTTTATCCCCTTTTACTCTTGAACATTGTTCTTTGACTTCCTAAGTCTTTTCATTTAAATTGAATAGAGGTAGGAGAAGATAATAAATTAAAAGACTATATGGTTTCATATTTCATAGCTGCTTTAGGGAATTTGAGACCAGTGTGACAATTAAGGCAGTTGCAAACCCAAATCTTTCTTTGGTTCTTCAATTTATTGTTGGTAGAATACACTCAAAGGTATTTACGGCAGCCTTGGTGGTTCAAAGGTGTCAGTAGGTTAAGAGCTTGCCTTCCTGTTGGGAAATTGAAATCTACGAGAATGTGACCTACATTTTCCTAAGCTGTAACTTCTATACTGATAACATTTGAGAGTAAAGAATAGAAAATACTTGGTTTAACTTTTTCAATCCTCAGATCAGGGACCAGTCTCCTTATAACCTGTGTATAAAAACACTCTGAAGATCTGTGTAGGAACGAAACGGTTCTTGCTCTTCAGATAAGCATTGATTGAAAGGTCTTCTATGTAATATTTTTAAAACAAAACAGAACTTGGACTCTGCTCCTCATAGTTGCCACCCTCTCGCCCACTGTGCTCTAGAGCCGACTCCTTAAAATAGTTGCCTACTGGACTCCACTCTGCATTCAGTGTCCGCGTCCTCCTGCCTCCTTCGGGTTCCGGGAGTATCGGGGCTTGTGCAGCCAGCAGGACACCAGAGCTGTTGCTGGCGTGGGTGAGGGGCAGCGTCCCTCCGAAATCCAGTGGCTGCTTTCCACTCTCTTTCCTGACCTTCCTATGCCATTTGACTACTTGACCCTAAAACTTTTCCGTGGACTTCTAACACATTCCAGACTCTTGGCTTTACTGCTGGCTACTTTTTAGGCTCCTCCTCTTTACCCATCCCTTTCATAAGCATGTGTTCCAAGATTACATTTCTTTTCTCATCCTGCTCCCCTCCTTTAGGTTATACTTCCACGGTTCTAACAACTCCAGAGTCTGGGCTAGGACTACAGAATTCATCTCCTAAGCCTTATTAGACCTTTACTGCAACAATGTGGGTGTTGCTCAGGTACCTTAAATTGCAGCGTCAGAAACGGAAGCTAGCTGTCCCTGGCTGTCCCTGCAAAGCCTGCTTTTCCCCTTGAACTTCTCTCTCAGTGAAGGCTGCCCTCTCCCCAGTTCCTTCAAGCCAGAAAAGCAGGAGTTAGCCTTGGCTTCTCACTGTTGGAGTGGATTTTAAAGACATTAAGAGGGAAGATGTCAGGCATTATTAAGTCAGTATATGCAGTCTTTGTAGTGAGCTGTGCCCTTCCTTGCTGAACTGGAAAAATAGAACCAGAATTTGATATAATTCTACACGCACCTAAAGGTCTTCAGAAGAAAAGCTGATGTTTCTTATTATCTGCTTTAGTCCCTTTTAAAAACTAGATTTTAGCACTCAAACTAGAAAACTAATATTTTCAGAAGTTAAATCTTAGCATTGAAATTAAATACCAGCTCTTCTTCTTGGAGAAGAGAAAATTGATTATGATTAAGCAAACTACAACTTTTTTAAAAATCGTGATCAGCAGTGAAGAGTTTTTATTAGATTGTATGTTATTTATATTTTTCACAGTTAATGTATACATATTTTGGTTAAATTTGACGAGTAATGGAAAGGAAATTTTTTCATGACTTTGTGATTTTTTTTTTCCCCCACAAGCAACCAATGGAAGGATGTCTCCACAAATTGCTTTATAAATATTAATCTTAAGTAAAGGGTTATAAAATATTTATAGAAACTTAAAATGTTATGGCTCAGTTTGATTAAAATGCTACAATTTATTCAGTTTTATCTGGGAAAGTACTGATATTTTTAACACCATCTTAAACTTTAAATTTATTTGAAAACAAAAGGAAACTATCACTTGTATACACCTAAAATTAAGCTTTTAATAAACAAGGGGCTATTTGTCTTTTTAAAAGATTATTTAAGTAACAAAGTAATGGCAATTTACCATTCCAGTGACATGCAGACACAACTGTCAATAGACTACATGATTTGTGCCCGATAATTTTGATTATGAATCTCCTTTGTTAAGGACATTTTGCTACTCTAATTTTAGATATCTCTGTTCATTCATGGTCAAGTTGAGCTTTTTGAATTTTCATGTATTTTATGCCTAGATATAAAGTGTTTCTCACTGAATAAATGACATCACTATTGATTGATAGTCATAGGAAGGGGGAAAATAATTTTTAACATTGAAAATACTTATTTGATTGGAATATTATCCAGCTATGTCTTAAAACATGATTTAGTAATGACACTTGGAAAGAAAACTGGCCTTGGAGTCAGCCACTGGTTCAAACCCTAGCTCAGTCATTTCTCAGTCTCTAATTCCTGGTCAGTTCCTTGCCTTCTTTGAGTTTCATGAAAATGAGGATGTTACTTCCCTTGCAGGTGGTTCTGAGAATTAGCAGTACTGGATACAAACATGCAACATAGCGTTTGGCATCTAGTAGGTTGTATTGATTATGTTTCAGTTCAGATACAGAATAACAGTTTAATATTAAAGTAGTTTATAATTAGACAATCTGAAAATTTAAAGTAGCCTCCAGAGAGCCAGCCGCTAATGTAGATTGCCATGGGCACCAGATAAAGAGGGTTAATTTATTTTTAAACATCTACTATCTATAAGGGCAGTGAATTGACAAAATAGATTTTTAAGTTACAGATTGGTTAGGGGGAAAATAAGGAAGACCAATAACTTTTGTTATGTAATATAGAGAATGTATAATATTCTGCTGTACTGTCCAAACAGTAGCCACTAATTGCATATGACCATTTAAGTTTATATGTAAAGTAATTCAAAGGAAAGTTAAATTTAAAAACCAACTTCCTCAAGTGCACTAGCCATGTTTCAGATGTTGAAATAACACTGTGGTTAGGACTACCAGGTAGGACAGCACAGCCGCATGACATCTTCACTATCACAGAAAACTCTATTAGATGGTGCTGATGTAGAAATCGGAAAAGGATAGAATGGTTGTTTTTTTTTTAAAGTGAGTGTTTAATGAGAATAGTCATTCTTATGATAACTTTTTCTCTTATTCTTGGCAAAGTTAATGATAGAATTCTTTGCCCTTAATATATAGCTACAGCTTACAAAGTACTAGCGAAATGTCAGACTCAATCTAAACGCTTATACTCATTCTCTCATGCTTTTATTTCATCCTCGTATAAGGAGTGCTGTAACTACTCTAAAGCTCAGAGGAGTTAAATGGCTTGCCAGGCCATGAAATCTGTGACCCACACTTGTCTGACCTCAGTGTCTATTTTTTTTGTGAAACCAAGTTGCTTTGGTATGAATGAATATGTACATTATTCCTTCTAAAACAACCCGATGCCAGCCAACTTATACAAGCCCTGATTATTACTTTCTATTTATATAAGTTGACTCAATTAAGTGAAAAAATCTGTGATAACGTACTTTCTCTTTAAAAAAGAATAAATTGAAGTAGAATTTAGTTAACTGATTTTCTCTAAGATTGCCTTGACTAATGTTATTTTCTTTTTTTGACATACCAGTATAAACTTGATTGTTTAGATTTACAAATGCATTCATACCTTATTTTTAAAGTTTTTGATCTCCAGAGAAACTCATCAGTTGTTTAACCTTTGTCATTATGATTAATCTCTGTTGAAAGAATAATTATTTGTGGGCTTCTTTGTTTTAGGAGGCAGTTCCCATGTTACACACAGCAGATACTTACGGAGCATTGTAATGAAGTATGGTTCTGTAAATTCTCTAATGATGGCACTAAACTAGCAACAGGATCAAAAGATACAACAGTTATCATATGGCAAGTGGATCCGGTATGTACTTCAGTATGAGTGTTTAGGTTGCAAAAGGGGTCATTTTTAATCTAGTTGAATACACATTTTTAAAGTATGCACATATAAATAGTATTTTCCAAAAACATTTTCTGTGGTCTCCGTTGTGTCTTACCTGTTTCTGTGTTGTCTAGCTCAGGGATATAGAAATTATCAAAGTTGTTGAGTGTTATGTGCTAATGATGGTACTAAGTATGTGTGTGCATTATTTAATTTACTCCTCTGAATAATTCCCTGAGATACTAACATTTCCCTTCTTAAAGTGAGAAAACTGATAAAGAGGTTAAATGCCCAGGCTGTCACAGCTAGTAAGTGAAGAGTTAGGCTCAAATCCAGGGACATTTTTGTCCCAAATCTACTGCTCTTAATGTCTCTGCTAATTTTTATCTTTGTTAATACTCAGTTTAGGGATTAATACAATGTCCTTCTGTCACAAGTCAGAAAAGACTAAATACCATTTGCCTTCCGAAACCTTTCCTTCTTTTGTGTAATTTGTGAAACTTCTGTTAAACTTTCTCTGCCTTTTTGTCCACTATGATACATATGAAAAGTATTGTATACTGGATTTAAAATTCTGAGTTCTTTCTAAAATCATATCTGTCTTTGTTTATAACCATGTGACCTACAGATCTGTAGAAATAAGTATTTCTATTTTTTTAGCCAGTTGGACATTTATCAAGCAGTTGAAGAAGTACACAACTCCAGACAGGTTAAGCAGATGTATTTGCTTTAGCAGTCCTCACCTAAAGTCATAAAGTGAATACTCTTATTTTAAAATTAGAATTAGAATATGATGTTAGCCCAAAATAATGTTTTGGCTCTCTGTTGAAAAATAGAGAAAAGGATCCATAGAAGGAGATATTTTAAAAATAAGAGAATCAAATTTGAAGGTATACATCAGTTTTTCTGTATCTGCAGTAGACTACAAATGATGAAAGCTATTCTTGGCCTTAAAGCAGCCAGTCTTAACTACTTTTTGTGTCATGTGCTCCCGTCAGTCAGATGACCTTAGGGTCCCCTCCTCGGAGCATGGTTTTTAAATACATAAACCAAAACACATAGGAAGCCCAAGTGTATATTATATATCAATTACTAAGGAAATCCAATTATATTGAAATATAGTTATCAAAATAGTACAAAAACAGATACAGCAGAGTAAAATATTGCTTTTTTTAATTAACATTGAATAACTAATGTGGCAGCAGATAGAACTACCAGAATTCTGAAGTAGTGATGGGTATAAATAGTATTTTGAGATTTCTGCAACAACTGTAATATGATGAGAAAATGTTAGAGATTTTTATTAACACCTAATACTACTTAACGTAATATCTAACATAGTATGCTAATGTGCCTAATATATCATCTAATATTACCTAATATAATACCTAACACTACCTTGTTAATTACCTGCATTCAAGATTGAAAGAAATACTGACTTTTAGTGCATAGTTTATAAAAATAAAGATGTGTGTCTTTCCTCTCACTTAAGTTCAAGGATCCCTGCCTTTTTCCCTGAAGACTCTTTGGAGACCTGAGGTTAGGAACCACTGGAAAAGCAGCCTAGAGTTTAGAGCAGGAAATCAGACACACTGAAATAAGTATCATACAATATATACAAAGTATTACGACAGCACAAAGGAGCTTTGCAGATAGAGCACCTCCTATAAGCCTTGCTCTGCATAACATGGGGAGACAGGAACAGGACATCCTAACAGGAGGGGTTTTCAAGCATTACGCTAAGTGAAAGAAGCCAGTTACAAAAGACCACATGTTGTATGATCCATTTATATCAAGTGTTCAGAATAGGCAAATCTACAGAGATGGTGTGCTTGCCATGGGGGGAGGGGGAATGGTGAATAACTGCAGGTGAGTATGGGTTCCTTTTGGGGGTGATGAAAACGTCAAATTAGGTAGTAGCAGTGGTTACACAACCTTGTGAATCTACTGAAAGCCACTGAATTGTATACTTTGAAAGAGTGAATTGTAGATATATAAGTCTCAATGAAGCCGTTTAAGAAAATAACTAAGAGGTAGCTCTTACTACACCTACATGTTTCCAGTTTCGTTGAAAGTCTCCCAAGGAGACTTTCATAGTTGTGTCATCTTTGTATTTCCATCTAGCACACAATGCCTTGCATAGAGACTTGTTCATAAATAAAAGCATGAACAAGTCTTTATGAAGCAAGCTGTTAGGGCTTCAGTTGGGGGGAAAAATTGGTGAAATTGTAAAAAATTCCCCAGATTATAATATCAAGGTACATCTTTGCAGCTATTTACGTTCTTGTGCCCAAGAAACAGTGACTTTAGGGATGGGAGTTAACTGAGTTGTCTGTTTTTCCTCCTAGGATACACACCTGCTAAAACTACTTAAAACATTAGAAGGACATGCTTATGGAGTTTCGTATATTGCATGGAGTCCAGATGACAACTATCTTGTTGCTTGTGGCCCAGACGACTGCTCTGAACTTTGGCTTTGGAATGTACAAGTAAGCAAGTTCCATGTTTGGTGTAGCCTTTAAGTAAAGCATAGTCATACTGCACATTTTCATTATATAGAACAGGGCCATTCAGCAAAAATTACCATAATAAGTCTCATAAAAGGAAGTTCTTCAAATGGAATCCAAGTGTCCAGATGTTTTATAAATTTAAATATGCTAAGTATAGGAGAGTTTTTGGAAGAATGATCAATAAGTATTTTCAGGAGTGGTGTACTGTAGAATTTGTACTATTTACTGTAGTACTCTGTACCTCCAGAAAGATTTTGTATTTCATAGGTTTCATAATTGTGCACAAGACTTACCTTTCAAGTGTGAAAACATCAGCATTAACCCACATTTCCTATTCTAATGACAATTGCACCATCTCCTGACCTATATTTAAATTTTGATTTAGTTTAGTAAATTTAAACAATGTTGTTGGTTCTAACTTTTAAGGGCTTTATTACTGTTTCTAAATGGAAACTTGAACTTATCCAGGGTTTCATTTTAGATAAACTCAGCATTAAGTTCACTCCATTATCTACAAATCCCATTTCCAAATGTGACTTGGAAATCTTCTAGTTATGATTTTTAAATGTTTTTAAAGCTTCCTTCTCTACACTGACTGGTTAGGTGATCTTTTTTTGTTTTGTTAACCCCTAGGCAAGGGAAGGGTCCAGGCTCTGATTTGGGTGTAAAAGTATAAGTTGATAGGATATGATTTGTGAGTCTCGGGAACTCACGAATCGGTAAGTTGGCTTTTCCCAGGAGAGTGAAGATGAGACTGCATGGAAAGGACTCCAATAGAGAGGATGTAGAGGACAGAATGGGTGCTGAGACGGACCGGAAGGTGATAGGCCTCCGTCCTCGTTCGTCATTGTAGCAGTAAGGCTTTCTTACTGCTCAGCCACTTATTTATAGTTCCTCCATAGCTTTTTATTAAGCAAATTTCCAAATATTAAGAAAAATTGAAGAGTTTGACAATAACCCATATGCCCACCATTCGAGAGTCAACAATTACTTAGGCCCTGGCCGGCCAGCTCATCTGGTTCGTGTCGCCCCAGCATGCCCAAGGCCGTGGGTCTGACCCCATCAGGACGCGTGCAAGGGGTCAGCCAGTGAATGCATAAATAAGTAGAACAGCAAATCGATGTCTGTCTGTCTCTCTCTGTCTTTCTCAAAACAATTCAAAAATGTATATTATATATGTAAACAGTTGTTATAAACATTTGTGTGTACATAAATGCATACAAATATGCATATGTGCACGTTACACATATGTCCATATTCAAAACATACCAAGAGAAATTACAGATGCATTTTACGCCTAAAGTACTTAAGCACGTATCTCAAAAAAAAAAAAACCAAAACCCAGAACATTCTCCTATATAACCAAATGCCATTATCTTATCTGAGAACATGAACTATAATTCTCTACTAATACTCATTTTATAATGACCATATTTTGCCATATACAGTGTGTTCCCATGTATAATGTAACCCATGTTTTTGGCCCAAACTTCCAGGAATAACTTTCGTTTCAACATTTTAATTCAATTTTTAATTTATTTATATTTAGAAACAAAACTGATTATCGTATTGCAGGGTATTATTTCGCATACAGATACCGTAACTGCTTTCTAGAGTTACACTTTTAACACACAAGCATAAATTAAAAAATTAAAAACATTTGTATAAATACGGAATTAGTACTACCCATGTCTAATGTACATCCTTATTTTTCCCTCAAAACTTTGTGCAAAAAGTGCACATTATACACGGCAAAATACAGTAAAATTCCCCAGTCGTTCCCAAAGTGTCTTTATACCATTTTTTTCAAACCAGTATTGTATTTGGGATTGAGTTGAAGGGGGTGGCAAAGCACAGAATAGAATAGATGGCTGTCTCATTAAAATAGGTTTAAAGGGAATCTGACCTAAAAGACAAAATTTTTTTCCATTGAAGCTTTTTTCCCCTCTCACGGGGAGGAGGTATGTGGTCACAACCCTATAATAGAGACTGACTTTATAGTGCCTTTGTAGTCTCTTCCTTTGAGTCAGTTTTGAATTTCTGGACTGTGAAACTATGTTCTAGCTTAACTGTTTTCCTATGCATTACTTCATATACTTGTTTTAAAAGGGTGGCTTTTTTTAGTCAGTTTTCATATGTTTCTAGGTCGGTTCCAAATTAATAACCTTATATACTCACTGCCCTGAACATAGCAGAAGAAAAGGCCATTTCAGAACTTAGTGTATTGACATATTCCTGAATAGGAAATGGCGAGAGTTTAGCTGTTGGGTGTGCATTTGTGCTTCTAGACTTTGACTTTAACCGTTTATATCAAGCAACCAAAACTGGTAAATGAGTGAGAGCAGTTAAAAATGTGGGGGAAGGATTTAAGGTTGCTGAATATTTTTTTCAGTGTAAGTGAGACATCTGGTTTTCTATTTTTGTGCCCTCTTTGTTTTTATTACTTGGCCCCATTTCCTGATCATACACTTTGTTTTCACTCTTTTTTTTTTTCTTTTTTTTTTTTTTTTTTACTTTTGATTACCCATTTCTCACAGGAAGATTATGCCCATGTACTTTTTATTATATCAAGGGCAGCTATTATCTCTCAGATCCTGTTTCTAATCCATGAACAAAATGGAATCAAGACTAGATTAAATGGTATGTGTCTACCTTCTAAGTTGAATAACTTAGAAAAATAACAGGAGGATATCTGAAGGTTATAACACTGAATAGTCTTGCATAGTTGGGAATGCTTTAGAGTGGCTATGCTAAATAGTACAGAAATTCCTCTTTCTTTTCTGTTACTTTTAATGGGGAAAAAAGTTGCATATCAGAAAAATTATTTTCGTTTCTCTCCATCTTCCCTACTACATTTTGAGCATCTTGAATATGAAATTTAACATAATTCAGACTGTGTACACCCTTGCCTAATTTAAGAGCATATTTTTTCTGCCCATTAATTGTGTTTTTGAGGAATGTTTAAAATAAAATGTATAAAGAATCATGGACTGAGAAGTAATAGAAACTCAGAAGGAATAGCAATATTGCGTTAGACTTTTCATCTTACCTGGGAAAAATTACATGTTTTAATTTATGAATGTAATCAGTTTAAGATGAGAGCTTTATGGGAGTTGTCACATCATACCCGTTCGGGGTCACCTGTGCCAGGCGGTGCTCAACTCCTAGATTTTTCTTCAAGGCTTTAATTTTCCTTCTGAGTGCTATAAGACTTTTTTTTATAGGGCCTGTTTAAAGTAGTTTTCTCTAATTAAAAAAACTAACCAGTTAGTTTTTGTTTTTTTTTTTCTTTTCTTTACACATTCCCTTTACAGGGGTATCTTGAAGGTCTTATTCACAGTTTTATTTCTTCGTAGACGGGAGAGCTAAGGACAAAAATGAGCCAGTCTCATGAAGACAGTTTAACAAGCGTGGCTTGGAATCCAGACGGGAAGCGCTTTGTCACTGGAGGTCAGCGTGGGCAGTTCTATCAGTGTGTGAGTATTTAGCTCCCCCTTTCGAATGTCTGCTTGTTTCAGAGCCAGCGTAGTTTTATTTAAAGAATTCACTTAACTTTTATAAAATACACTATAGGAAGATCTCCTTTACCATTTTTCTAGATAAGCACTGTCCAGTACAACTTTCTGTGGGGTTTTTTTGTTTGTTGTTGTTTTTTTTTTTTTTTTTTTTTTTTTAACAATCTCAAGTATAGACTTTGAGTTTAGTTAAATATTTAAAATTGTTTTACTAAATTCTTTCTTATAAACAAGCTTCTAATGTATAGGAATGAAGATTTGGTATTTAATTATTTTTTGACGTTCCTGTCCTTTGAATTTTTTGAATTAAAAAGGAGATGCTGAGTTTCATAAATAGACTGTCTTAAATATTTGAGGAGTAAGTGGTGGTGGCTGCCACCAGAGAACTTTTCCATCTTTAGCAGAGGCATCTCTTAACCAGTGCCTGCCCTGTCAATCTTGGATTGTTGGAATGATAAAAATATGTACTAGGTAAAAAGTCTTATGACAAGGTAGGCTGTGACACACACACAGTGTCATTACTCTCTGCCTGGATTCTGTCTCATATCACTGCCTAACATGGTTCCAGTAGTAACTTTTAGATGTATTTTTAAGATTAAAATTAAAGAAGATAATAAATTCCATCAGATCAGTCACTGTTACTAAAGATCACTTACCATAAAGACTTATGAAGCCATTGCAAATTACCAGTCTCTTTCATTAAGATGGATGTGAGATGCTTGGAATCTGGTGCCATGTTATCTCAGCATGGTTATAAGCCATTAGTTCTTAGGTCCTTGGGTGCAAAATGACCGTGTACGTTTCTGCTGACTTTGCCATCACATACAGTGTCTCAACCTTCAGGATACAGGACTTGGTAGTTCCCAAATCAGTACAGTGCCTCTTAGCACTTGGAATACTCAGTAAGCTGATGACCCTAGAACTTTGATCTTTAGAGCATGTTACAAATTTGGAGAAGTTTTAAAAAATGACATAACAGATTCCTAACTTCCATAACTGTAATCTTTTTTCCGTATCACAGCTTCTGAATATTATAGGACAAATCCCAGCATAGTGAATTTTAAAGGAATGTTTGGATTATTTTCTAATAGTAGTGAGGCCTTTCTTTGGAGTTTAGGAATGATTTACAGAGCTTCTCTCCCTCTCCACTTTGGTGGTGGTGTAAAGAAATTTGACCTGTATTCAAATTTGCCTGATTGACAACACTTAATGGAACTGGATCAGGTTGAGATTAGTCTCAGGAAAAGCCAGTCTTACTACAGAAAGACAGTGCTAAGGAATTGTGTTGTTCCTGAGTTTGCTTTCTGAGTGAGGAAGCTCACTGTGACGTCTCCTGCAGGATTTAGATGGCAATCTCCTGGACTCCTGGGAGGGTGTGAGAGTGCAATGCCTTTGGTGCTTGAGTGACGGGAAGACTGTCCTGGCGTCGGACACACACCAGCGCATTCGAGGATACAACTTCGAGGACCTTACAGATAGGAACATGTAACTATTCTTTGTATCTATCAAACAACTATCTGATTTATATTAAAATGTGTAGTTGAACTTGCTCATTCAGAAGAAGAGTTTTTGTTATGTTTTTGGTTTTGGTTTGATTTTTTGGTCATTTGGATTGATGGTCAGGTGATACTTAGTGATTGTTAACTTAGATTCTGTTACTTGATTGAAATACAGTGGAAAATAGGGACTACAGACAAAACTGTAAGCTAGAAAATTTTGCATCTTAATAATTGAATGTCTTGATTCCTAGTATGTTGCTTTGACAAATTATTTTCTGGTTACAGAGTACAAGAAGATCATCCCATTATGTCTTTCACTATTTCAAAGAATGGCCGATTAGCTTTGTTAAATGTAGCAACTCAGGTAAGTCTATTAATACAATATAATTTTCAGGAAAATTTATCTTAGTTCTAATTTTAATTGTGATTTTTATTATATATAAACAAAAATATTTATACTAAATATTAAATTTTACTGCATGTGTTTGATCTGTAAGTGTGTAGAATCAACTCTGAATTTGTCAGAACATTGCTGTTGTGCATAAATTGAAAATGTTCCATCGAGAAAGGGATATTCACAGATTACTTTTTAAAATTCTTTTGAGGTGAGGTAGAATAAATAACTATATTCTTTTTTGCCTACAGGGAGTTCATTTATGGGACTTGCAAGACAGAGTTTTAGTAAGAAAGTATCAAGGTGTTACGCAAGGGTTTTATACAATTCATTCATGTTTTGGAGGCCATAATGAAGACTTCATCGCTAGTGGCAGTGAAGGTAAATTGTGTCACTGTCAGTCCACATGTGTTGATGGGTTTAAAGTGCTCTGGTTTTCTCAGTTTTGAAGGTGGTCATGTCTCCAAGCAAGTTCAGATGTTAAATTTAAAATTGCAGGAGATATTCACCCAGGACTGTTAATTTCCCCTCTTTTGGAATGACTTGTGTCCTTGTTGTCAGAAATCAGCAGTGCCTGTCCCGACCCTGTGGGACTGTGTCTGGTGCATCTATCAAATCAAGATTTAGTTAAACCTTTTATATGTTGTTTTTTTATAGGACTAATGTTTTTCAGAGGTTAGTAGTATCTAAATAGTCAAGGTTAATTATGGTGTTTTACCTGAACTTGAACAGAATTGACTATAGTTAGATCTTTGACATTTCTTTAATGGCCAGAGAGTAGTTTGATAATTCATTTGGTCTTGGAAATACTGAAATTACAGCATTGTCTCTTTTTGAATAAGTTTATTCTCCAGTCTAACAACATTAGGCAGTCTCACTTAAAAATATAAATTGTTTGCCCTGGCCGGATGGCTTATTATAACAGCGGGACTGTTGTCCTGTGCACCAAAAGGTTGCGGGTTCAATTCCCAGTCAGGGCACATATCTAGGTTGCAGGTTTGATCCCCAGTATAGGAGGCAACCAATCCAATAGCTGTTTCTTTCTCTCTCTCTCTCCCCTCTCTCTAAAATCAATAGAAACGAATCCTAAGGTGAGGATTTTTTTTTTTAAATTACAAAAAATACGCATATATAAATTGTTTAAAACATGTAAGCACAGATAAGTAAGGCAGTGTTAAAAGTTAGTGCACTTTTTAAGGTGATAGAAACAGATAATAGCAAATTACTGCAATTTTTCATTTAACACACTTCCTTTTTGAGTACTTACTATACTGTTATAAGTACTACAACAGCAAATTATTTGTCACTTCTTAAAATACTGAATCTATTTTTACAAGATAGGACTGGATCATGCTGGTAAATGCTTTTGGTAACGTTCCACTTTTTGTATAAGATCTTCAGTGTCCTGTCTTGCCAGAAAGCTGACCCTGTCAGTAGATAAGAGGATCACAGGTGGCACATGAGGATTCCCTCTGTACAGAAGCTGTACGTAAGGATTAGGACAAAGAGACATTTAGGAATCTAGGCTTTAACAGAAAGCATATGAATTTAATCTTTTCCCCCTCCCCCCCCCCAAAAAAAATCAGTGACAGGTAAGAGATAGAGGAGAGTGTTTGTTAGGTAACAATTGAGAGTTTACTTCTTTCCAGTTAAAAAATCTTTTTTACCTGTTCAGTATTGTTCTCCCAGATTCTCTGCTAATTGGGTCTAAAGATGACCTGCTTGCTTTGTAGCTCCTCCTACTCTTTCCTAGTGCTCTGTTCAGTCCTGCTTCTGGTGGGCTTCCCCCTCTTAGATATGCCTCACAACCCCCTGTGGTTCTAAATACGTACATTAGAAGTTCTTAAAAATATGTATGGCTAGTGTTATCCCTAGTAATGCTAATTTTTTTTTTCTAAGCCCAAATTAACTTAGAACTAAACCTGGGGTACAGTGTGATTATACCACATTATGTTCTGTTTAGGGCTAAACATGAAACATTTATTTTGAACAGCATATGGATATAATGAGCATATTGTCTCCCAAGAGGACCACAGTAATTCATTTGTCACTTATTTGTAAGGAATATGTGCCAGGGACCTTCCAAATCCACAAGTATGTGATTGCCATTATTAAACTGAGCACTTAGGAAACCTTTTCCCCAAAAGTTACGCATTACTCAGGCTTTGTCATTATGCGGCCATATGTGGAAGGACAGCGCATTTTGTACCTTGGCACACGCACCGGACTCCCCAGACCGATCCAGTGAGCAGGGCTGATCATAAGCTTGTCGCTCCAACCGGGACGGCCTCAGACCTGTTGTTGCTGCCTCTTCAGGGGATACCCTTCCTGGATATGTCATCACAGAAGCACTGTCCCCCAGATAGAGCGGATTTCCATCGCCCTCACGCTTTTCAAGCCTGCATCTTGCTCTTTTGTCGACTTCTTCAGTTCAAGAAGAAGCATAACTAATTATTCTCTTTCTCTTTTCCTTTTTTTGTTTTTTTTTTTTTCTTTGTTTTTTTTTTTTTTTTGCTATTTACATTTTATACAAGGGAAAATATTTTCAAAAATTATTTAACAACAAATTCTTTCTAGGAAAGATAAATTCAGTTCTTCCGTGGCCATCTTAGCTTTTGCCTCACATACACACAAAAAAAGATGTTCAGATTCAGCCCCAGCTTTTTATCTTTACATGAGAAGTTTTGAAACCAGAACATACTCTTTTACAAGTTAATTATCTGTTCACAACTCAGAAGTTTGCTCAGTTGGCAGCACATCCACTGGGAGTTCCCACCTCGACCACACAGATCTTCACATTGAACACTTTTCTGATTTACCCAGGGATTCCGCCTCCTGTTTTTAAGAATCACCACCTAACTTATTAACTCTTTATGGTAATACATGGTGTTTACTGTCTGCTAGACTCTGTTCATAACACCTTTTCATATACAAACTTATCCTCCAAACATGATGAGAAAATAGGAATCCCCATATACAGAGGAGGAGTTGCAAAGAGTGGACACTGCCCATGACACATGGTCAGTGAGGGGGGCAGCTATGCATAGGGCTGTCTGATTCCCAGGCCCGTATTCTGAACCGCTGTTCTGCACTGTTTGGTTGGGTTTGTGTGGTTTTGTTTTTGGTTTTGTTTCGTTTTTTTAGAGAGAGGGAGAAAGAGGGAGAGAAACATCAAGGTGTGGTTGCCTCTCATGCGCCCCACACCGGGGACCCGGCCCACAACCCAGGCATGTGCTCCAACTGGGAATCGAACCGGCGGCACTCAATCCACTGAGCCACACCAGCCAGGGCTTGGTGGTTTTTTTTTTTAAGATTAGTTTTATCATAAAGTAACAAAGTTGTTGGGCAGGTTGTGTTCTCTGGCCACTTCATGAGATTGTAAATAGCCTACTGCAGATCCATGCGCCGATGCAGACGTGGGCCAGTTGTCCAGACTCGCCGTGAGCTCTTCAGCGGGGCTTCCCGGGCTCCAGTCCCAGCTTCACCCTTTACCAGCTGTTAACATGAGCAGGTGCTTAGCCTCTTGTCTGTGACGGGGTGAGCATCGTGCGCACTTTGCGGTGGTGGTGAAGACTGAGTAATGTACGCCAAGTATTTAGTGTCTAGTTCAGTGTAAGCACTCAGTACAGACCTAGCTGTCATTATTATTGCTATTTTTGAGTTCGGATACATTGCTTTTCTGTCGCCTCCTATTTCCATAAAATTTATCATCTCTTTTTGACATTTGTTTACATTCAAAGACCTTGGCTGTGATTAGATGTTACTCATGTATTACAGAATATTGCAAATAGATTTTGTGGTGACTTGAGAGCTAATCACCTTTTAACGGGAAAAAAACGTATATTTTTTTTAAATGGTTTTTTGTATAATTTGTTAAATTCTCATATTTGTTTTTTTTTAAGTTCTAAAAATCAAGTCATACGTTCTGTGTATGATGAATGGTAATTTAAAGTCAGTTGGCTTTGTTCATGTATAACCACTTCATAACTTTTCTCTGAATTACTGTTTATTCAGATCACAAGGTTTACATCTGGCACAAACGTAGTGAACTGCCAATTGCGGAGCTGACAGGGCACACACGTACAGTCAACTGTGTGAGCTGGAACCCACAGGTGCCATCCATGATGGCCAGCGCCTCCGACGACGGCACTGTTAGAATATGGGGACCAGCGCCTTTTATAGACCACCAGAATATTGAAGGTAAGGCCGCTGCCCGGCGTCCCCGTTTCCCGGATGAAACAGTGCCCTGCTTATTGTAAAGTTGCAGCATTTTTAAGTGGTGCTTTTTTAAAGTGTGGGATATAATTTATTGTCTCCCTTTTTTAGAGGTTGTACACTGTCTTATTCCACAGAGGAGTCTAATCTAAGATGCGGTGGTGTTTTTTGTTTCATTGGTGGCAGCAGGGAGGATAAGCTGAAATGTGCTGCCTCATTCACATCCTGCTAGTGTTGTTGCGTTGAAAAGCTTAGGGAAATCCTGCTGCTTTGTACAAGCAGCATTTCATGCTTTAGAGCAGTGAGAACTAGCTGAGTACACAAAATTTGAGTGACTTTAGAATGATCTTGATTATGGATTTTATTCTTAAAAATAAACATCCGTTAACATCACGTAGCATACTAGCATGAGCTGTGCATGACGGACAGAGAAAGAGAAGGGAGCCAAAAGTCATCATGTGCCTGGGTGCCCAGCGCCACACTAGGCTTGTACGCACCGTCCTGCGTGAAACCCACATGGCCCTGCAGGAGGGGTGGCTTTCCTCCTCGTGTCTGTGGGCAAGAAGGCGGAAGGCTGGCAAGACTGCTGAGCCTGTCGGGTGCTGGCAGGTCTTCGAACCTGGGTCTGAAAGGTGCTTCCACTGCTTCCAGATGCCAGGAGGTGAAGAGAGCCCCAGGCCAGAGGCTGACACTTAAGGGCAGAGCTCAGCTGAGCCAAGTTATTAGTACTAGAGGGGGGAGAGAGTGAGAAATTTTATGTAAATGACGTATCCCTCTTTTTCCAAACAGAGCAGGTAAAATACTTCCTTTGCTTAGAACGAAGTAATTTTCCTAGAAACATTGTGTTGCTCCTAGTGTGTCCCACTTAAGTGTTTTAGTAAAAGATGACCAGCTGCTCTCAGTTCAGTTAGTCCCAGTGGAGGAGGGTTGTCATAGCGCCTGCGGTCTGAAAGGCATATTCTCTGTGCCTTCTTTTTTTAATCTTTGTGTTACAATCTGCAAAAGACTTGACCAGATCTTACCACAGACGAGGATTATGGCCACATACAAAGGTAGAGAGGGCATATGGGTCAAAGAGTTTGAGAACTACTGCTGGTGCTTCAGAGCCTTGAAGGGCCTTTTTCTATTTGTAGATGCGTAACGTTCTAACGTTCCTTATGGGAAATTGACTAGGACCAAAATTTTACCTTTCTCTGTTGTCCTGTTTAGATGTCAAGATCCACTCTATAAGATGTATTGTCAATCTGTAACTGGCACTGTATGTGCTTTTCTAATTTTATTAGTCATTTGAAAGTTATTTCTTCAAATAAGCATATTTGATTAAAGAAGTAGGAAAATAGGTATATAGTAACAGACTTACTGTAAGCGGGTTTATTTTAGACCTACCCTTGAGGACACGTGTATACTTCCACTGCGGTGGAATAAGAGTTCAGTGCCGTGCGGTGAATTTGCTTGTGGATGCTTACAACAGTGGGTCAGCCCAGTTGTAGCTCACTGGTAAGGTCTGGGTCTGATTCAGCAGCTGTCCCTTGTGCTTTGGCAACATAGGCATAGCTGTAAAAAGGTTTTCAATTACACCTAAAATAGGAAAACAGCCCCTATATAATTAGGTATTTGGTTACATGCCTTTTGGGCAGGTATCTTCTGGGTTCTTTTTCCCTTACTTGAAAATGTGTTTTTTTTTCCTAAAGTAACACCTGTTTGGAATAAAATTTTTGAAAAATATAGATGAGGCTAAGGAAGATGACATTCAAAAATCATAACTAAGATATATAAGTCATTTAAATTAAAATATTTCACTTAATTGCTTCTTGGCCTTTTGGCTAAGATCAAGTGTAAAACATTTCACTTACTCCATTTCAAAATAGAGAATTTGCTGACCTTTTATCATAATAGTAGCATTCCATACTGTGTGTACTTTTTTTTTTTTTTTTTTTTTTAAGGAATATATTAAATGGAATAGTCTCAAGTACTAACATATGCTACAGCTTGGATGAACCTTGAAAATAGTATGCTAAGTGAATGAAGCCAGATACAAAATAGCACATATTGTGATTCCATTTATATGAAATGGTCTGGAATAGGCAAATCCACAGAGACAAAAAGCAGACTAGTGGTTGCTTAGGGTTGGGGGTGGAGGTTTGTATATGCTAATGAATGATGAAAATGTTCTGAAATTGATTGTAGTGGGGGTTGTACAATCCTGTGATATACTAACTACTGAATTGTATACTTTAAGTGGGTACATTGTATATAGCATGTGAATTATATCAACAAAGTCATTGACACATCATTCCTCCCCCCCCCTCCCCCAAGTAAGAGTAGGATGATTTTTGCAGAACTTCAGACTGAGCTGCTGAAAGGAGGATTGAGTATGTAGCTATAATGCAGAGTTATACTTTGGACTGCCAGATATTTCTTAATGTTGTAAACTCTCATAAAGATTTTTCTATTCTGCATAACTATTTCAAGGTTCATTTAAAAAGTATGAGATTCCAATATGATTATTCACTTGGGTTCTCCAATATTCAAAATAATCATGAGTTTAGATTCTAATAATACAGTCTAAGACATGATGCAGGCACCTTGGTTTAATGATTATGATGAAGATATAGAGTCTGCCTTGAGCTGTTTGTCTTTTTAATGTTAATATATATTGTCATGTCATGATGCTGATTTTAAAACTTTCTAACTGGTAACTTTTTTCTTCCCCTCCCCTCTTTTTCCTCTCCCCCTCTCTCCCTCTCCCCCATACGTGTCATCTTGTCTTCAGAGGAATGCAGTAGCATGGATAGTTGATGGCGAATTTGGAGCAGACGACTTCTGTTTAACTTAAATTAGTCGTATTTTAATGGCTTGGGATTTGGTGCAAACAAACATGATTGATAGCTGGACAGACATGCTCGTCATGAAAAAAGAACCATTTCTGAAGCCCGGTTGGGGCCAAACATTTACACCTTGCTTCATAGTAACCAGTTGAGATGAAGCACGTCGTTAGAACGTTGTTGGACACCATGTTGAATTATCCCCCCATCGGTTGTGAAGAACTGTGCTACATTCAGGCTTACCCATTGAACTCAGTATATATATTTTTTTCCCTCCTGCCTTTTGTCTGGTGGGATACCATTCTTGTTGCTCTTCTGTGTAATGAAGTTTAAATGCTTGTTTGGAAAACTTTATTTAACAGTTTAGAAGGCTTGATAGAAAGAGTGCATTAGTCTGAAGAGTATACATTGGATAGGAAAGAATTTCCTCCTTTTGTTTCTCCAAATCTTTCCGCCTTATTTAGCTTGAGATCTTTGCAGCTTGGTTCATGGATTCTAGCCTTGCCCGTTGCGCAGTATATACAGATCCAGATGATAAACCAGTGAACTATGTCAAAAGCACTCTCAATACTACATTTGACAAAAAGTTTTGTACTTTTCACATAGCTTGTTGCCCCGTAAAAGGGTTAACAGCACAATTTTTTAAAAAATAAATTAAGAAGTATTTATAGGATCAAAGTGACTTCATTTGTATACATTTGGAATCTAAACCAGCTTAAAAACAATTTCCTCTATAACTTAGATACGCAGTATAACTGATGCTCTTCGGGAATACCACATGAGACATGGTCAGAAACAGTGCTTGGAAAGACGTTACACAGGAAATTCAGAGTAATACTTTGAAGGTGTTCCCCCTTTTGTTTTATTCCTGAAGTAACATCAGTACCTGATCTTGAAGAAATTCAAGATTCAAAAAGAATTTTAAATATATACCAACGTAAGAGATCCCAGTAGTCAGTTCAGGTTTTCAAACAAAGCTTATTCCAAGTTGTTCTCAATTTGGGGAATCGTTTTTGGTGTGATATCTAGCAAGAGAGTAGAAATCAGCAGATGTAACCACTTTGGAAGATGATAGTATAATTGAACTTGTTAGAAGAATTCAGCAGATTACAAACATGCTTAACCTGGGTTTAAAACCTCCTAGTCATTTCTTTTAATTGCCCTTAATATTTTGACATGTAGGGACACATACATTTGAAGAATATTCCATCTCAGTCTTTCAGATATTGCCATACTGAACCTCATTCTAAACTGGTGCTGTGGGTAGTCTCTCCCTCTCCCCTCCCCTTTTAGTTAAGGAAAGGTTTCCTCTATGGAAAAGCACTTTTAATTTTGAGAATTTTGCATTTAAAATAAGCCAAAAGCCTGGTGTTCACAGTGTGCTTTTAAATCCCATAACAGCTGAATGCAACAATCTTAGACTCCTTTGAAATTCCCTCCCTTTCTCGGTAGAGGGTAAATTCAGGGACCACAGCTGTTATGTCGGGGAGAGGAGTGGGAATGCCCCCCAGAGAAGGTTCTGGTGAGGAAGTCTGGAACTCAGGTCCCTGTGAGGCCCAGCCAAGTCTGCAGTGTAGTTGTTAACTGTGAGCAGATGCCTGAAGGTCCCCAAAACGAGAGAGGCTTGGTGTCAGGAGTCCTTCCTTGGGGGCGGGGTAGGGGACGGCGGCAGCAGGGAGGAACGGAGCAGTCAGGGACGGGGAGAAGAAAGGGAAACACAATTGGCCTTAAAATAGCACGGAGTCTCCCAAAAGCTCTCAGAGAAAGTGACAGATCGTGTTCAGCAGATTATTTTATCAAATTGGTATGTAAAAAGATTTCTTTACGCCATTTTGCAGAGATCACCACTTAGAGAATCAAGAATTCCTGTTTTGATACTTCTCAGTTAACTATATGTTACAGTTTATCTGGTACTTCATTTTTCTTAACTAAAATTACTTTTTACTTTAAGCTTGAATAAAAATCTTCATTGGTAACTGTATATAATTAAGTGGCAACTTCTCTTTACCTCAGTACAGTTAAATCCATGTTTTAAGTGATTTCCTGTATATACCTGGAAGCCGTTAATACACCCCAGTCTCTACAGTAACATCACGGACAAAATGTGGGCATAGAAACTCCACGGCTGTTTACAAGTTTGGTTACAGTGTGCTCGGGTGTATCTGTAACATTTGCTGAGATTTGTGCCCACGCAGGGGCAGTTCGGCACTCAGATTCTCCTAGACTTCACCCAGCCACCCCGAGGTCTGAGCTTTCCGAGCGCTTCTGAAGCACAGTTAAAAACACTTTTTAAAAGTGCGGAGTAAAAGCGAGGCACCTCTTCCAAGAACACCACTCCCATTAAAGCGGAGTCACAACTATGCAGAGGTTCCCACAGCAGCTAGGTGAGTGCGTCCCAGGCCTCCCAACCGGCAGCTTCCTGTGCGTGCTGGTGCTTCGCTGTGCCAACTTGCTGTCTGTAAACGTCTCCTTCGTGCATTTGCCGTGCTGTGGCTGCGGGAAAGGTGGAGTAAATGATGAAGAAACCCAGGGTCTCGTGGTACAGAGAACCTGAGAGCAGGTGGTCCGACCCGCAGATGTAACTGAAAACATCTAGCGCTAGAGTCTGCGTAGGGTTAAGAGGGAGACTGAGAGAAAACTATCAAGCCAGTGGCAAGATAACAAATGTATAAATTGAAAAGTACCAATACTTTTTGCACATAGATCAAAATAAGAGTGGAGAATTTTGGCTCCAAAAATCAGGTTAGTAGGCTCATTTCCATGTGCTTAAAAATGTTTTTGTTGTTACTCATTGATTAAGGGCTAGAGCAAGTATGAAATGAAATGTCTTTCCTCCAACTAATTGGTTACGAACAGTGCCCTGTTGGATTTGGGGGTTACTAAGATTGGCGTGGGGGGTGATGAAGAGTTCAAGTGGGGAGTGAGTTGGGAGGGACGATGAGGCTTCAGTTTTGGTTTCTGTAGTTTGTTAGTGGTCATGCCAGCTGCCTTTCTGTTACTCTCACTGGCCAGATAAATGTGTTGCGTTAAACCAGGTAAGTAGCTCAAACAGAGGAAAGTTTACTTGTAAATGTCCCTACAAACTGGCCCATTTTCGTGGGTGGGAGAACAAAAGGGGATTACCAAACTTTAAATACAAACTTTAAATAAGTAGTTAACGTGCTCGTTGAAAGGGGAAAAAAAGTCCAATTTTTGTCCATACTTTCTGAGTCTGAAATGGCACTAGCAGCGACCTGGTGATTGTTACTATTGGGAGTGCTCTCCCTCTCGAGTGACATTCCGTGGCATTAATAGAAAACCCTTCTTCCCCACCCCTCCCCATCCTGACATTCTCTTTTTTAGGACGTTGTTCCTGCACCCGAGACCCCCGCTCACAGTGGTAACTATATGGTACCGCTCTTGAAAGGGACAGGCCCAGGTCAGTTTCTTTCCCAGCAGAAGATGGCTGCTTTTGAATGGGGAGGAAAGAAGACATTTGTCTTAATATCCTTTTTGTCCCACCTCTGCAATGTATAAATATCTTGATTTAGTTTTACTGTAGTTTCTTATTTAGACACGAGCAGCTCTCTTTTGGGATTGCTCTCCAAAATAGTACTTCCACTCAAAAACCATGTCTGATTTAATACAGACTGCCTATTTAAAAGAAGAGGTGAATTTCATTTACACTTAGACACTTTCTAAAAACAGGGTGAACTTAATGGAAATTTTTCAGTGTTAAGCTATTGTTATAGTAGCTGCCCTACAGTGTAAAAACAAAAGCTGTAAAAACTTACCCCCTATCTACTTAATCCAGATGGCCTGGATTTAATGAAATTAATAGTATAAAAATGTGTGTGTGTGCGCGTGTGTGTTGCGTGTGTGTGGGTGTTGCGTGTCTGTGTGGAAGAGAGAGAGTACTTAATTCTAAAAAGGCCTGGAAACAGCTGTTCTAGGTTCTTGTCAATTTTACTGAGAGTCTTGTGCACACATGAAGTGCCCTCTCTGAATTTAAGGTTTGGTCAATGCTGGTATATTTTTATAAGATTGAAAGTGTGTCCCCATCTTTAACTTAAACATTTTCTTTATCAGGGTCAATGTGCTAAAACCGAAGCATAACATTTTTAGGCACAGATGGAAAAATGTTATTGGTTCCTTGAAAATGTGTGTGTGTGGCGAGGGGAACAGATCCACAAAAGCATGCGTGTCCTTACAAACCAAGCTGTAGAGATCAAGACAAGGACTTAAGTGTCGATCTCAAGATTTCTAAATTGTCAAGATTTACATGGCATTGTGGTGGAACTAGTTAACATTAGAGCTTTTGGTATGTAATAACTATTTGCTATGGACTGATTAAATGTTTCAAAGGATTGTGTTCTTAAATTTTGGGGGATTTTTTTTTAACTGCCTCTCAAATTATATTTAGTAGTTTAAATTTCTTTGCTTTATTATTTCATTAAAGCCTAAATATCTTCAGGTCTCTGATATTTATTTTCATTTGTTCTACTAATTATTTACAGAACACTCTTTGTTAACTTTTATTTTATAAATGTGTAGTATATTAAACGTCTTTAAAATTTTGTTCAGTTGAAGCTATATTAAATTTGATTTGCTTTACTGGGATTTTTTTTTAACACACCTTTCCATGTCCGTGCGTAGCACTTAACCGTTTGTATTCCCTTTCAACCCAATAAACCGAATGGATAAGTCCTTGTGGCTGTGTTAAATCTTGAAATATCCATTAATCTGCATGATTAAGTAGGTTTCTTTTTTTTTTTCACCTGACAAAACCAATGTGCTGAATTTGACTTTCGAGAATTTACCTGGAGTTTTTAAGTGGTGCCTAAGGAAGTGCTTGATTTATCTGTTGGGATATCTTTTTAAAGAGCTATTACATGAAATGATGGATTACTTTAGAAAAATTTACATTTCAAAGGAATCACATGCCCCATTTTGTTAAAAAATAATACTGCACCTGAAATTATGCATTTATTTAGGCATCAGATACTTTGAAGAGTAGAGAAAATATATTTCCAGTTTGAAATTTAAATTTATATCATAATTGTAAAGTTCTGTGAAGATCTCCTTGGAGAAAAACATTCATTGTGTACAAACCTATAGTACATTTGTACTTGTGGAAAAAAATAATTGCCCCAGTGGGGTGAATTATTACAGAAATGGGCTTTAAGATTTTTACTAAGAGTGGAGTTCTGTTCAGTGAGAGGAGGTTCAAATGTGAAAAATGAGTGTGGCTGGCAGGCGCACGGAGGAGGCAGAGCTCGCGCTTCCATGTGACTGGCTGGCGCTGCTCTGGGCCCCGGGCGCCACTTCCCCTGGTCAACAGGCGAGGGAAGGGAGCTCTTCTGCTCGGTGGCTTTAAATAGAGCTGTGCCTTGCAGATGGAGCTAGCTTAGACTCTTCGTCTGCGTTGGACGTTTCATGCCGGATTCAGCACCAGGAATAGAAATTTCCCAGCCTTAACAAATCTAAGAGTAGAGTGTAGTATTTTAAAACAGTTTTCTTCCACTTATGGGAAAGAAAAGGTGACGGTTTGGGTTACATCATTTAATGACTTCTACTTGATTTTTTCCCCAGAAAAACAAAACTGTTAAGGACATTTCAACAAATGATCCCACCGTTCTAACACTACTTCAAAGCATCTTAAGAGTCGCCGTTGACTGGTGGCAGTGGGCTCTTCTTCAAGCTTGAGTGGCACACTTCATGTGAGCCTGGGTGGGTAGGGGACAGTATTCCAATCATGGGGTTAACAAAGCACTCAAATCAGCATGTAATTATAGCGAGTGCAGGAACAGGGAAGGACAGATTGTTTTCATTTCCTTTTTGATGTGAGGATATAGTTCCTTCTTTGGTCATATTGATGCAACTGGGGTCCCTCATAAAATTTAAAACTTTTTTCTTGTATAGCCTCAGGAAAAAGATCTTATTTAAGGCATAATTAGCCATGATGATAGACCATATCAGCATTCGAATTAATGAATATGTTAAGTGTTTTTCATTTAACTTTTGAGATTTTTAAGCCACCTTAACACCCCAGTCCTGGCTGGTGTGGCTCAGCGGATTGAGCGCCAGTCTGCGAACCACAGGGTCACCAGTTCGATTCCTAGGCAGGGCACATGCCTGGGTTGCCAGTGAGGGCCCAGTAAGAGGCGCTCAGGCACACATTGATGTTTCCCTCTCCCCCTCCCTCCCTCCCTCCCTCCCTCCCACCTCTAAAAATAAAATCTTTAAAAAATTTTTTTTAAAAAGACAGTTTCATAGAGGGAAATCACAATAAATTTGAGTATCTTTAAATTGCTTTATAAATGTAGAGTAGTGGTTAAAAACCCACTGCTTGGATTTGGGAGTCCTGAGACCTGAATATAAACCCCATCACTTGAGATGTCACTTCAGACAAGCACTTAACCCTTTCGAAGCTTAGCAGCTAACAGTGTCTTACCAAACAGCACTGCACTGGGTAAGCACATAGTAAAATCACGAACAATTTTTTAGGAGTGATTTAAAAGTTAATATAGAGGATGCAGAGTAAAATCCAAAATATTGGAGGTTCTACAAAACAAGCGATCACTACGTCAAATGACCCAGTTTCTTCAAATTGCAAGAAGAAAGAGGAAACCTAGATTTAAGAGACATTAATCAAATGAAATGTACAGATCTTGTTTGGACCCTAATGTGAACGAACCAACTGTAAAATTTGAGTCAATGGGGTAAATTTGAGCACCAACTGGATAGTTAGCACTAAGGAATTAAGTTTATGTACGACGTTGGTTCTGTGGTCGTCTGTGTGTTTTAAGAACCCTCATCTTACAGAGGTGTGGAAATTCCTACACAATGTGGGGGGGAGAGAAGGTAGGCGGTTCCGGATAAAACAAGGACGCCCAAGAGTCTGGTTACTCTAGCAAGTAAAATAGAATGCCTTTCTGCTGGAGTAGATACAGTGGCAGCCAAACTTGCGGCTTTTAATTGCACCATCGGGTTCAACTCTCACCCGGCTTGCACCCAATCTGTGAAGTAAGACTGCTGATGAAATCAGCAGTGATAAGCTGAGGCTCTAGAACTTGATTCCATCTTACAGCCTCTCAGATCATCAATTTGAGTGCATTGAGCTGGAACAATAGACAAATGACTTAGACTCCTTCCTTGTTCACGTGCCAGACTGCTGCCCCAAGAGCAGGAGGCCCCTGGACCGGCGGAGAGGGGCTTCCGGGCCAGGCCGGGGCCCCGGGAAGCAGCAGCAGGAGTCACTGGGGCGGGCGCGGGTCAAACGCCTGCTCTCAGTGCCCTCAGGGGCTGACGCAGGAGGCGCTGCACCCCAGCGCGGGGGTAAAGTGTGTGTGAAACTGATTCACTTTGTCACTAGGTTCTAGTGTGGAATGGGAACGGACACAGATGAAACCAAGATTGCTCCATAACGGATGTAGCAAACCAAAGCAGCAGCAGAGGAAGCCGTGGTCAAGCCTCTGAGCTCTCGGCTCACTTATCTGATCCGCGCCCACCCCCCCCCACCCCACGCCCCCGCACCCCCCGCACCCAGCTTCAAAAGGAAACAGCTGAAAATATGTCTATCAAGAAAGGTCGTCTTCCACAGCGACTTGCGCTCAGTAGCAAGCCAGCTCAGTGAACAGTCCACTAACCCTGAAGTTCCGCGGGGATCCTTCCTGCGACTGCTGCAGGTCCCAACGCCACCCCCATCGCTTTGACAGACTGCATTTGTTTAACTGAAGCAAAACAAATGGCTGCTGTCCTTTACAGTGTTCACAGAGTGTGGCTTAAAGCCAAAAGGCTTCACTGACAGACTTCAGCCAAAATAGCCCACTCTTTGGAGACCCTTGTTAGGGGAGTTGCACTACAGTAAGAATATTCCAATCTTTGTTACACTACAGAGCAAAAAAAGTGTATTTGGTTTAAAGTACATAAACTCAGCTGGCAGAAATCTAGATGATAAGCACAGAATTTCAAATTTACCTTCTTTATCTTGCTGCGTGTTTCTATGTATTAGAACAAGGTAATTACACTTTGGGGTCAATTAATTACACCTTAGTACATACACTTTTCACCAAAATTCCTTTTGACAAAGTGTTACTTGTGAGCAAAGCTGATTTCACGTCTTAAGTGCACCAAATCCAGCAGTCTCCTTTGCTAGGCTAGCACGACTTGGGACACCACGTGAGCACCTTGAACACGGACGGTGGGCCGGGACCGGGCTGCCCCGTGGCTTCTCTGACCAAGAGGCCACCGCGTGTTTCTGCATGCAAGGCACTGTGTCAAGGGCCAGGAGCACCTGGAGGAGGAGGGTGAACTCTGCCCTCCAGGAGCGCACAGTGCAGTGGGAGAGGTTAACTGCCAGTATTGTAACTCTCCTACCAATGAAAAGCACAGAAAATAAATCTTTTAACACCTTAACCCCAGCTTTTAAAGTCAGTGCTCTTTTTTCCCCTTTACGTCACTTGTAGAGAAGCGCCTAAAAATAAAACCACAAAGACTAGAGTTATCCCCCCTTTCCTGGCTTTGCTACAGGCAAGCAGTACAAGAACGGTGGTTTTCTCTGTTTTTAAGCGCAGTTCATGTTTCTGAAGTGAAGTGCTCCGGTCCTTTCATTGTAAACAAGGCACCTTTCCGGAGGGTTCAGGCTCAGCAGCACCCGCCCGACAGTGTGTAAACCGAGAGCCATGGTTTGATTTTGTTATTTGGAACGCTTGAATAAGAAGGTAAAACATTTTGGTTAACAGTCCTCCCCCACCTTTGAGCTTCTTCAAGTAGTTTGTCTCCGTTCTAAAGGTTGCAATTCTCCAGGTTGCTACTACTTTAATAGCTTGAGCAGGACACTAAGAGATGCTGGAAGAGGGAGAAAGGTAGAGTGAGAGACTGTTTGGTTTTTGGGGTTTTTTTTAATGAATAAACAAACAAAAGTGCCCCTGAAGGAAAAGGTAACTTAGAGATGCAAGCAAAGTAACTTCTGTTACAGCTGCTTGGCTCTTTGCCTGGCAGAAATACAAGGTAACCACAAGGAGCAGGTTCTGAGGCCCCCAGGAGGCCAACAGAACCCAGTTCCCGGCACCCACCGTCTCTCGGGCAGGACCAGAGCAGACCTCCGCCCTTGCGACGCAGGCCCATCTGTGCACAGAGCTGGGCTGGCTCCCTGACTCCTGCCAAGGCCGGGCCCAGTCCGGGGCCGAAAGAACATGCGACATTTGATCTTCTGGTAACCACACGCCTCGTTTAGCCAACCAATTCTGCCTCAACAGAGCGAATAATCCCTTCGGACGCTGCCATCAAACACAATCATCTTTTGCCTAATGCCAGCACTTAAGAGAGCAACATTAAATCACAAATGAGGACTGAGAAGAAACCGCCAGGTCCACTTTACCGGGTAGCGAGGGCCAAAGAGCTGAACTGTTCCCATCGGCTGCGCGTTTACAACGGGAGCGCCAAGGAACCGAGTCGGGGCATGTCACTGCGACTGAGATGGCGCGTGCTCAGCCTGCCCCTTCCGAGCGCTCAGCGCAGCAGGGCAGCATACGGTTACCCCGGCCCCCAGCAGGGCGCCGGCACTGAATGACGGGCCATTCCTGCTCCCTGCTTATAATCTGATGAGCATCTTCTCCCAAATCCGCTCTCCAAACCCACTAAAAAATATATCAGAGAGCTCAAGAACAACTGGACCGATCAGTACGCAAACACGAGACCCGGCAAGAGCCAGTAAGAGTGCATAGGTCTGAGGGTGATTGTGGGGGCAGAGTGGCTTTTAAATGACAGCTCTTGATTCAAATTTTTTAAACATTTTCCTTCCTATCAGCAGAGATGACACTGTACCTTGGCTTATAAGCAAATGGCCTATAAGGTTTCACAAATTCTGTGAAGAAATATGTAATTTTTGAAATGTCATTTTCTGTTCACCTTCTTGTGAAAAGACTTTTAGCTGACAGTCCCATAAAATCTTTCAACTATACTGAATATATGAGGCTGCCACAATATAGGCAAAAGGGTAATTTGCATCCTTCCTTTGCCCAGATTAGCTGTGCTGTTTCGTGCTCTGACTTTTCAGTCACCTGGCTGAGCAGCTCTGCTGATCCCTTAAGCTTCCCTTTAAAGCGTGGTGTCCTTTGTTCCTCGGGCACGCGGGCTGGGACGGCGGTCCTGTCCTACACACAAATTCGCATCTTCGACGTACAGGCGATGAAAGGCCTTCCCATGCTGGGGCTGAGAACCAGAAATCTACAAAAACGCAACTCATGTTTTTTAAATACTTTATATGGTAAAAATACAGCAAAAATATTTTTTTGTTCCAGGAGGAAAAAATATACTGCTACGGTTGCGGCCCTAAGGATGACTGCGGCGGCCTCTGGCTCCACGCGGCGCGCTGTAGTGTAGGCTGACGTCAGCCACGGCTGCTCCGGCCTCAGTCATTTATCAAAGCTAGAATCATACTGCGGAGAGAAGAGATGAGGGTTACTAGTGTCCCCTTCGGAACGCCCCACAGGGTCTGGTCTGTCCAGGCTTATATCCCTAAAGCTTGGCAAGGGACACTCATCTGAGTAAAAGACAATCATTTATACCCAAAGGAAAGAAAATCTGTATGAGGGCCCTCTAGATGCCCTATGTGTTTCACTTAGAAAAAAGAAAAAAAAGTAATCAGGGTGGGGGTAGGGGATATAACCTAAAACCAATACTGGGCTATGGTTTAGAACGAAACAAGCCATGTCTGGGGGCAGGAGTGGGGGGATGGGACTAATTCTCCAGGCCCGATCTTTGCACATTCTGCCCCTATGCCTGCGGCCTCTCCCGCGCGACCCCCGCATTAACCTAGGGCACCCCCTCAGACTGCAGTCAGGCTCTCTCTGCTGGGAAGCCGCCCCTCAGCCCTGGGCCGCTGCGTGGGTGACTTGTCCCCTTCCAACCACCCTCGGCTTCCACCCCGGATTGAGCTCCTACGAGGCAGGTGCAGGATCCGCGCGTCATCTCTTTCCTACTCCCGGATGACACGCGACTCCTGCAATACCAGGCTCCCAGCCCTGACAGAGGGAATTTGTGCTGCTCCTCTGTGTCACCTGCAGTGCCTTCTACAGGGTCTGGCACGTAGTCGTCTCTCAGTAAGTACTCTATTAAAGCCGCCCAGTACCAAAACTATCATTTCCTTTTTCTGGAGTCAGCTTTGCTCTGCAGAGACCAGAGTGATGAAAATACACAGAAACGCCCTCCCATCACTAATGATGTAAGTTGCTGTCTAAAGATTCCCTGTCCAAAAATAACCAGACTAAGCGTACTCAGTGCACAGCACAGACTACTGGGAGTAACTAACATTTCTGAAAGACTTTTTAGAGTTTACTACAGGTCAACACAGACCTAAGTGCTTTACAGGCATTATCTCATTTAGTCCACATCGCAATCAGATAAGGTGGGTACTATTACTATCACATGTTTAGAGTAAGAAATTGAGGCACAAAGATGTTAAGAAACGCCCCAGCTCAAACAGCAAGTGGTTAGGTGGTAGAGCCCAGATTCCCCTACGCTAACCCCTAACCAAAAACCCAAGGCATAGTTTCTGTGAATCTCTAAAGAAGATGGGCACTTTCCCCCTTTAATTCAATTTAGCAAACCCTGAACGAATGCCATGCACAAGGCACCCAGGCAAGAGGAGCAGCATAAAGTCCCTGCATTGGAGATCTGATGATTTTGGAAATAAAACCACTTTTTAAATAACAGCAACCAAAAGCTAAGAGCAAAGTGTTACAAGGACATCTTCTGAAACTACTATTTCATCCTGACCCCTTGAGCCATGAGTGACACCAAGGGGCAAGGTGACAGCAATGTGGCCGACGAGCTGAGGAGGAAAGGGGGATGGAAGGGAAGAGAGAGAAAAAGGCAGCACGCAGCCAGGAGGAGAGCAGCCGCGCAGCGACACCCTTCCTGAGGCTGCCTGCCACTCATCGGGCTGTGAAGAACCACTCCTCAAGCCAGCCCCACACTGCTCCCTGACCCCTCTCATCCCCGGTCTCAGCCCGTCACCCCACAGCTTCGAGTTCAATAACCAAGAGCTAAGAAACTTGTGCATTTTCAATGCTAAGACTTCTGGTCTTCTAAGCAAGACACAGCTCCCTAATCCTACTCCTGCTCCCGAAGTGCGGCCAGAGGGGCTGCACCCACAGCTGTCTCCAGAAGCTCCTGCTGCCAAGGCCAGGGAATGGCCGCTCTAGTCTGTGCTCCAACGGGGCAACACCCGGAGGGGCGGGGAGGGCGAAAAGGCAGAACCCTGAGCCGAGCCGACTGCCCCTGCTTTGTGTCTCTTCAAGAACAAACATAAAGGAAAATTGTCAGTGATGCCTTCATATGGTTTAACTTTAAACCATAACAAAAAACGAGAACAGGTGTGCCACTGTGTTCTTAATATTAAATTTCTTGCTCTTCATTGTTCATCTTTAATACTAGGATTAAAAATTAATCACATTAGCAGTGAGGTAGGGTATGAGAACCAGAAACCAATGCCAATGTGCCTTTTCTGTTCTAGTTTTTAAAATACTAGAAAAGCAAATAAGATGAACAGCAAAAAGGAAACTATATAAACTCCAACCTCAATCTACTCTATGCTAGTGGGTGAAATTAACACAACAAAATGGTTTTAGGAAGCCTGCTTATTCAGAGAGAACTGAAATGGCTGACTTCTGAACTATTTAGACAAAATTAAAGGAGCTATCTCTATTCAGTTTCTAATTACTGGGAATCCTCTGAGGCAGGGGTGTCCAACTGTTTGGCGTCTCTGGGCCACACTGGAGGAAGAGTTGTCTTGGGCCACACATTAAATACACAAACAGTGACAAACACTGATGAGCAAAATAAAGCTTTTAAGTAAGTTTACAATCTTGTGTTGGTCGGCAGTCACAGTCACCTTTGGCCACATGTGGCCTGCGGGCGTCTGGTTGGACACCCTGCTTCTGAGGGATAGACATTTAGTTCAGAGTAAGTTTTTCCTAGTAGTCCTTATGCCAATGTGAACAATTTAACTTTACCTGCGAAAAGCAGAAATAATCTATTTAATAATTAAGCTTAGATACAAAGGTTAAACATGACATCTAGCATCACACAGGTTTAATCAACTTATACACACATGATAATTTTTTCCCTTTGCTTTATGGCTCTGTAAGTTTTTAAAAAGTGGTATGTTTATCTCTAAAACATAAGGAAATAAATCTAAGTTTACAACAGGACAGCATAAGGCTTCCAGTGTCTGACAGCCAATCCTTCACATTCTCTCTTACTTCCAATCTGTTATGACCTAAAGACTGATGCAATTTTACCAGAACTGACCGCCTAGCAGGCTGGAGGCCAGGCATCGCACCTCCATTCCTTACGGCCAAGAAAGTGAAGCCCAACCTGGACGGAAGCTGCTGCAAGCTGCTGCCAGAGGTCTGGCACCCCTGGGCGGGACGATCTTTGGGGCACATATAGTCCATTCACACTATAACAGACAATGAGACCTCACCACTGGATACTAAGATGGGGAAAAAAAGAGTAGCAGACAGTTTTAAGCTTGTTGACAACCAAGCTAAGGAATAAGCAATACCACAGAGTGACTCTATCGTTGGTCAGACAGAAAACTGGTTCAGTAACATACATAAAAAAACTACACACTGCAAGAAATTCACATAACCCCCAAAAGCTCTGCAATGTCCATGCTACAGCACAGCATCGCACCATCAAAAGCAGGCACGAGATCCAGGAAAATGCCAGGAGGACAGTAAACTCACCTATAAAGATACATAAAGAAACAGAGCAAGTGGAAACCAAGCTTGATCATGGCTTCTTTCATGTGTGACTTCAGCTGCCCTCGATTGTGTATTTCCGTTGGATCAAACACTCCCATATTACCACTTGGCACCATAATGAACCTGATAAATTAAAAGATACACACATCTTAGAAGGAAACACAAATCATCAGCATAAATATTCAAAACTAAGTAACCAATAACAATCATGTTTAAAAGAGAACCAATCACAGCAGTTTTAAATCACAGCAGACCAAATACGGACAGGGTGTTATGATCAAATCACAGGTCACCACTTGGCTTTCCTTTGAAAGACACAGTGCTGTCCAATGTTCAGTGTGATCTTCTTTCCCCCCGAAACAAATAGAGTGACACCCCAGAGAAGGACCCTTCATGCACCGAGACCCTCTTATGCAGCTTCTGTAGAAAACTGCTAAACCACTTGTACCTGCGGCATTCTCAGTCAGACACAAAGGAACGGGCCTCCAAAGCCAAGCCAATTTTACCAAGTTCTTAGAAACTTCTTTATCTAAAAACTCCTAAATTAATTAATCCAATTCCCTTCACTTTTATATCATCTTCATAAGGAACAGTGGTGTCAGACATAATTATTCTCATTCTGCAGATGACAAAAGAGAGGTTTCTACATTCAGAATAGATACCTCATCTTTGGTGCTTCTTCTGATCAACAGATAGTAGATGGAGCCCATCTTAAAAGAACAAGTTAAAGAAGACAACAAAAATGAAAACATATCCACACAAACACGTGCATATAAAAGTCTGCAGAATTATTCTTAACAGCCAGAAAGCAGAAACAACTCAAATGCCCATCAACTACAAATGGATAAACAAAATATTCCATACAATGGAATATTATTCTACAATGAAAAGGAGCAAAGTACTGGTGAACATGGATGAACCTTGAAAATATTATGCTAAATCAAAGAGGCCAGTCAGTCCTAAAAGACCACACATTGATCTCTTTTATATGACAAGTCTGTCTAGAACAGGTAATTTTAGAGAGACAGAAAGTAGATGGATGGCTGCCTAGGGCTGGAGGAGGGGAGGAGCTAGGAATGCCTGCTGATGGGTCCCGGGCTTCTTTTCAGGGTGATGAAAACATTCTAACATGGACTGTGGTATTGGTTCCTTAGATCTACACATATGCTGAATTACAGTGGATAGGAGACTTTAAATGGGTGGCCTTTATGCTACCAGTACTCACACTTACATACAAACTCCCTGGGCCAAAGTTCAAGGTCCTCTCTGACCCATCCCGATGAACATTTGTCTGTTAATGCTCCCTCATCTATGTGACTTCAACCTGGTTAGTCCTTAAACATGCCTTGTGTGTCTGCTCCAGCTTTCCCCTCCTTGCCTCCCCTTCTCCTGCACACCCTGGAGTACCCTTTTCCCACCCGTCTGTCAAACCTGGTCTGCCCTGCAGGGCTCTGCGCAGATGCCACGCACTCCCTGACACTGTCCCAGTCCACTGTCCCGGTCCACGGTAAGCCCACTCTCCTCCCAACCTGAGTATCCTCATCACTCGCCTGGAACTATCTTCCACTGCCTTAGCCCACCTCTTATTTAGCTAGCTTATTTTTTTTAGATTTTATTTATTTATTTCTAGAGAGGGGAATGGAGGGAGAAAGAGAAGGAGAGGAACGTCAATGTGTGGTTGCCCCTCGCACGCACCCTACTGGAGTCCTGGCCCACAACCCAGGCATGTGCCCTGACTAGGAATCGAACCAGCGACTCTCTGGTTCACAGGCCAGTGCTCAATCCACTGAGCCACACCAGCCAGGGCTAATTAGCTTATTTGTTAATCAGTATTTTGCCTCTTTGTCCTGTGGATAGAGTCCATTTCACATGTCTGCACCCCCAACAGCATAAAGCACGGACATCTGAATCCACTTGATTTTTTTTTAACCTTTTTAAACAGAAGGTAAATTTGTGACCAGAAGACAGTCAATATGCCACTGCCATTATCAGGGAAATAAACTCACATGCTCTTTGTCTTTATAATTACAGGAAACAGGTCTACGGACTTCACCGCCCCCTCTCAACACTCCAGAGCTTTTCACCACAGTGCACACTATGCACAGAGCAGTCATGCCGAGCTTGCTCCTCCTTACACCTTCCCTTCTGGCAGGGCAACCGACGGCGTGGTCTGCGGTGTCGTTAGGATCCGAACTCTCAGAAGGTCCCACTCTCACTCCCAAATCTGTGCTCCACGGAGCCGGACCACAGGGATACTGAGACGTGCTCAGTCAGGGCGATCGCGCCTCACCAGGAGGAATCTGACTTCCAGAGCCGAGCTCAGTGAGAGGGCTGGCCTACGCAGCGATCACGGGAGAGCAGGAAGACACTGAAAACAAGCGGCTCCCCCGCTCAGGACCCACCCTCTGGAAAAGCGGGGCAGGAATTTTAGAACTCTTCCCTAGCTCAGGCTCCAGTCCCGAGACCTTTCTACGATCGCCCCTGTCTACTCCCTCGCTCATCGCCCCCGCCTTCCATTACATTTTCATGTGCTTCCTATCCCCCTCAGCCCTCCTTTATTATTTCCTGTGTCCTTCTTATTCGGTTTTTACATTTTTTTTTTCAGTTACAGTTCACATTCAATGTTATTTTGCATTAGTTTCAGGTGTACAGCACAGAGGCCAGATGGCTGTACGCTTTACAAAGTGTTCCCCCGACTAGCCCCATACATAGCTATTACAATATGTCCTTCTTATTCTAACCACTTCTAAAAAAACCACACTCAAAAATCGGCCAATGATTTTACCCCCCCCCCCAAAAAAAAACTACTTATAAATAAATTAAAACAAAACCTAAAAACTTAGTCAGGCAGTAATGTACTAACATAAAAATAATCCCAGATTTGCCAAGATTGTTCCACAGTTCTTCACAAGACAACATACAGTGCCCAAGAGCCCACCTAAGATGGTATCCAGTTAGTGTTTCTACTGAGCTGTTTGAACAGACTTCCTAAATTTATTAAGCCAAAATTTTGATGTTCTCTATTTTGCAGGCTTAAAATAAATTTTCTTTGGAGCATTCTAAATATACTCTAATGAAAAAATGAAGCTATAAATACAAAGACTGTATTGTATTCTCAGGCTTTTAATCATTCTTAAGATATTCAAGACAACCACAAAATTCACAAGTCTTCAGACATTACAACTAAACATTATCTACTGCTATTTGCCCAGTATTCCTACTCTCACTCTCAAATCTGTTTCACATAGTAGGATCACAGGGATACTGAGCTGTACCAAAGTCAACAAAAGTTTACACTGGTTTAATGAAGCATTCTGCTGTCATTTATTTTATGACTGGCACATATTTTATTGGAGAAGGGAAAGCTATAAAATTTTTTTTTCTTTAAACTGCCCTGACACAAAACAGTAAATAAACCATACTCACCGATAGATATTCCAAGTGGCAACAGGCAAGTTGAGAAGGAAGATGAACCAGTGCAATGAAATGAGCATTAGTACGGTGACGATGCTGTGGCTGATCAACTCTGGAACTACCCACTGCAAGGGAAGGGCAGAGTATTACATCTCACTGCTCTGCTCTTCCTGGGTGGGCATGTCATTTGAAGTTAAATCAATGAAAGTACACGGAACTTCCTAACTAGTGTGACAAGCTATTTTTAGACTCAGGTGTCCCAGGTTTGCATACTGCTATAACGGCTTACCCCACGCAGATAAATCAGGGAACAGCTTAAAATTAACACACTTAAATTTCCTAATGTTATGTTTTATCCTAAGCAAAGGTTCCAATTCGTCCACTAAGCAGGCGTGAATTACAGTTAGAGTGAAAATAGAATATTATTTACCTTCTAGTCCAATATCCCTGCTAAAGCTTCTAACTCTAATTTGGGATGGTATATCCACATACATGTTGCCTGTGATGTCAGAATATCAATCTTAAACATTTTTCAATCTCCAGAACCCAAGGGAAATCGTTTCACATTCACTCATACACAAACACACACACACACACACACACACTAGTACTTTAACAATGACAGCTCAAAGTTATTGAACAAATATGATAATGAACTAGGATATCAGAGCCTCAGCCTATTGGCTTTATAGCACCCAATGCCCTTATCTATGCCCTTCATTTATTGGGCAATATTCTAACTCTCATGCATTAACAGCTATTGTGGCAGGTTCTCAATTCGTCAATGGTCTTCTTTCCCCAGGAGCAGAAATTTTTCTTTTAATAGAAGTTAACAGTTTAATATTTATGGAGCCAAAAGCGGGCACTCCCCATCCACAGAAATGAGGGAAATAAAAGTTAGAGAGATTAAGCAACTTGCCCAGCTACTCAGTGGCACTGCAATACAGAATAAGTCCCGCCGTGTTGGCCCCAGGTCTCTTGCATCTGGATTTTAGGAACTTTTTTTTGCAAACAAAGAAGGGATTTTTCTGGGCCTTAAACCTCATTTGCAACCAACTGGAACTTTTTAATACATTATATGCATTTTAAAAATATGACCAATTTAACATGTGAACAGCAAAGTCACACAAACCTGGAGTGCAATCTAGGAAAAGTTATCTATAATAATTAACATTAAAAAACTACTTAACTTCAGGTTGAAGGGGTAATTTTCGCAGTAAAAGAATCCAGATAAGCTTTTCTTTGTATTTAGATCTTTGTTTTTATAAAAGAAAACCAACAAATACCCATTTAAAATATTGAGAAAGCAATGAATATAAAAAGACACACACTCCATATGTTTATATATAGTCATTTTTCTAAAGATGAGAAGGCCTGGAACTAATTTAATGTTATTCTATACACACACACACACACACACACATATATATATATATATATATATATATATATATATATATACATATATATATATAAATATAAATTTTAAAAAATAATTCTCAAAGCATAGCAGATAAACACAAAATCTTTTTCTGTAAATATATTGCTGTATTAAACCATGTTATGGAAAACTTGACAGAAAGGAAAGAGGAAGGAAGGAACATAGTTTACTAGAAATTTTAACTTTCCAAGTGTATCTTTATTTCCCTCCCAGGCCAGAGAAACTTAAGGAGACTGAAAATGTGAAAAGACACAGGGGAGTCACTTTTTGGTCGGGCCAAAAGGGCCAAAAGCCCCTCTCAGTAGTGTATTTTACATGATCTTTTATCTGGAAAGATCTTCTGTCTGCTCATCTCAAATGAATCAGGACCGACTGGTTTCTCTGCATCTAGACAAGCTCTGCAATTCAGAATATTCTTGCCAATACAAAGCTCTGACTAGATACCAAAGGTAAAATGGCTTTAAAACAAACCAGCTAATTAATTCCAGTTCTCAGCAAGACACGAAAAGAAGACTGCCTTTAATTTAATAAAAGACAGCTTTTTCTCCCGTGAGCAGGGAGGAGGGGATTTTGGACACAGACGACAAAAACAATTACCCTCATAAGAAACCTTCACCTAGACTGTGTAATAATGTTGTCTGTCCATTGCAGACAAAGGGACAAGCAAGAAACAGAGTAAAGAAACAAAAGTTCCAAGTTCATGATTTAAAATATTGCAAAACACACAGTTCTACCAGTAAGAGACAATATACAGTCTAAAATAAAATACACATGTGTTGATTATCTATAATAATCTCTAACAGAAAATGGAGAGCTGTCTGCAATGCCAGCAAATGAGCAAAGAAATGGCTTACCTTGTTTAATTTCGAGCAACATGATCTGGCATTAATGTAATCACATTCTAAATCAGACAATGTAATTATCTGATGATCAAGATAAGGAATTATTAGACTTCTTTTATAACAGTTAAGTATTTAAGTTTCAGAAAGCAATCCCAGTTGCAGGGCAAAATGAGACTTAACTTTGAAAAAATTTAGTTATTTCCTTAAAGCCTCACTCATTAGACAACACAATTTTCTCATTCATGTTCCTTCAACAAATTATTTTCACAGAATAATCCTCTCATTATGCTCAATTCTAATGTGACCCATGCTGGAACATTCAATCTGAATTCCTCAGATGCCAAACACTGGCTGTAAGAAATGGAAAAATAAGACCTATACATTTCTCTATTTTCCCAAACTTGTTACAATAAACATATATTACGTTAGAATTAAGGGGGAAAAAATGGTTTTTAGTACAAAATATAAACTCACAAAACATCCGGATAGACAGACAAAAACGAAAGTCTTCAACTGAATGGCAATGCCTGGGATTTACTTTAAGCCGCGCCACCCGCCCTCCCTCGCAGCTGGGAGGACGTGGAAAAGAATGGCGAGCCCTGGCCTGTGGCTCCGTTGACTGGAGCGTCTTCTTGTCCCGGGGCGGCCAGCCTTTCAGCATCCCTGGGCCGCACTGGAAGAAGAGTTGTCTTGGGCCACACATTAAATCACAAAAAAATCTCATAATGTTTTAAGGAAATTTACGATTTTGTGTTGGGCCACCTTCACAGCCTTCCTGGGACACGTGTGGCCCACGGGCCGCAGGTTGGACGCCCCCGACCTAGAGGATGAAGGAGAAAGCCCCCCTCCACCCTCCCCTAACACTCAAGCCCTCTAGTGCTGATCTAATTCAGCCTTTCCAACCTGAGCACCTACTGTCCAACACGGCCGCCAATACTGCTCCACGTGATCCTTAGCCCCACCCCGCGAATGTCACAGACGCACCTGGGCCCTTGCCTGGGCGTGATCATATTGGATTAATAGCCACCCCTTTCCTTCTCTGCAGATTTTTGTCAGGGTTCAAAGTCCAGGAAAGCTCCTATCCCTACGGAATGTCTGCCCTATTTTCCACCTCTTGGCTCTAAAACTGAGCTAGGGCAACTATCCAACACTACAGTAATACGGGATGCTGAACTTCCTCCACACACACCCTGAATGTACCTTAAGGTCTATCTACGTCAAATATTTCACCTAATGTTTTTCTATGTATGCATATTAAATTGGTATAAGCCAAGGCTACTTTAAAATACCAGGCCTAATGTTCGAAACTGCGAAAAGAGAAACCCGTTTCATTTCTCTGCGTGTAAGCTCCAGTTCCTTATGTCACAAGAGGGACACAGGGCATCAAAACACAGGCAAATGATGCTGCCCTTTCAGTCTATTCCCCAAACCTCATACAACTCAGGGATCTCAGTAGAAAACATCAGTTAAAGTAAAAACTGCGGCTCTGCCGGCGGAGAGGAAGGCAGAGCGCGTTTACCGACTATTGGCCGTGGGACGGGCGCCGTCCTGGTGCTTAGCACCTGTCCTCGCTGCACACACACACCTGGGAAGTGAACATTTCCCTCCATTTTACAGAGAAGGAAACTAAGGCTGGGAAAGGCAAGGTAATGTGCATAGCAAGTGTCTGGCCAAGCAAGGTGTCCCGATGTCAAATTCTGTCTCCCATTACAACAGGCTGCCTGTTCGTAATCAGGGAGGAAGCCACAGTGAACACGATCGTAAAGCTAGGATACTCAGGCGAACCAAATGTCTAATTCTCTCAGAAAGGGGCACGTGTGGCTTCCCAGGAAAGAAGAAAAAAAAAATGCAGAGTTTCTCATCGTTTTTTCCTAGCTTATATTTAATTACTTAAGTGACCTGGGCGACAACTAAGATGACATGCTTCCTCAACGGTCGGGAAGAGCTGGAGGAGCCCCCACGGTTTCTAGGGTGCTAGGTCCGACAACCGTTGTTGTTGGCCTGGAAATACAGATGAAATGCTGCAACATAAAGAGCTACACAAAATACTTAAGTTTTAAACATGGACACGGCCAGGAGAGTGTAAAAGTTGATAAATGACTGGGAACTGTATCACGTGTAGAGTTAACCGAATTCACATATCTGCAACCACCAGGGGCGACCAAAATAATCAGCAGCAGATGGTTTTTAAAAATACACCCTTCCTAACACTCTTACAAAACGGCATCGGGAAGGACATGCTTCCCCCGTTTTCGAAGAGTCGACTTCTGGACGGGAAAGTTCCAACACCCGCGAGAACAAAGAGGTGGGCGGCGGGGGTGGTGCCCTGGGAATGACGACCAGAGGCGGCAAAACGCCTGCTCCCAGCGCCTGCGGTCCAGGAGCGAGCACCCCCAGAACGCGGGCAGTCCCTCTCGGGACACCCAGCATCCGACCACGGACCCGGCCCGAGGCATCTCCAAGGAAACCCGCGACCATGTCTCGAGGGCCAACAGGGAGGCAAACCACGACCCATGCCCTCTGAAGACCCGGCAAGAAGGCCAAGAGCCTGTCGCGCTCAGGGCTGGGCTGATCCGGGCTTCCTCGGGGTGGGCAGGCCCGGCCGGGGCGCCACGGGGGAGACCCACTCGGACCCGCGCCGGCACCATGGGCGGGGCAGGCGGGGCGAGCAGGGCAGAGGGCAGCAGGGCTCTCCTCCCGTCCCAGCTCGCCACACCGGTCCACCGGCCCACGCCCAGTGACCCGCGCCCGCCGCACCCGGTTCCCACGCACCTGCCCGGGTCCCCACCCGGGCCCAACCTCAGCCCCGTCCTGGCGGCGGGACCCAGGGAGGCCTCCGCCCGCCTCATGCAAGGATACAAAATACACTGAGAGGAAGATGAGCGCGCAGCAGTCGATGAGCGAGAAGACGAACACCACCGCCTCCATCCTCCGCCACCGCCAACGCCGCTCCTTCCGTCAAACCGGCTCGGACGCCCCTACCCGATCCGCCCGATAGGCCCTCGGCTCCCCTTTGCTGGGGCGTGTAATCCACTCCGCCGGAGCGCTGCATGCCGGGAATTGTAGTACATATTTTAAAAACCGCCTTAATTCCGATGCATTAATTCTGGGAAATGTAGTCATTAGCACGAAAACCTATCAAAGAGGGGGGTAAGCCTTCCCTCTACTCTGAATCTAATTATTTCATGAAATTGTGACAAGGAATTAATCAACGAATATTAACTGAACTCTTATCATCTTCTGGATACCCAGTAGAGTTTCTTTGTCACGTAATAAATTTTCTTTAGATTCTGCGCTGGACCCATCGGAACCATCTTTCCATTCCCAAGTACGAGGTTTTCATCTCAAAGCACAAATGTAACCTCAACACTTGTCTTGCAAGTTGAGACTCGCCTTTCCTGATCTCAGTTTCCCTGGAAATGTCACAATCCCTTGCTTATTCTCTGTTACAGCGACGTTTCTCTCCACTTCGGAGTTTAGTATCTTTGAAAATTGAATACATTGTCTTATTCATTCCTTTAACAAATATTTACTGACTCCAGCCCCTACTGCAGGCCAAGAACTTCTCTAGACTCCAGAAATGCAGAAATGAATAAGGCAGACAAGATGATGCTCTCATGGGGTGGGTGGAACAGGCAACAAAATAGCAACTGAATACGTGGCCGGGGGGGGGGGGGGGGGGTTATTTCAAAGGATTATAAGCTCAATGAACAAATTATATCGAAGTCATACATTCATTCAATCAATATTTTCTGAGCAGCTAGTATATACCAGGCGCTGTACCTTAGGGATACATGAATATGGGAGACAAAGTGCCTATATTTCTGTAGCTTACATTACAGCGAGGGAGACAAACCAAAAAAAAAAAGAAATCTATTAATGACAGGCAGTTATAAATACTTTGCAAAGGATGGGGGAAGGGTGGAAAGACACTTGCAGACTGGGTGATGAGAGAAAGCCAGGCTGGAAAGGACATTTAAGATGAAATCTGAGTAGCTACATGAAGATTTGCAGGCAGAGCATGTCAGACAGTGGGAACAGTGATTGCAAAGGTGCAACTGCTCATAGAAACAGGCTGTGATTGAGGAATAGAAAGGAAGGCTAAAGTGGCTGAGGTACAATACAACGGATAAATGTGAGAGAATTTTGGGAGGTCAGAGTGGGGCAGGACAAGGCCACATGAGTCTTGTGGGCCCCTGGCAAGAAGTGTGACTTTTATTCACATGTAATTATAAAACCACTGGAGAGTTTTGAATATGAAAGCACCTTATTCTGATTTACATTTTAAAAATATCCTACTGTTTGGTGCATTGACTGTAGGAAAAGGAGACATATTTGTCTGCAAGGAGATCAATTAGGAGAAAAGAGGATACACAGGGGACTTAGAATGAAGGCAAAACCACCTGGATTTGCCTGACACAGCATAGATTCATAGGATCATAAAGGGTTCATAGGTCAAGGCTAGACAGACTGTTAACAGATTATTTATAACCCAGCTGCCGTGACACGCCCCCTGCACCTTGCACCCGCCTCTAGCGGAGCGTTCATCACGTTGTCTTCATTCCATGCCTAGCCAGCCACACCCTCGATTAGGATAGAGGTAACAGATTTTATTAGTTTTTGTACCCCTGATATCTTCTATCCTGTAAATAGCTGGTGTTTAACAAATGTCTGCCAAATGAATGACCCTTGCTGACTGTAAGGATTTTATTAAAATTAGTCCAGACTTTATTAAACACATATGGGAAACTCCAACAGAAAACATAGAGGAAAGCTTCATGACAGTGATTTGGCAGTGATTTATTGTATATGATACAAAAAACACCAGCAACAAAAGCAAAAATGATGAATGAACCACATCAAACTTAAAAACTTCTGTGTGTCAAGGGAAACAATCTACAGAGTACAAAGGCAATGTATGGAATGGGAGAAAATACTTGGAATCATATCTCTGATAAGGGATTAACATCCGGAATTAATAAAGAATTCTTAGAACTTAATACCAAAACCTGCGAATAACCTAATTTCAAAATGGCCAAGGACTCGAACAGACATTTCTCCAAAGATGTACAAATAGCCAACGAGCATGTGAAAGAATGCTCAACATCACTAATCACTAAAGGCAAACTGAAACCATAACAGTGATGGAGGTTAATTAGATTTATTGTGGTGATCATTTCACAATATATGCCAATAGCAAATCATGCTGTACACCTGAAACTAATTAATGTTCTATGTCAATTGTATCTCAGTAAATTAAATAAAATTCAACTACACGAAACTATAATTATATATCTGTTGATAGGCACAATGTATAGAGATGTAATGTATGACAATAACTATATAATGAGAGGGACAAATCTATATAGTAGCAGTTTTTCTATACCACTGAAACTAAGTTGATATTATAAATTAAGATGTTATCAATTATATTATTATAAATTAGGATGTTAAGTATAATTTTCAGGGAAACCATTAAGAAATTAACTGTAATAAAATGGAAATAAAAATTTTATCTTTTTATTTAAACATTTTATCTTTTGATTGTTAAAATATCAAGGTCTACATTAAATTTGCATGGCTAGTATGCAAAACAGTATGGAATTTACTCAAAAAGTTAAAGATAGAACCACCCTATGATCTAGCAGTTCCACTTCTGAGCATCTATGTGAATGAAGTGAAATCACTATGCAGAAGTGAGATCTGTCCCTCCCCGTTTGCTGCAGCACTATTTACAATAACCAAGGCATGGAAACAACCAAAGTGTCCATTGACGGATCAACGGATAAAGGAAATGGATACTTGTAGAGTGCAATACTATTCAGTCATAAAAAAGGAAATCCTGACTTTTGCAACAACATGGATGGACCTTGAAGGCGTTTGCTAAGTGAAATGTCATAGAGAGACTGGTACCGTGTGATCTCACTTACGTGTAAAATCTATAAAAAGCAAACTCAACAAAAAAGAAATCAGTTTTGAAGGTACCAGAGCTGGGTGAGGACACTGGATGAGGTGGTCAAAAGGTCCAAATTTCCGGTAACAAGCACGTACTGGGATATACAGCATGGTGAGTAGACCTGGTGATACTGTATTGCATATTGGCGAGTTCCTAAAAGAACAGATCCTAAAAAGTCTGATCACAAGGAAAAAAAAATCTGTAGCTATGTCAGTTTAATGGGTATTAACTAAAATTATTGTGCTTATCATTTCATAATATACACATAATCAAGTCATCATGCAGTCCACCTTGCACTTACAGTGTTACATGTTATATCAATATAACTACAAGGGAAAAATCTAAAAAAAAAAAAAGAGAGAGACAATGAGATACCATTTCACACCTACTAGGCCAGCTATAACTAAAATACAAAAGCAGGTAAGTCAGGGAGAATATAGAGAAGTTAGAACCTTCACACGGTGCTGGTGGGAATGTAAAACAGCAGAGCTGCTATGGGAAACAGCCTGGTTTTTCCTCAAAGAGTTTGACATTGAATTATCTTATGACCCAGCAATCCTACTCTTAGGCATGTACCCAAGAGAACTGAAATCAGGTACGCACAGAAAAACTTGTATGCGAATGTTTATAGCAGCAGCATCCTTAAGAGCTAAAAGGAAGAAATATTCCTAACAATCAACTGATGCACTGACAAATGTGATATATCCATCCAAAGGAATAGTATTCAACCATAGAAGGAATGAAATACCAATAGGTGATACAACCTGAATAAACCTGGGAGACAAAATATACTAAGTGAAAGAAGCCAGACACAAAAGGTCACATATTGCATGTTCTAGTTATACGAAATGTCCATAATGGGCATATCTACAGAGACAAAAAGTAACTCAGTGATTTTTGGGGGCCTGGGGAAAGACAGGAATTGGGACCGACAGCTTAACGGGCATGGGGTTTCTTTTGTGGCTGATTAATGTTTTCAAATGATATTGTAATGATATTTGCACAATGCTATAAATACACTAAAAGCCACTAAATTTTATACTGTAAAATAGTTGAGATGTTGAATCCTGTTGTGTAAATTTCACCTCAACTTGAAAAACAATTGAATTATACCCTTAACATGAATGTATTTTATTATAAATGATACCTTCATGAAGTTTTTTTTAGAGACTAATGATACTGAGTCCTTATTCAAGAATCTTTGTCTCTTCTTGGCCATTTGCTCTTACAATTTCATTTCAGATTCAACTTTTTATAATCCTTCAAATAACCTACAACCACTCAAATTACTGTTGTTTGTGAATGACAAAAACCTCAAATAATGGTGATTTAAACAAGAAAGAAGTTTATTTTTCTTTCTGGTCCTGGAACAGGTCAACTCTTCGGCCTCAGGGCTGTGCACACTTTTTCTACCTGAAACTCTCTTCCAACACAACCAGTTCCCGCTATCCTTGAGGTCCTCACAGGTCACATTGTCAGGAAGTGACCACAGCGACTTAGGTAAGCTCCCTTTGTTATTCTCTGTCACAGTACCTGATTATTTACTTGCAATTTTCATTCACTCACTTAGCAATTATTCACTGAAAACCTTCTGTATGGAAGGTTCTCTTCGAAGGGCTGTGAAATCCTTATTCTTCCTCATTATTGTAATTATATGTCTTGCCTGTCCCTCTCATGACAACGTAAGTTCCAAGGCCATATCGGCTTGATCATTACTGTAGCCTCTGAATTCAGCAGAGTAACTGTCATTTAGCATAAAATAAACGTCTGTTGATTGAATGCCTAAAAAAAATGTCAGATCAATATATTATTTTCATTTTATCAAAGATTAGGGACATGAATGAGTCAATCATCTCAAAAGAGAACAAACTGGATTAGAAAGCTCTATTATTAGCCTTTTCCAAATAAAATAAATCAGAGATTTTCTTTTCCCTTAAGCTCAGAGAACATGGATACGACCGAGTCTCCAGCTCTCAGCTAGCGGGCCACCTCCCTTTTGTGCCTCTGCTGTTCACGCTCTCGCGCTCTTCTCCATGGTCCTGTTAAACACAGGGTGGCCATACAATATATTGTCCAAACTGGAACATTTAGAGATGAAGGTGACAAACGGAATACACAAATGAACAATGGCAAGACCATACATAAAAACAAAATTCTGACCCTGGCCAGTGTGGCTCAGTGGATTGAACGCCAGCCTGCAAACCAAAGGGTCTTGGGTTTGATTCCCAGTCAGGGCACATGCCTGGGTTGTGGGCCAGGTACCCCATAAGGGGTGTGTGAGGGGCAACAACACATTGATGTTTCTCTCCCTCTCTTTCTCCCTCGCTTCCCCCCCTCTAAATAAATAAACAGAATTCTGGCTTATATTCTGCAACAACCAGTCCAGGAAGCTAGTCTGCTCTCTATGAAGTCAGACCTACAGGAAACCAGACTACTATCTCCAACAAAGAAATCCAGGAAGGCAACAACAAATCTTGTAACAACTGGCCCAAAGTGGCCAGGACTCCATCAATAACTGACAACTTCTCTATTTTTTGTCCCTATTTCTCCAACTTAGGACCAAACAGAGAAAGCTAAATACGCACCCCTAACCCTGCTTCTACTTGTCCCGCCTACAGCTTCCCAATGCCAACAGCCTTCACTCAGGGCCCATCTGAGGCCTCCTGTCCTCGGCTGTAGAGCTTCTCCATTCCGCTGCCTGCGTCTGAGATCTCTGCCCAAATGCCAGTCATGGAGGCTTTCTCCTTTGCTATTATTGCAAGCTCTGAAGAGTCTTTGCCTATCCTCCGTTAGGTGATTTCCATTTATTTCCATAAAGGGGAGGCTATGAGTAACGATGCTGGAATCAAGAGGCAAAAATCAGGACTGTTCTGAGTAAATGAGCACATAGGTCGCCCTAAGCATAGAGCACAATTAGACACGAGGCCATTTGCTCCTGATATGCAAAGTTGGGGGTGCAGCACAGAAAGTGAAACGTGCCACCACCACTAGGTGGGGCTGCGCCATCAGAGAACAGAGGACACTGAATAGCTGCAGCAAGTTCCGGAGATGGATATGCACTCAGCCCGCCAGGATCTTTTTGGCTTAGATGTGTGGTACTGTAAATTCTGACCACTGGAATTAGTGTAAAATTGTCTTCAGGGCAATAAATACTGGAAATAACCCCGATGAAAAAATGTTCAGACATACCAGTATTTGGCATCATCAACTTACCTTCAATTACTGCCTACTGCACACCTGAGGCAGTCAAGAGGTGAAAAACACTCTCTTTGGCCCAGTGCATAATCAAAATAAGGGGCAACTTGTTCAAAAAGCACTATTAAGAATTTCAAGATGGTGACAGCCAAGCATGAAACCAAGTGTGGGGTCCCCCCCCCCGAGTACAAAGCCCTCTGTGAATGGGCTGCACACCCATGAAAACAGCCCTAACGATAGAATGATATTCTATCACAAAATATAGACTAATAAACTGTGGCTGTGTGTACATTGTGATGCTGCTGCGCCCTTCGGCCTATTTTCATTCTCTGTGGTCCATTTGACATGCATGGAATTAAATCACATTTAAAAAGTTACTGGGCATCGAATGTATTTGTTACTTGCTGTAGGGAATCGTTGCTAACATTTAACATATTCAAGCACATATTTAATCTAATAAAAAAAGATGGTATAAAAGTTACAATTACAGTTTTTTAAAAAAATATTTTATTTATAGATTTTGGAGAGAGAATGGAAGGGAGAGAAACATTGATTTGTTGTTCCACTTATCTATGCATTCATTGGTTGCTTCTGGTATGTGCCTTAACTGGGGATCAAACCCACAACCTTGGGGTATTGGGATGATGCTCTAACTAAAGGAGCTACACAGCCAGGGCTACAATTAAAATTCTTTTGCTTTTCTCACAGGACCCAAAGGGCAGGGCAGGGACTGGAACTCGTAGGCACTCAAGAAATACAGTGTTGAATGAATGAGGAGGGTTCAATGGGTAGAGAAGAGAAATATCAGGAAGGGATGAAAGGGAGATGGTTAGCTAGGATTCTCAAAGTCATCGGCTGGCCAGGAAGGACATTGTAGACAAGAGGAAGTGTCAGCAGAAGCAAAGTGCTGTGTATAATTTATTTGTTTATTATCATTACCTTTCAACAGAACTGTAAGCTCCCCCAAAGAAGGAATCTTTCCCATTTCTTCAGAACTTGTATCGAGTGCCTGTGAAAATAAATACGAGTGTACGTTGCGTAACTGCAGGCAATACTATTCTACTTAGTGAAAAGCGGAGTAAATACGTGGTGAAGAAATAGGAAATGAAGTTGGAGCCAAGTTGACCAATGTGTTGAATATCAAAGTGACACTCTATACTTCTCATTGTTCATATGAGAACTATTGAAAAAAGCAGTGATATAATTTGAACTCTAAACAGAAAACAATCAGTAGTATCCTGTTAACATCTCACCGCCTTCTCTTAATTCCATCTTGTCTCCTACCTCTCCTCACCGCAACACACTGCTTCCGCTGAGCCTAGTATTGTGATAAGCCAAGAACTCAAATAAGAATATTAAAAACACAATTAACAAGCAAGCAAACAGAAACTAAAGCCCGTAGCTTTTTTTAAAAATAATTGACTCGCGTCTTCTTAACTGGAAACAAACTTCTTGGGGCAAATACACACGTTTAATAAAATTCGGGGCTGTGGTAATTGTCGGAGGAGGGGGATGGAAAATCGTATAGGAAGTATAAATGGTAATGGAAAGATACAATTTAAAAAATTTAAAAATAAAATAAAATTGTGCGCAAGATTAAGTCTTGCACTGAATGTGCTCAACAAATTATCGGTCGGAAATGGCGTAAGATAGGTGATTTCCAAATGCAACAAACAGATGGTTTAGCTTTCTGGGTGAACCAGTCTTTCCTTGTCTTTTGACTCTCAGCCATTGTGTCAGCCTCCAGAATTGCTAGGTCGGCAAAGCAAGCCAACTGGGTGGTGGTGTGTTTTTATCCTCTCTAAGTCATCACAAATATCCACAACTTCTGGTTTTCAGATTCAGAGCCCCGCGAGAACCTACCCGCAGCCACCGCGCGAACGTGTTCGCCGAGTTGGAAACGATAAAGTTGAGCTTGTTCAAAGGGGTCCTTGTCATCCAGGGTCTGTTGGATAAGCCTGCAAAATAAGACTCCTAGGAACTCCCTGATGTTTTCTCAAGTCCGCTCACTGTTCTCGGTAGTTTTCTCCCCTCACACGGGGCACGAAAGCGCTGCGGGAGCGGCGTGGGCCAGGGCGCGTGGGGTGCATTTCGGGGGCAGCTGGCCCGGCGGTCGCCGCAGGCAGCTGCGAGGAGGCCCCCGGGTCACGTGAGATCCGGCGCCCAGGCCGTGGCAGCGGAGGCGGCCGTGATGAAACCGAGATCCGCGAGTTTCGTGGATAACAAGTTGAAGCAGCGAATCATCCAGGTGCGTACTGGGCATCGCCGTGCCACCCAGAAGCCCGCGTCCGCTGCCCAAGGGCGCCGTCCTAGGGCGGCTCCCGCGGCGAGCTCTCCCGGCCACCCGCCCCTGGCCGCGTCTGGGCGTGGGGCCGCTGACAGTTCCATTCTCTGCCCGGCGTGCGGGCCCTTCCATCCCGCCGTGGGGCGGGGTTTCCAGAGGCTGCCTGGGCCGGGGGCCGGGTGTAGCCAGGGCCCCGGCCCGCGTCCCCTGGGCCTGGGTGCAGCTGCGTGAGGACAGTGGAGACAACCTTTGAGTGCCAGTCTTCCTGTCTCGTGTCCTTAGGAGAGAAATGTTCTTCGGACCCCTGTCCCTGTACGAGGCGCTTTGGGGACCTTAAAGCATTTCCATTCTCAAGAAATTTGGGGTCGGGTTGGGTAAAATAGGTGGTGTAAAACGGGACATTATAATACGCGTTTGACCTAAGGGGTTGTTTTGGGGTTTTTTTCCATAATCATCACTAGGCAGCATTGTATGGTAAATGACTTGAAATGAATGGTACAGTCAGCAAGCAATCGAACTTAGGAGAGAGGTTTTTCTTTATATTAGACATGAGAAGCTGTATATTTTTCTTGTTTTTCTTTTACCGGCCGCTATCCTCTCTCCTTTTTGGAACTGCCTGTTCCCACCGGTCTGTAAATGTTGGAAGTGACTTGAACCGCTATGCTCTTACCACTTTTTTTTTTCTTTAAAGGTGTCATTTACTTTAGAGAGAGAGGAAGGGAGAGAGGAAGAGAGGGAAAGAACACCGATGTATGAGAGATACAGGGATTGTTTGCCTCCCACAGCCCCCTCCCACTGAGGACCTGGCTCACAACCCAGGCATGTGCTCCCACTGGGAATGGAACCAGCCGCCTTTCAGTTAACGGCCCGAGGCTCAATCCACTGAGCCACACCAGCCAGGGCTGCATCTTTCTTAAAACTTTGTATGCATATACGCACTTACACATGTATTCATTTTCTTAAAAAAAAAAGACACACAGAATTCTGCTGCTTGCTTTTTGCATTTAGCAGTGTACTTCAGACATCTTCCCACAAATACTACTGTTGCCTTCTTTTAACTAGCATATTCTGTCTACTGCTGCTTACAGATTACCCCAAAATTTAGCATATTATTTCCGTTGCCATTAAGGAACTTTTTGAATTGCAGGAGATATGAGATACATACAAATATGTATAATTTAAAACTGACTGTAGTAAATGACAGCATATTATAGGAGTCCAGCGAAGGGAAAGGTTAACTGGAACCGTCCAGCTTTTGCTGCCTAGTCTCTTGTGAGCAGAAGCATTCATGCGGAGCATTATCATGTGTTAGGGATTTTTTAATTTTTTTAAAGAGACGGGAAGGGAGAAAGAAAGGGAGAGAAACATCACTTGGCTGCCTGTCATACGTGCACATGCTCAACTGAGGGCCAAACCTGCAACCCGGTTGTGTGCCCTGACCACGATCAAACTGGTGACCTTTTGCTTTGCCAGACGATACCCAGCCAACCAAGCCACACTGGTCAGGGCATGTTAGCAATTCTTGAGCAGAAATCGCTCTGTCACATGGGGGGCCTGGACCGGATGACGTCCAAGTATCGAAACACGGAAGTGGAGTTAGATGTGCCAGGTTTGAAATCTGGCCCTCTAGCTTCTGTGCTTCTGAGTCTTTTAAAGCTTTTAAAGCCTCACTTCAACTTCCTCCTCTCTAAAGCGGGAGGTACTGACATCCACCTCATAGGATTGTGGGTGCTAAAAGAGATAGTGTGCAAATGGCCCCTCAGACGGGTCCTCGGGGCTCTTAGTTTCTCATGAATATTTTCATGGTGCTCCTAGACCAAAAATAACACCTACCAGGTCTGTTCATTAAGTAGTTAGGTTTTAGCACGTTAATAATTAGTTCAAATAACTTAGTAGCCTTTTGAGAATTTAATAGGTAAAAATTGAAAGAAAATTAATGTTTGTATTTTATTCTTCAATAACCACATCACTCACGAGTGGGATGTGTGTCCCTGTTGGTCAGCCCTCCATACCTTGCGCTCAGACTGTCTTTGCCACTCTTGTCCTGTGCCATGTATTGATTTTTGCGTGGGATTTGCGTTTTATCGCAGCAGCTGCTGAAAACCCAGTTTTGCAAAGATAGGACATCACCAAAAAGTGCTTTACTATTGAAGCCGTGAATTGTGTCAGGCTGTGAATCCTGCAGTGTTGGGCAGATGTCACATAGCACCGTGTCCCTTCAAATTTGAACTATCCCTTGGTGCCCTTGGGAGTGGAGTGCTTTGTTTGGGATCCTAGAATGTAGTTAAGTTCTCACTTGCTACCTTGTAGCTATTCTACTTATTGTTTTTCTGTGTCATCATGATTGATCATTTTAGTTAAATTCTCTGATTCCAGATGTGACTATCCTTTAGTGATTTTCATTTGTTTCTGGTATAGTTTATTAATGAAGTGTTGACATTAACGTATATCATGTTTGAGCAGCTCAGTGTCGTATTAGTCGATTAAAATCTCTTGAGTTTGAAATACTGAGTGTTTATATTTACTGTATTTTTTGTTTTAGTACCTCACCGGTAACAAATGTGGCAAATATGTGGACACAGGAGTCTTAGCATCTGATTTACAAAGAATGTACAGGTAAAGAAATATCTGCAGATTCTGGCTTTTCTTTCCTACCTTTTTTAAAATTCCATTCTGCCTAAATTTCCAATGATATTAATAGCTGCTGGCATTAGTTCTCCAGTCCATAAGTTCAGAATTCAGTTCAATGGTACAAACATTTATTAAGCATCTATTACAGGCAAGGAGCTGCCCTGGTTCCCAGGGGGAATGGTTACCTCTTACTTCTCAGTGCCTTATAGTCTGCTCAGGAATCTTCTGCTTTATTTAAAAATTAAACCCAGCAGGCATGCTCTTCCCCAGCTTCCTGAGTCTTCATGTAGAAGTGTGTCACTCGTTTAGCCTTCCCACTAAAAAGTAAATCTTTCTTTTGTGCATCTAATGCCACATCTTCTGACACCTTGTTCATTAAACATCCCTTTGTTTCAGTGTTTCTGTTTTTATCTCTTTGTCTATATATTAGTTTGGTAGAGCCGTCATAAAAAAGTATCTCACACAGGGTGGCTTAAACAACAGAAATTTAATTTCTCAACAGTTGCAGAGGCTAGAGGTCCAAGATAAGGCGTTGGCAGGACGGGTTTCTTTTGCGGCCTCTCCTTAGCTTGCAGATGGCCGCATCCCCTGGGACTTCGCTTGGTCTTCCTTCTTGTCTAAGTGTCAGTGTCCTAATCTCCTCTTCTCATAACCGTACCAGTCCCGTGGGAATAAGGCCCACCCATATGACGTCATTTTACCTTAGTTACATCTTAAAGGTCCTGTTTCCAGATACAGTCACATTCTGAGATACTCAGGGTTAGAACTTTGGAGGCATACAGCTCAGCTCAGCTCATAATGCTCTACCTTCTTCCAAATTCATGCCCTTCTCGCTTAGAAGTAAACGAACAGCAACTTCAGAAGTCTGCACCCATTTTTGTCTCAGCTCTAACTCCCAAGATCTCATCGGACTCCGGAATGGGTGTGACTGGGGCTGTGGTTCATCCTGAGGCAGAATTCCTCCCCAGCTGTGACCTGGGAAACCAGACCAGTTACCTGCTACCAAAACACAGTCTCGGGCAGACCTAGGGAAGGCATTCTCATTCCAAAAGGGAGAGATTGGAAACGAGAAAGGTCTTAAGCGAGTCTGAAACAGCCGGGCCTGAAACAGCCGGGCGAGTCCCCCTGGACTTCAAGAGCGACCGCCTGGCCCAGCGCTGTGTCCTGTGAGCTCACTCGGCTGGCTGCCCTGCCTTTGGCCGCAGTGCCACTGCGCAGGCTGTGCTCCCTGGGTCTCTGGTGGCAGTGGTGGCTCTGATAACCTCTGAGCCACCTTGCGAGTTGTTCTTCCTTCTTCTTTAACGAGACTGATGTCTATAGCTGAATAGCTCTTTGGGCCTGTTCTTTAGAATCCCAGACATCCAAGGGCCTTCATTTCATCTTGTCTCTGTCTCCTTCAGTGCAGGCTGGCTGTGTTTCTGATGCTATAACCCATTTCAAATCAGGGAAAGTTATAGTAGTAAAAATGTAAAATTCCAGAGTTGTTTGAAAATGGGTTTATGGTCAGGGTACATTCTGTGACTTAATTTTATATTTATGCAAATTTATGTGTGGAAGACCACTGTACTACACTTCTGTTATGTTTTTCAGTATAGACTATGGTCGAAGAAAAAGAAATGCTTTTCGGATTCAGGTAGAAAGAGGTGAGTCTATTAGTGTTAGAGCTGAATTATGAATAAAGCTATAGAAAGAATGGTTTTAGCTCATGGCATTTTTTCTTTCTTGTTTCAGTATTTAGCATAATTAGTAGTGAGAAGGAACATAAGGATCTGAAAGAATTAGAAGATGAACATCTGGCAAAAAGAGCAAGACAAGGCGAAGACGACGATGAGTAAGGGTTACAAAATGCAGGGTTTCTTTCTAATGCAGGAGTCTGGGCACATTGCATTTGTACTCATAAGGCTTTCGGTGGCTCTTCGTTGCCGACGAGGCGCTGCCCAGCACCTACCTAACCTCTCCTGTCCTGAGCTTCAACCACGCTGAGTGCTCACTCTTCCCCAAAGAAGTCAGACTCATCGTGCTGGTTTCTGTAGCCAGAATGTTCATTTCTCTTTCACAGACTCTCCCTCAGCATTCAAGAGTCAGCTTTCAAACTGCTATTACTTTCCTTGGCAGGTCTTCTTACACTCTTTTCTTAGTGTTTTTATGATAATGTTTATCATGTTATATAGCTTTGAGATTGTTTGTTTACTTGTTTGCATTACCAACAGAACTTTCTCATTATTGTTGTTTTTCTCTGCCCTGATACAGTGCCAGATACCTAAAAAGGTGTCAGTTCTGTTTAAGAAATAGTATTCTTGAGTTTTTATAAGTTTATTGCAATATAATTGGGCAACTTGTTGAGTTTTGACATATGTATATGCGCAATAAATCATCACCATAAGCAAGATACCGAACATTTCCATCAACCCCACAAGTTCTTTTGTGTCTTTTTGCAATACGTTTCTCCCTCTACCCTCATTCTCAGACAGCCGTTGATTTGCTTTCTATCACTAGCTAGTTGGATTGCATTTTCTAGAAGTTTCTGTGGATGTTTAAAAGCACAGTGTATGCTTTTAAAATATGGATTCTTTCACTTAGCATAATGATTTTGAGATTTATCAATGCTTGTATTATCAGCAGTTTATTGCTTTTTGTTGCTGAGTATGTATGGCTATGCCATGATTTTTTATCTGTTTCTCTATTGATGGACAGTTGGGAGGCTTCCACTTTTTGGCTCTTACAAAGAAAGCTGCTGTGAACACTTACGTCCAAGACTTAGGTGGAGGAGGTTCTCATTTCTCTTGGTAAATATCTAGGTGTGGGAGAGCTGAGTCATACGGTGACAGCATTTTTAACTTTGTAAGAAACTGGCAAACTCTTTTCCAAAGAATTTGTACCGTTTACTGTCACATCAGCAGTGTGTATGGTCAGTCTTTAATTTTTACATAGACTTTCACTGTAACTGTGATGTTAGCTGCAGTTCTTTTTTATACACCTAGATGCCCTTTACCAAATTAAGGAAGGTACCGAATATTTCTAGGTTGCTGAGATTTTTTTTTTATTATGTTAGGTATTTGTCAAATGCTTTTTATGCTTTTATTGAAAGATTCTACTATGGCTTTCTCCCTTTATTCTATTAATCTGGTAAATTACATTGATGTTGAGTGTTAAGCCCATCTTGCTTTCCAGGGATAAACCCTAATTGGTTCTGATACATTATCCTTCTTATATATTGTTGAATTCTATTTGCTAGTCTTGTTCTTTAGATGTTTGTGTCTAGATTCATTTGGTCTGGGTTTTTTTGTTTTTTTCTTTTTTTCTTTTTGCAATGTCTTTGTCAGGTTTCAGTTTAAGGTTAACTGGCCTCATATATTGGAACATGTTTTTGGTCTGTATTTTATGAAAAAAGTTTGTGTAATACTACTCTTATTTCTTTCTTGAATATTTCTTAGAATTCACCCAGAATTCATCTAGGCCTGGAGCCTTCTTTTTGGAAAGAATTTTAATAACATTTAATTTTATTAGATATTGAGCTCTTCCTATTTTCTTTTTCTTATCTCAGCGTTGGTAAATTGTACTTTTAAAGCAATTTGTCCATCTCAGAATATTATTTTCCTTTTAGTGTCTATAGGATATGTGGTAATAGCTTATTTTCATACTTTATAGCTGCTTCTTTTTCATTTAGATTTAACCATAATTTTAAGTAGTTCCTTATTCACGAACATTTGGTTGTTTCTGGTTTTGCACTATTCTGTGTATTATAAATACTCCATTTGTTCCTATATCTTTGTACACATTTGTTTGTTTTTTATGTTAAAATCCTGAAGTGATACTTCTGGGATAAGAGATTTATATTTTTGAGTCCATTTGGAGTTGTCCTCCAAAAGCCCTTGCGTTAGTTTATACTCCAATAGCTGTGTGTAAAAAGTGCATTTCTCTGCACCTTTGCATTCCTAGTTGTACTACTGTTTCATCTTTGCCACTTTTATATACAAAAATTGATCATATTGTCTTTAGTTGTAGTTTTTTAATAACTAGTGATTTTCATTTGACTGTTTCATGTTTCCTTTGCAAATTGCTTATCTGTGGGTTTTGTCTGTCATTTGAGAAGTATTTGAATTTTCCTTATTAGTTGTCAGAGGTCTTTGTATAAGATAGCACCTCTTTTTATATGTATTGCAAATGTTTGTCCTATTTTGCCATTTGCCTTTTCTTTTTGTTTGTAATATCTTTTGATTTTAGAAGTTCTGCATCTTTACCTAGTCAAATCTATCAGCCTTTTCTTTTATGGTTTATGCTGATAATGCTCACATAGATCTCTAGCACAGGAGGTGCAGAATTATTACCTATACTTTTTTCTTGTTCCTTCATGGTATTACATTTAACTCCTTAGTCCATTTGTAAGTGACTACTCTTGTAGGGTATGAATTGTAGGGCAAAATATGTTTTCCCAAGTAGTTGAATAATCCACCTTCTTTACATTGAAAAGAAATGCCCCTAATTACATGAATTGAATTTAATGAATAGCAAAATAATTCATTTCTTAATTATAAAGATGGGTCATAGCATTCATGTAGACCTTTTTACTTAGGAAAACCCCTTTTTTATTTAATTATTTTCTAGAGAAACAATAGTAACAGAGTTCTATAGTTAGTTGAAGTTATTAGATATCAACTCTTTGTTATAACAAACTGAGACTACATTCTCAGGTTGTAGTTATTAGGATTTATATTTGTTTTTTGCCCTCCTGAATATCCTTAGAAAAGTTACATTTGTTTACATGGCTTGGCCATGTTCAACTTACGAATTTTTTACTCAAAGTGCTTAATTATGACTTGCTGGAGTATTTCCTCTCCTGGTATCTGATATTCCTAAATGAACCCTTGGATCTGATGGGAATTTGCATTTCACTTTTTTTTTATTGCTAAGCTAAAGGAAATCACAATTTATTAAGCATTTTCTATGTATTAAGGACTTTGAATATAATTATTTATTATATCCACTTTGTAGATAAGGAAGCTGAGGCTCAGAGAGATTAATAGAAGCTAGTAACCGGTAAAGCTGGATTTTGAATCCAAATTTTTCTGATTCCAAAGCCTGCATTCTTAACCACCATAATATTCCCCCTCAGTATACAGTATTTTCTTGTTTTAGGTAGTAAGTTTTTTAGGATGTGAGAGAAAAGCCTTTAAAACATTCCATGTCTTCTTTTGAATGAGGGACACCGAAAGCTATTCAGAGGATGATTCAAGTACGGAAGACTGCGCAGACCCACCGGTAAGCCAGGCCTTTAGAGGGGACTTTGAACATCATCAATAAACAAGTGATGCTTCCTGTGTGCCGTGTTAGTGATCTCTTGTGTTAACCGTTTTTCCCATATTTGTTTTTGTAGCCTACTGCACAGGGAAAAAGAAGGGAAGAAAATGGCCAGAAATAAGGGCAGACATTGACAGAAAGGGGAATTCATAGTAAAAACGAAGAAAAGGATATATTTTTTACCAAAGAGTTAGCATTGCCAATAAATAGATTTGGATTAAAGGAATGCATAGGAATAATATGTAAAATTATTTGTAACTTACTGTCTATTCTTTTCCCCATTGGTAATTCAGTTTTTGAATTTATTAACGGTCATGGTGATACTCAGTTATATGTGGTCTAGTTTTAAATGGATGGGTTAATAGTAATTACTAACAGTAGTAACTGACTGACTACCAGTTCCTGTTTATACTTCTGTTATATTTTTTTAAAGTGACCATTCATGTTCAGTTTTATTTAACTGCCAGTTATGAATTGGTGCATTAACTTGTAGTGGAGAGGGGGTACATCTTTTTGTATAGTAAGGGTTTGTGTTTGATTCATCTCACCACAAATACCTCTTTTTCTGAGTATAAACGTTATGAGAGGAACTATTGGGAGCAAAATGTAGAGAACTTAGTAACATAATCGGTCAGGCTTTATGAGTACCTATTGAGTAACCTATGCTAAAATCATGTTTCTGCCAGTTGGCAAATCACATGAACACTTCCCTGCTCTCCTTATATCGGAAAGGAAATCCTGACTCTGTTTCAAGTACTCCCGAGATGGAGCAAAGAGAAACCAGCGTTTCAGCACCGCCGATAACTTCCAGAACCGGCTCCATTCCTTTGAAGACCCCTGCCAGAGGTTCTGAAGGAGGATGGTTTATCGACAGGACTCCAGGTGGAAGGAAAGACAGCTTTTTCTTGGACCTATCAGAGGAGAAAAGTAATAATAAGAAGCCAATATCTGAGATAGAGGTATTTTTGTAGTGAAATCTTAACCCATGTAGTTACTTTACAGTTTTTTCGTTGAATATAATATTAAGCAGATTCTTGTGTTAAACAAAAGACATAGGAACTTTGAAATACACGTGCAGTTTCATCTCTGCACTGCTGCCATCAGTCCCATCCTAAGCCACACCTCTGCTCTTTCTTTTTCCTTTTTTAAACCAGTAGGCCTTTTCTTTACTACAGTTTAGAACTCCTCTAGTCTTTCTTGCCTTAACTATTGGAATAACCTTCCAGCTGGAGATTGCTTCCACTCTAGTTCCCCTAGCTTATTCTTCACACAGAGGCCTTTCTTGTGAATTAAGTCAGATCGTTGTCATTCTTGTACTAAAAACCCTCCAGTGGCTTCAGTTAGTCTAAAATCGAGGCCCTCGCGATTGCTGGCGAAGCCGTGTGGTTTGGCTGCCCTGCTGCCTCCAAGCCTCATCCGCGGCCGTCCTTCACACCTCCCAGCTTCCCCTGAAACGCATGGGCCCCTCCCTGTTTCTGGAGCCCACCAAGCACCCTCTCACTTGGGGCACTTGCACTTTTTCTCTCTGCCTGGGACATTCCCTAGCTCTGTGGTCCCCGCCACCATTTCCTCACAGCTCTTTATGTGTCATCTTCAGAGAGAGGCCTTTCTGACCTGCGCACTGTTTCCTGCCCCTGCTATAGCCCTTTTTTTAACGTCCTTACCACCACCTGACTTGTGTAATTGTTTAGCTGATTTTCTGTCTTTGTCTCTGTCCACTGAAATATCCGTTCCAAGAGAGCAGGGACTTTGTTTTGTGTAATAATGTGTCCTGGCTAAAACACGTCTAGCATGCAGTTGTCAGTTTGTTGAATTAGTGCCTAATGAACTTTCTGAGGTGCATTTACTAGTGTGAGTTAAAGAATTACTACTTGGGGGATGTATTACGGAAAGTCGGTAGTTGTAGGAAGGAGGGAAGATAGCTTTCAAACCAGCAGTGTGGTTTATTTTTACTTTAGGGTAATAGCTTAAGGGATCCAACACAAAAAGATATACTGTGAAAATGTGTAGAATAAGTAGGTGCCTTGTTTTTTTAACCTTTAAAGAAGAGTGAAACTTGGAATTACCACATATGGAACATACTGGGCATCATTTTTAACTGCTTCTTTTTAATGCTTGGCAGAACGAGAGGAGATTTAAAATAGTCTGTCCCACAGTAGACTGGCTGTATTTGCTCTGGGCTTACTGTCCAGTGTGGTTAAATGCTGGCCACATGGGGCCACTGAGCACTTGAAATTTGGCTAGTGCAAGTGATGAACTGAACTTAAATTTAAAAACTAATACTCGATTCAGTTCTTGACAATTCATTTTTAAGTATGTTTGGGATGACTTGGGTTAGTGAATCTACTTTTTCAGCTCTAAATTTTCTGAAACATAAAAGCAAGTGAAATATTTCCCATGAAAATTTAGTGCCTGACTTGAGATATGTTATAAGCATAAAGTACACATTGGTTTTTGAAGACTTACTACAAAGACAATATAAAACATCTGGCTAATTTTTTATACTGACTATATATTGAAATGATACTGTTTTGAAGATGCTTGGTTAAAAAAATAGATTATTAGGTTAATTTCCCTTTTCTCCTTTTTTAAACGGGGCTGCTAGAATATATATATTTACATATGTGGCCCATGTTATATTTCTCCTGGACAGTGCGTCTCTAAGTGGTGTACAAGAACCAAGCCTTTTGATTTGCCAGAACCTTTCCCCGTTTGAATTATTAATGAACCTTTTTCAAATCTCTTTGCATTAATTATCCAGGATTCAAAAGAGTCTTCTCTTTTGGAGAGTAATAAAAAAAGGAAGGGCAGGTTAAAGAGCAAAGGAGGCAAAAAGAAGAAAGAAGATCCTCAGGAAGTAGATGGAGAAATAGAAGCTGTCCTGCGGAAGAAAGGTGAGGTGCAGGTCTTGTGGGTGGTGGACTGGTCATCCCCTCTTCCAAGCAGATTTGCTTGGGGGACCTTCTGTGTGTAGAGACGTTTGTTAGAAAATGCTTCACTATCCACTGGACCTTTGTTTACTAAGAACAGTTAAATGTGAGCTACTGCAGCTTCACTGATCTTTTCACTTTCTCCTTTCTGGTCACCAGCTAATGCCGTAGGGCCAGAATTCCAGACGTCCAGTGTGAAGTTTGAAGATGTTGGGGGCAATGACACGACGTTAAAGGTTATTCCAATTCAGAGTTTTACCTCCAGTGGGTACTTTGCTGATCAGATATGCCCACCAAGCCTGCCTCTTTGTTTCTGATGGGAACTAGGTCTAGGAAAGGAGACTGGGATGGGGAGGAGGGCAAACTGAACTTGCACCCTTTGGGGTATTGAGGGACAAAAGAAACGTAAGAGCTTCCACTTTCTTAACTATAGCGTACATAGATACATGCTTTGTAAGTAATGTGATTTAAAAGTAGTAATAATAACGGTTCCTACTTATTTTTTAGTGTCTACTGTATTCCAGTTACTGTGCTAGCTACATGCAAGGTAGATGTTAGGAAATGGAAGCGCAGAGGTAATTATTGCTGAATTTCTATAGTCACATAGTAGGCACCAGAGCTGGAATTCAAGCTCAGGTCTAAGTCTGGAGCCTGTGCTCTCTCTACTGTATTTTGCTGCTCCAAAGAATAGGACATTTCATTCAATGTCGATTCTTTCTTGGGCCGAGAAAGACATCTTTGCTATTTATTTCCTGCCAGGAAGTCTGCAAGATGCTCATACACATGCGTCACCCGGAGGTGTACCAGCACCTGGGCGTCATACCCCCTCGTGGAGTTCTCCTTCACGGACCACCAGGCTGTGGGAAGACGTTGCTTGCACATGCCATTGCTGGGGTGAGGCTCGCCGACACGTGGTTGCTTTTGTTATTTTTGTTGATAATTGGTTGTTTTTTCTCTTTGATCACCTTGAACCAGATTTGTCATATTCTCAAGAGAACTGATCTCTTCATTTTCTTTACCTCTTTTATGCTGCTCTTTGTAAAATTTTTATTTTTTAAATATACCCAGTTATTTATATGGATTGGGTGGGAAGCAAAATCATATAGCTGTGAACAATCCTTTTTCTTAAATGCATTTACATTTTAGTTACTTCCCTTTCTCCTTAAGCCAGTGGTTCTAAAGAGCAGTGAAATAAGGAAACTACGGATGTATTTTTTTTATAGAGCTAAACTTATTCAGAATTTTTATTCAGGATCATTATCTTATACTTTTTAGGGTTAAAATATTCTTTCTAAAATAGATATTCACTTGATAAAACAGGTAGCACTCTTATTTACATCCCATCAGATTTTTCAGAAACTGTATTAGAAGGTAAAATGCAAAATGCCTGAGTAATTTCAATTTGAAGAACAAGATGCTATACTGCTTACTGAAAGATTAGTGCTCCATGAAACAAAATCTTTTGTATAGAACTTGATGGATTTGCCTCATTTATTCATTTGTTGAATAAATCTATTTTGTGACTGCTGAATGCCAGACATTGAAATACAGCGATAAGTACAACAAACCCAGTTTTTTTCTTTAAGGAGTTTTTCAGTCTAATGTGAGAGACAGACATTACACAGTCATCTGTACAAATAAATGTCTGCGTAGTCACAATTGTACTAAATGGGAGACCGAAGAAGCGCAGAATGCCATATGATCGTTGTTGGGATACCTAAGTTGAGAGTTGGCATCAAAGAAAATATGGTTGTGGAGTGACTTTCAAAATGGCCAGAAGAGTGAGTAGGACTTAGGCAGGCTTGTCGCCATTTGTGTGGGAGAGACAGTGGTGGTTTCTCTTCCTTTCCTTACAGAGCTGCCTCTTCTGACAATTGGCTACTTCCCTGGGTTCGGGGTAGAGAGATGCTGGCAGAGTGTGTGGGGGGCAGCTGTGTCACAGCACCTGCTGTTTCCTCCCTGACAGATAAATTTGTTTTGGCTCAGTTCCAAGTTGGGGAAAACATACCTCTTGAGAGTTAAGACCCTTTATTCAGAGGAGATGGTAACAGAGTTTTGTAGCGACATCTGTGGAGTGAAAACTAGTGGAGGGTATCTTGTCAATGTGTGTGAGTAAAACCATAGATTTTTAAATAAAGTTTTTATTGGACCAACACAAAAAGACATTCCTCAAGAAATTAGTCGTTTTTAAAATGTAATTTTGAGCCCTGGCTGGTGTGGCTCAGTGGATTGAGTGCTGGCCTGAGAACGAAAAGGTTACCGGTTGGATTCCCAGTCGGGGCACACGCCTGGGTTGCAGGCCAGGTCCCCAGTAGGGGGCGTGCGAGAGGCAACCAATCGATGTTTCTCCCTCTCTTTTGCCCTCCCTTCCCTCTCTCTGAAAATAAAATAAAATCTTGAAAAGGTAATTTTGAGAGAGGGACTGAATAAGCAAAAAGGAGGGAAGCTAAAATTTAAAAATTTGGTCATTCTTTTTCACATTTGTGTGTAGGAACTTGACCTTCCAATTCTGAAAGTAGCTGCCACGGAGATAGTGTCTGGAGTATCTGGAGAATCTGAAGAGAAGCTGAGAGGCCTGTTTGAACAAGCTGTGGTGAGTCAGCAGTGCCAAGCGTCGGGTGGCCACATTGCGCGGGGCCGTAGTGAAGATCCTGTTTTCTCTCGAGCTCGTATTTGTTACCCATTCACTGGCCCTTCTTTGCTGAACGTCGCAGTTTGCTACCCACGATGACTAAATATTTAAAGCAGATTTAATGATACAGACCATTGGATAAAATAATCTGTTTAATCTGAAACCAAATATGAATATCAGAACTTCTGGTGAGAAGTTCTGGTCTGTCACACCCAGTAGTGTATATTGAAAATAGGTTATCCTTGTGATAATTTACTTTTTACTTTCTACGATTTAGGTTTGCCAGGCAACTTGTGAGCAGTGTGAAAATTTTTAATATTAGAATCATCACATTATAAAGCAGCCATAGCAATGCCAGGATAAACTTTTCTCTATTTGCATAATTAAAGCTGTGAAAAGAAAATTTTGTCACCAGAGAATTACAGCTTGGATTTTATCCTAGTTGTAATTCACGTTACCAATTTGGATGGTTAAGAACTTCTGAGGAAGATGATATTTGTGTCCAATTAAAGTTTTCCTTTCAGTATAGTGTCCTGAATAATTGTGTCTACTTTCAAGTCTGAAGCATAGGTTCAAACCCTTGTACCACCATGTACTGCCATCTCAGACAAGAGATTTAACCACTCCAACCCCCAGTTTCTGTACTAGAAACTAAGTTAATAGTACTACTCAAATCTCATGGGGTGCTTGAAAGTATTAAAGGAGAGGATTCTTCTAGAACCTTCTGGGTAGTGCACAGTACATAACAAACGCCTGTAAACATTATGCATCTTGAGTGTCACCAACCACCACAGTGCTTAAAAACTACAGATGGGGGTGAGTTTAATTTTATGTCATTACTTGTACCCAGAATGGCCGGTGCAACTGCTGGAAGCTGATATGAAATTAAAAGAGAAATTGTATTTCAGCAGGGAATACTTTTTAAAATAGCAAGAATATAGAAGTTGCCTACTTGGTTTGATGTGTGGACATTACAAGGAAGATGCAGAGAAAGGGTAGGAAGGGTACTTAACCGTACAAAGCAAAGCTAAACTCTTTCAGGTGCTGTCTGTTTTCCAAGATGAGCTAGTAAATAATTAATAAAGTTTATGTTTGCAGTAAACACAATGATGAATGAAAGAGACAAAAATATGCCTTTAGGTGGTGTGCTTCTCTCTCTGAACCAGTTCTGAGCTTATTATTCTTTTCTTCCTCTTTTTTCTCATTCAGTTTTTCAGGCCATTGGTAAATAACTGTTGTGCTTATTTTCTGAGACCTTTGGTCTCTAAAACTTCTCTTGCAACTGGGTCCCCTACCGAGTCGTCAGAGGCGCCTCTCTGGGAACGTCGTCCTGAGGGCGACTGGGACGGGCAAGCTGGCGGGTCGGATCCCTTTCCTCTGGAGCGGCAGGGGCCCCCATGGGTCTGAGTCTCAGCCGGGCTGGCAGTCTTGTTGGCGTCGCTTCTGGCCACTGAGTAACCACGGATGAGCTGCGCTTTAGAGATACTTTACTTAAAGTATTTATCTTAACATCCATATTTTTTTCCCTTGTTTTTATTGTGGTAAATACGTTTACTTTATCATTTTAAACATTTTAAACTGTACAGTTCTATGACATTAAGGACACTTATATTGTTGTGTAACCACAGGACGAAGCTCTATCCATTAAACCCTAACTTCCCTTTTCCCCTCCCTCCAGCCTCTGACAACCACCGTTCTGCTTTCTGCCTCTATGAGTTTGACTAGTCCAGGCAGTGGGTGCTTATATTATATCTTAACTTACTCTACCCTAACTCTGTAGTCGATGTTTTAAAGAAGACTCCAGATGATGCATAGGAACTGGACCACCTTTCCTTATTCAGTGCCATCTGCAAATGAGCCACATGTGCTGTCAGCGGGGGGTGGCTGAGTTCTGGGGTGGCTGGTGGTGAGGGTGCCCAACGTAACGGCGTTTGATCGTGCGCTTAAGGCAGTGAAAGCAGTAAACAGCATGTGTGTTTTACCACAGTAGAAAAATGAGTGAGAGCCTCTGGTGCTTTTCAAATTCCTCTTGTCGCAGATTCTAGGGGAAAGCTTGGATGTTTTTATGTTGGTAGGAGCACACATAACATTGGTAGTAAGCTTAGGTCTTCTAATTAAAGTTTATAAACATATAATTTCTATTTCTTCGCATAGCAAATATGCCCCATTACAAAAGAATTTTGGTAGGTTTATCATCCCAAAACATGAATTGATGAGAAGACTATACATGTGCTGCATATGGAGTCTCTCCTAAGGCTCTTGCTTGTGTTACATCAGGTAAAAATCAGAAGTAACACATTGTGAACTGCCTTCTTCAGGGGTTTTTTTTGTTTTTGGTTTTTTTTAAGTGAATGATCCTTGAACTTTTAAGATTTTTAAAAATGTATATAGTTAACTATGCTGCAGTTTGGGAAATAAATTTATGGTTGTCTTTTGTGATATTTTCATTTCTAGTCAAATGCACCCTGTATCCTTTTTATTGATGAAATTGATGCCATTACCCCCAAAAGAGAAGTTGCTTCAAAAGACATGGAAAGAAGAATTGTAGCCCAGCTCCTAACCTGCATGGATGGTTGGTTTAAAATAATGGATTCGCTTTGAGATAGTAATTGTCTTTATTTTTAATAGTATAAATAATATGTGAAGATATAAAACATTCAAATAGAATAAAGCTCAGAGTAAAAACAAAAATCTTTTTTCTTTCCCAAAAGATTACATCATTAATGTTCTGCCTTCACTCATCTCTTACCTGCCTATTGTCATCAAATCACAACAAAGACATTTCCTTTCCGTTCCTCTTTGTTCAAAATTACTATTAGAATTCTGTTTTCAAAACACAAATCTTATCAGAACAACTTTCACGGCTTCCTGTAGACCCAGGAATATACTCTGAACCAACTTCCTTAGCAGCTTATTACCTGTGAGGGAATGGAAGCTTACACTCCTTGCTGGTCAACCCTGGCTCAATTGGGAGAAATAATGCTTATGAGAGTCACTGGATGCTACGCTCTGTGCCTAAAAATGTAACTGTGGGTTAAGCCAGAGCCACTGAAGACTTTATTGTGTCCCCCCAACCCCTCATTTCAAGGTATTGCTATGAGTCTGTTTGGAGACACATACTCCTCTGTCTTGCGCAGACCCCCTGTCGTTGGACTGCTCACCTGGTGCTGTCCGTCCTACCGTTTCTCCTGTGTAGAATCCCATTACTTGTCACTGCATTTTGATACCCTATCCCTCAGGGCTGGCCTGTTACCTCCTTCATCAATTCCATCATTCCCCTTCCATCATGTTACTGTGATGCTTTGTTTACACCTGTTAGGCGTCACAAAATCTGTCTTTTGTGTTCCTCAGTAGGTTGTGAGCTGCGTGAGGACCGTTTGTATTTATCTTCCTCACGTAGCAGACGTTCAGTAAATGTTAATTTATCTGTGTGCACTGCTTTTAAAGTGTGTAATAGTTTCTCTCTAACCGCTTAAATGACTGTGTAAGCATTATTGCCCTGAGTGTAAGAGTCTTGTTCACTCATCCTGTGTCTGGTTCCCACTAGATCTGAACAGCGTGGCTGCCACAGCCCGGGTCCTCGTCATTGGCGCTACGAACCGCCCAGACTCGCTCGACCCTGCCCTGAGACGTGCGGGGAGGTTTGACCGGGAAGTGTGCCTGGGCATCCCAGACGAGGCCTCCAGGGAGAGGTGCGCTCTTACGGGGGAAGGCGCGTGCCACTCTGTCGCCTGAGCGGGGCGCTTTGACATTGGGGGGTGAGAGAGGCGTTTAGCTTCTCGTCCCCTGCCTCTCTCTGCCTCCCTCTCTCTGTGTGTGTGTGCCAGTTAAATTGATTTGGAAAGGAAAAAAGCCACATTAAATTAATGCTTTAAGAACACAATTTATTCATAGGTAGGGTAATTGTTTTGTGCTGTTTTTTCCGTAGTAATGATGAACTTACGTATCCTTACTCATTGTCCAGGCTTATTAACAATGGCTTACGTTTTTCAGTTTGGCTGGTCAGCTTCAGGACAGTGTCCAGAGTATGGGATAGAGTGGTGCTCAGTTCACATGCAGGGTGACTCTGGCTACCAGACTTCAACCTGTTGCACTAACCGGCCCAAGACCACGGTTCTGTGAAAAACAACTAAATGAGAGCCAGCGAGTTGAAATCTGGGTTTTACTGTAGAACCGGCCTCTCTTAGTCGTGATGGGGAATGTCAGCAGAGCAAAGAAATGTCCGCTAACATGTCAGTAATTAAAAATACCTCAGGGGGCACTGTGTAGCAGTAGAAATTGAGGGAAGAAATGTTTTGAAATACTTTATATCTAGATATAGATATATCTATAAAATGGCTTTTGGCCTAGGTTAATGACACTAAAATTAGTATACACAATCACCAGCAGCTTTTAGGAAAAGTAGTACGTAGTAAAAGGAAATAGGGGGGCAGCGAGGAAGGGAATGCAGGAAGCAGGTGATCAGAAGGTGCTGTGGAAAGGAGAAGGGGTTAAGGAACACGCGTCACCCTTTCTTCCTCCTCGTACCCAACATGGCTTCAGCTTTTGACTGGTTGGCAATTTCTTCCTCAGCTACTATATTCATAGTCATCTACAAGCCTGTTACTTGCATTCCCATGTAGGTAATCTTTAAACAGCTACTCAGACGTTCAAGTTTGTGTACTGACCTGTTTATAATTGCAGTGAAATATTATTTAATATTGAAATTGTTTGCATGTATTCAGCAAACATGTATTGAGCATATTGTGTAAGTATATGCCATTCTGGTAGGTAATATGAGGAATATAAAGAATTATGAGTCCTTGCTTTCAAGATGTTTCTAATATAGGAAGGCCCTGTTCTTTAGCCCCTTGTTTAAGTGCGAGACTTCATGGTAGAGACACAGACACGGGGGAGCCCATCACCCCTACCAGACAAAATCTTTTGTCCATCTAGTCCGTATCCTGTCACCAGTGAAGTCCTTAAAGGGCTTTTGTAGATGGCCATATTTTGAAAAAATTCAGGCCTACAGGAAACTTGAAAAAATAATATAGTGTCTGTATGCACTTCAGCTAAGTTTACCACTTGTTAACATTTTTGCCATGGTTACTGTCATTATGTATATAAAAACATACATATATTTATGATTTGTGTGTATGTACTTTTTTTTTGCCAAGCCATTTGAACGGTAGTTGAAGACATCATGATACCAGCCCTAAATACTTCTCCCATGTGACTGTTTTACCATTTTTTGAAGAAGTAACTGTTCTAATATGAAATTAGAGATTAAAGTGCATATCAGCATAACTTTTTGTAATGAATACAATTAATAGTTTGAATTTGAAGCCTTTTATTTCCCGTAAATGTCTCTTTAATCTACTGTAAAAATATCCACATAAATCCTTTACCTTATTTACTCTGTAATACTGGAAAATTCTTAGAGGCAGACTAGTTTTAAAAAATCTACATTTTTATTCCTCACAACATTTAATATAGTTCGTAACAAAGCAGATATTTGCCTTAATACTTAGTGGAATAAAGTGGGATATGTGATAGTGATTTAGCATTTGCTGAATGAGCTGTTTGATCCCACACTGTACCCATTTCAATACCACTGACAAGAGAGGCGCAAGAACTTCAAATAAATGTATTCAGCCATGTGTTTTTACTCGTAGTTTAGGAATCTGAATTTTCTTCCCTGTCTTTTCTACAGAATACTTCAAACTCTGTGCCGAAAACTGAGACTCCCTGGAGCGTTCCCGTTTCGCCACTTGGCACACCTCACGCCGGGCTTCGTGGGCGCTGACTTGATGGCGCTGTGCCGGGAGGCGGCCGTGTGCGCGGTCAGCAGGGTCCTAATGCAGCTGCGGGACGCGCCGAGGGGAAGCCCGGAGCCCGAGGGTCGGCTGGCTGAGCCCCCTCGTAAAGCGCAGGTGCTCTCTGCACAGTTGCCTGAAACCGTCCTTTCATGTTCCGCGTTCCCGGTATCTTACATACAAGCAGGCATCAGTGTAGCTGCGGTTTATGATTTTCTGTGTCATTGACATTTTATCTTCAGAATAATTATCAGATCCACTCAGACTGTTTATTCAAAATTACAAATTATTTTATTATATCTTTTGGTTTATTCTGAACAAGTTCATTTTACAGCACTGATTATGAAATCCTAGAGCGGGCAGGGGCTGGCAAACCACGGCCCACCTGCCTGCCACCTGCTTTCATAAATGAAAGTTATCCTGGGACACAGCTGTGCTCACTCATTTACATACTGCCTGTTCTGCTTTCACCTTTCGCCGCAGAATTCACACAGGAGTCCCCCAGCACAGACATGGGGCCCACCCCTTGAGGGAAGTTGGCCGACTCCTGCTCGAGCATTGGGCATTCAGTTGTATTTTCTGGTTACCTTTCAGCTACGTGGATTAGAAGGTGCTGCTGTGATCAGTACCCTTGTCCCTAGCTGCAGGTGGCTCTGGAGGACAGGCCGTGTACTAGAGAGGGACAACTGTCAGTCCAGGATCAGTGTTAAAATTTTGAGTTTGGTAGATCCTGAAAACTCAAAACATTTATACAGCATTTGATAGTTTGCACAGGGATCATCTGTATATTATATAATTTGATCCATGTAACTGTGTCAAGTAAATATCATTACTTTCCTCATTTTTATAATCAGAGAAACTAAGTAACAGATTGTGAGTTGGCCCAAAGCCATACCCCTTCTGCTTTCCAGAGCAGGAACTTAGATCTAGGTCTTAGGTTTTCAGAGTTTTAGTTTTTTTCTTACTCATTTGGAACCACTCTTATATCTGTTAAAAATAATAATAAACTTACTCTTTTTATAATGTTCTATATAAATTAGGATTTTATAAATCAAATTATTCAGAGTTACTCTTTTATACTTATCCTTTCATATTCTTCACAAGGCAAGAAATCTGCCTTTGAAGTTCAAGACTTGGTAGGGCCAGGATAACTGCCAGCTTTCTGTTTAGTTCATAAGCCATCAAGGTACCATATTATGAAATTTTACTGCCATCAGAGAAACTTTGTTTTAATTTCATCAAAATTCAGCTGCTTCTTAAATATTTATAAATGAAAAATGGAAATAACACAGTTGTTGAAATGGATCTGTGCCAACTGCTTCTGTTTGCCACCGCTAGCTGGAGTGGAGGATACAAAACGCATTCTTCTAAATTTGAGTATAATTGGTGTACCTTTCTTTGACCAAAGCAAATGGTCTATTTAGAATAAAATTGAACATCTTGTGTCTGGGGGAAAATTATTAAAATACATAGAAGTTCACAATAGCTTACCAGAATATTGCAGTAATAATTTTTAACAGTATAAAAATAATGTTTTGACAAACTTTGTGCTTTTTTTTTTCCCTCTCAATTGCTGCCATTCAGGGTGAATTGCAAAGTCTGCTGATGTTGCTAAGAAACCAAGATCCCCTCTCAGAGGAGCAGCTGCAAGGGCTGTGCATTGAGTTGAATGATTTCATTGTTGCTCTGTCCTCAGTCCAACCCTCTGCCAAAAGAGAAGGCTTTGTCACTGTCCCTAATGTGACATGGGCAGATATTGGTGCCCTGGAAGATATTAGAGATGAGCTCACCATGGCAATATTGGTAGGTTTATCAGTAGCTAAATGCCATTGGCCCATATGATGGGTCAGTAATCATGTGTGTATGCCACGTTGTATGTCTAAATTGACTTGACTTTATATTTTCTTGTACATGTTCTGTTGTATTATTATTAAGCCCCCAATGATGGTTATCATTCTTCTGGGAGGTATTTTGGACTTACTCACTTGGTCATGCTAGGATTCTGTGACAGGTAGTAAAAATAAAAGTTTAGGTTTCAACTAAGACCAGATTGTTCAAGGAATACTTTCTGAACTCAGTCAAGCTCATAAGGGCCAAAACAGTTTAATAATGCCCATGGAACTTTGGATTTTTATTTACTCTCTTCCACTTTACTGATCTTTCCTTGGTTCATTAACGAAGTATGATCTATAGAGAGATGTGTAACTACTGAAAGAGAAAATACAGGGAGGTTATTACATTGAACAGTATCTCTGGCCTTTGATTATGTGGAGTGCTGCTGCTTCTGGTTTCTTTTTTTTTTTTTTAATTTTATTTTAATTTATTTTTTCAAACACATTTGTCTCTGCTTACCCCCCACCACTTTCCCTTGCCCCCTCCCTCCTTCCCTCCCTCAGCTCTTCCCCTTTGGTTCTGTTCATGAGTCCTTGCTATATATTCCTTGACTTTCCCCTTCCCTTCCTTTTCCCCGCCCCCCCCTTCCCTCTTGTCTCTGTTGATTTCTTTTCCTTTCAGTGTTGCTGGTCTTATTTTCCTTGTATCTTTGTATTGTTGGTTAGGTTCCGCTTATAGGTGAGATCATATGGTATTTGTCTTTCGCCCCCTGGCTTATTTTGCTCAGTGTAATGCTCTCCAGTTCCATCCATGCTGTCGCGAAGTTTAGTAGTTCTTTTTTTCTTTCTGCTGCGTAGTATTCCATTGTGTATATGTACCATAACTTTTTGATCCAATCATCTACTGATGGGCATTTAGGTTGCTTCCAACACTTGGCTATTGTAAATTGTGCTGCTATGAACATTGGGGTGCATAGGTTCTTTTGTATTGGCGTTTTGGTGTTCTCAGGGTATAGTCCCAGCAGGGGAATCACTGGATCAATAGGCAGTTCCATTTTCAGCTTTTTGAGGAAATTCCACACTGCTTTCCACAGTGGCTGCACCAGTCTGCATTCCCACCAACAGTGTACTAGGGTTCCCTTTTCTCCACAGCCTCGCCAGCACCTGTTGTTTGTTGATCTGTTTAGGATGGCCATTCTGACCGGTGACCTTTGATTAATGTAGAGTGCTGCTGCATCTGGTTTCTTAAAGCAGGACATGTCCTACAGTTTTTATAACCTAGAAATTTAGATAATTTTTTTTAAAAACCTTTATGTGTAAAACGTTTTCAGAACTTATCCTTAAGTATGGATCATTCAGGAGCAGGGACTTTTTGTTTACCACCATGCCCCTCATGCCTGGGGCAGAGGTAATCTCTTTGTGCCAGGCACTGTTCATATCTTCAGGCCTCGTGATTGTGCTGAGAGTACGTATCTGAAAGTAACTTAAACATGCAGCACAGAAGCCCATTTGTAATGGATCACCGTTGGGACTGTACTTTCCAGGCACCAGTTCGTAACCCAGATCAGTTCCAGGCCCTTGGATTGATGACTCCGGCTGGAGTCCTCCTTGCTGGTCCTCCTGGCTGTGGGAAGACTCTGCTGGCGAAGGTATGGTGTCAGTTCAACAGTATGTATTTCATTTCTTATTATTAGGTAGGATAATAGGAATTTAACTCTGAACGTTACACTGATACTTGCATATAATTTCTATTAGAAGTTCATTTTAGTAAGACTGACCGTTTTCTTCAGGGAGGTTTCCCTTTTTTTTTTCCCTTTTATTTCTCTCTTCCCCTCCCACCCATTCCCTTGTAACCATTATTTTACTATCTGACTTTTACATATTTGACTTTTTTAGGTTCCAAATATAAATGATTGTACTTGTCTGTCTTTGTCTCTCTGCCCTAGCTTAGCAAAATGTGCTTAAGGTCCATCCATGTCAGCACAAATAGAAGACTATCCTCCTTTTTTATGGCTGAATAATATTTCATTGCTTATATGTAACACATCCTTCTTACCCATTAATTTATTGAAGGGCATTGGGGTTGTTTCCGTATGCTGGTTATTGTGAATAATGCTGCAGTAAACATGGGAGTGCACATACCTTGTCAAAATCCTGTTTTTATTTCCATTGGGTATATTCTTGGAAGTGGAATTGCTGGATTGTATGGTACCTCTATTTTTAATTTTTCGAGGAAACTCCAGTGTTTGCCATACTGGTTCAATCAGTTTACATTCTTACCAACAGTATATGCATATTAGGATTCCCTTTTTACCACATTCTTGCCAGCGCCTGTTGTCTCTTGATGGCTGCTCTAACAGATAGGAGGTGATACCCCACTGTGGTTTTGATTTGCATTTCCCTGATGATTAGTGATGTTAAGCATCTTTTCATGTGTGTATTGACCATTTTGATGTCTTCTTTGGAAAAATGTCTATTTAGCTCTTCTACCCCCCACTTTTATTTTAATTACAAAAAGTACACTATTGAAAATTTGGAAAAGAAAAACATTTTAATCAACTATAATAACCCCATGAATTTTAACACAGCAATTATTTTCTGCCTATTGTATTCTAACTTTTAATGAGTGTTATGTAGTAATAGTTTGTAGCTGTCCTTGTTTGTTGTTTTTTGGGTTTTTTGTTTTTTGGTGTTTTTTTTTTTTGAAATCCTCACCCGAGGATGTTTATTGATTTGTAGAGAGAGGAAGGGGGCGAGAGAAGGAGAAACATTGATTGGTTGCCTCCTGTAGGTGCCAAGACAGGGGCTCTAACTAGCAACCTGGGTGTGTGCTCTGACCAGGAATCGAGCCTGCAACCTTCTCTCCAGCTGCCAGAAATTTGCTACATCTCTGTTCAGTCAGATTTCTGGTAGCTGTCCATTTGGAGCAGGGAATCTCACCGAGGACTCCAGAGATGGGCCTCACAGCTCGCTGCATCGATGAGCCCGGACAGCGTGTTACATGCATATGTACTTTTTACAGGGAGAGGGTTTGCCTCTTTGATCAGGTTCTCCAAAGAATCTAGAAACAATAGAAAATGTTCTAGAATGGCAGAAGTGAATTGTTACTATAGTAAAGTCATGCAACCACTTAACAAACAGCAGAATCTGGCAACTGAGAACTGGGTATAAAATTAATATTTTGGCTGATGTTGGTTGTTTTCTTTATTCATAATGACAGAATAATAAAATATTGCTAAACACTAGCACAGTAAAGTATAAGGAACACAAAGTAAAGGCATGTGATTGCTGGAGCCAACATACTGAAAATAATGACTAATAAGAAGGAAACTGAAAAGAATAGTAAAAATCACTGAGTTGTTTGGAGCTGTATCGTATGGAAGCAAACAGTGCCTGGCAGTGAGTTCAAGATTCACTGTCTTTATTTGTAAGCCAAAGAAGATTTCTAATAATTTCAGGAACTGTTGGGGTTTTAATGGGTTAAATTTTAGTTAGCTGGCATTTGGATGTTGAAAACTTAATGTAGATGAGTCAGACGTCATTAGACATGTATCCTGACTCTCCTTTACGTAATAGTATCGAGCGAGAGGCAGAACTTGGGAAATTGGCAGCAGGAAAGTCAGAGGTGGAGAGATGGGATAATCCTCCTGTTGAGAGCAATCTTTGCCTGGCAGAGCATGCATGTATTTGTTTGTTCAACAGGGCTTATTGAGCTACTTACTCTTTGCCAGAAATTGTTTCAGGTGCTAGGGATAAACTGATGAACCTATTCTAATGGAATTTATTGTCTGGAAGAGACAGGCAGTAAACAAGAACAATAAAATTACAGATTCAGCTAAGTCATAAAGGAAACAAACAGATTGTTGTGCTATATGGATTGGGAAGGCTGTTGTAGGTGTGGTGTTCAAGGGGTATCTAAGAGCCCTGAGGCGGCAGCCAGCCACGGGAGGGGCAAGGAAAGTGGGGGCTGAATGGCAGGCGTGCGAGTCCCTGAGGGGCTGCGAAGGGCTTGGTGAGGTCCGGCACCAGAGGACGGGCCCGTGGCTGGGGCCGGGAGGGACGGCCGTGTCCCGAGAGAGACGGCCATGTCCGGAAATAGAGGCTTGTAATGTTCCAAATTGGAACGGAAGATAAATGAGAAGTTGAGTAAAATGATACGACCCGATACACGGTTTTAAAGACTGCTCTGACCCCTGTGGAGATGGAGGAAAGCAAGAGTGGAAGGCAACCAGTTCGGGATTTTGCGGGGTTGGTTGGCTGGTTCGTTTTTTGCTTCTGTATGTCCAGGCATGAGCTAACGGTGCTCTGGATGAGGTGGTGGCAGAGCAGAGAAGTAGAATGTGTCCGGCTCATGTGTATTTTAACAATAAGCTAATAGGATTTGCATGTAGATTGGGCGGCATGACAAGACAGGGATCAAGGAAGACACTGAGATTTTGACCTAGAAACTGTATTTACTGAGATGGGAAGGAAAAGAATTTGGGTCTGAGGGCAGTTGGGAGAGCTTCAGGAGTCCTGCCTTGGAAATGATAGCTTTGAAATACACCTGTAGGGTCCAGATGGAGACGCCAAGGTCAAGATGCGGACTGTGGATCTGGAGCTCAGGTGTCAGGTTCTAAGAACAGGAAAGAGCTCTGTTACTGGACCATTTTGAAGTTCTGAGACATTGTACAGAGATTTCTCCTCTGCCTTCAGATTATAGTCCTTGGACTCTTGTACACATATAGCCATGTGTTCTCTTTGGCTTTGAACCATTGTTATTAATTGCAGTTTAATCTTTATTAAAAATAGCCTGTTGATACTGACCCTTGGTAAAGACTTAAACTAATGTTTTTACATTTAGGTTTACAAATGAATGAATGTTTTCATTGGGCAAGGCATTTCTTGATCCAGAGATGATGATTTTTCACTAGAATTTCAAGCAAGGGCCACACATGTATGCAACATTTACGTAAATATTTTGTGTCACTTTCACCTGATTTCTAGTCTTAGTAATTCTTAGGGAATTTTAGGTTAACATTTTTTTATCCATTTCTTTTTTTCTTTTTTTCCCATGTGTCTCCTCTCCTAATGGGAAAGAGGCGACTATGAAAGTGGGGAAATAGAATATAAGCCACAAGAAGTTCCTGTGTTATCACGTTATTGTTACTATTTTATTGTATATTCGTCTTATTTGTATATTTTTGTTTCCTCTTACTAGGCTGTTGCAAATGAGTCGGGACTGAATTTTATATCTGTCAAGGGCCCGGAACTACTAAATATGGTACGTCGTGACTGCCGCTGTTGTTTGGACAAGGGCGGTAATGCTCATTCAGATTACAGGGGAGAGTGTCCTCAGGTCTCTGAAACCATTGTCAGATTTTGGTAAAATTACCGCTGTAGGAGTGAAGAAATGAAGCCTTACACGGATGTACTTAATGTATGTACTTCCATAATTAAGACTGGTAACTTCTGAGCCTCCATTTTCTCACCTGCAAAATGGAAATAATCATCGTAGTTAACATTTTAAAGGGTTTACTGTGTACCATGTATTTGCCAAGCACTTCGCATCTAGTATTCTTTGACAGCCCTGTGAGATATAGATCGTTGTTTCTTCTGGTTCACAGATGAGGAAACTTAAGTTGGGAGAGTTCATATGACTGGTCAGAGTCTGCCAGCCTGGAAGCAGCAAAGGTCTGAGTCTGGGTGGTCTGACTCCTGGCTCTGCTCTCCTTGCCCTGTTGTGCGGCTCAAGTGAGTTCAGTATTAATGAACAAGAATAGTCTAGGGGAAAGAAATCACTGAAGTGCTATATGAGAACTTCTTTCAGCATTTAAGCAATTTGTGTCTCAAATCCAAGAGGCTGAATTTCGTACTTCCTATTCATCCTTATAAAAAGTAAAAATGCCATTCTGTAATAGACTCAAATAAAGATGGAATGAGAGTGGTATCCTTTGTTTTAAAGGGTTTTTTAAAATTTATCTCTCCTCCCATTTTTTGTTTCCTTTTATATGGTACTTTTCTCTAAAATAAGGGATTTATATTTAAGTATTTCCTGTGGTCCTTTTATGCACCTCTTCGCTTTTCTTGCACTTTATTTTGGCTTTCTACTGGAGGAGGCAATAGAAACGAGCCTTGGAAGGCAGGGGATTGATGGGGCAAGGCTGGAAGAGAAGCCTGTAGCCAGCGAGGGAAGGGCCTTCCTGCCAAGCTAGCCAAGGTTTCCAGATAAACCTTCCTGCCAAGGTTTATCTAGAGACTATCAGAGACCTAATTGAGGCTTGCTTTAATAAACAAGAGTAATTTCTTAAGACAGTGTCATGTTTACAAACTTTTATTATGCAATGTTTCAAATGTAGAATGTACCATGGGTAATCTAATGAACCCCCAGTATCTATCACACAGCTTCAAAAACCAAACCAAACCAGCACACTCGAAGCCCCCTGCAAACCCTTCCTAACCCTGTCTCCCATTCTCCCCCCGTAGACCTTACCACAGTTGTGAATTCGGTGTTTGTTACATCTGTGCACTTCTCTCTACATTTGAAATAGTGAAATATTTACCAATGAAATGTCTGGGATTTTCTTTAAAATAAGGAGAAAGAAAAGTGGACATAGATGAAGCCGCGGTGGTCGTGAACTGAGCCGATGACAACTAAAGCTAGGCGGTGGCTGTATTTAGGGTTCAGTGTGCCTTTGTATCTTATTTCCTATGTTTAGAATTCTTTTATAAGTAGTAAAGCAAAAACAAAAAACACGTTATATAAATGGTACATGTTCTTTTGTAGCAGCTATGATACTTTTGTTCAACATTGTATGTATAATAAGTATCTTTGTTGATAGGGTTACCTCTAGTTCATTAATTTTCTGTGCGATATTCCATTAAATGAATATAACTACACTTAAAAATCAGTTTTTACTTGATCAGTATTTAGGTTAAACATTATATACACATATCTTTGCACATATATGTCAGATATGTCCCCCCTAGGGTATATCCTGAGAAGTAGAATTGCTACATCTTATATATAGCATGTACACTTTCAAAAACATTAAGTATTACCAACTTTTACCCCAAAGTGGCTGTTATACTTTTACTAGCTGTGAATGGGAGTTCCTTTTGTTCCACGTCCTCATCAGCTCTGGTGATGTCAGATTGTTGCATTTTTGCCAGTCTTATGAGTATGAAATTCTGCTCATTGTGATCTGCTTTGTTTTTTAGGGGTAGATAGGGGGAGAGGTCTGTGGAGGAGTCCAGAATGACTGTGAGAGATTCGATGATCTAACAAGAAGGATGGACATCTTGGGGTTAGAAAGCGCATTTGCTCTAGGCTTTTGAGGTTTAAGGTACCATTCGGAGGGCACCCAGCAGGCAGTGGGGAACGGCGTCTGGGAGCTCCGAAGAAATCTGGGAGTCAGTCTCAACCAGGTGGCACCTAAACCTTGGGAACAGAAGGCGTCTGCTAGGGTGATACATGACGGAGCCCTGGGAGACACCAGCAGGCACAGGGCACGAAGGAAATGCTGGCAAAGGAAACGCTGGCAATTGGCAGCAGGCCGAGGACGCCCAAGACTTTCTAAGCCTGGAGACCCAGGGAAGGTCATTCTTCAGCCTTGTCAGTGTAACCAAACGGCATGGAAGAAACCGGCCGCAGGACTGTGGACTTGGTCCTTAGAGGTGATCAGTGACTGTAGGGAGAGTATTTCCAATAATTGTGTTTACAAAAGCCAGATTGTGATTGAACACTGAATGGCAAATAAGGAATTAGAGATAAGCTCATTTTGGTTGGCTGTATCTGAAGTCCCTTTGCCAGCTCTATTGATTGCTCACTTCCATCCCCGTGTGAGGCTCTCCCAACCTACTGATACCTTTTCTTTTACACTATCTACTGAGTACTTTGGTTCAGCATTCCAAGTATAATTTTTGCTGAAGTAAGTTTTTCAGGAAACCAAATAGGTGTACTGTATTTGAACACTGCACAGGATGTTATGATCAGAGAAAAATTTGAAATTGTCACGACTTCTGCTTTCCAAGAACTTTATGATATAATCCAGTGAAGGGAGAAGAGCTCAGAAGTTATAATAGTAGAAAGTGCTGTAAGAGCAAAGGAGAAAGTAATGGGAAGAAAGATTAATGGGGATCTTTTGAAAGCAAGAACTATTTGGGGGTGGATTGAGAAAGCAGTTCAAGTAAGGGAAGCAAAATGAACAAAAGTACGAAGCAAAATAGAGGATACATGTGAGGGAAAGGCAGTTCATTCAATGAGAAATTGAATGAGAAAACAAAAATACTTTAATCGCTGTCATCTGTGATATAGTCTGTTCCTTTATTACTTTATTATGACCATACAATCATAAAATAATATCAGAGATACCTTATGATATTGGTGGCACTGGAAAGATGTTTTCAGATTCTGTTTTACTTAGCAGTTTTATTACAGCAGAACTGCTTTTCTTATTTAACTAGTTTGAAATTTTACAAGAACAACTTCTTATGCCTAGGTAAAAGTGACACCATATTCTTACATATAACCTTTTATTTTAATTAGTGCTAATGTTAGAGCTGCTAGTGAATTGCTGTGTTTCTTGACTGATGTCAGTGGTTTATAGTTGGATTAGATTTGAACGTGTGTTATGCATAGGAGAGCTGTTAGCCTCCCGGGCGGCTCCGTGTGCCTCTTGTGATGCTGTATGCCAACAAGCTCTTCCTTTAGCAAAGTGACATGTAGAAATGACAGAAGGACAGTAAATTGTCCCGTTTTCATTTAAAATACTGTTGGAAAAATGCAGATTATTGCTGAGTATTTTACATGCATAAAGCTTAGGAGATCGCTTCTAAAATAGAATTACGAGATTTGTTTTGACCTAGAGAAGACCTCACATTGCATTTAGTCTTCATTTTATAAATGAGGAAATTTATAAGCTTAAATAATAGCTAATTTTATTAAGTTGAACCACATACAGATGGTCATTTTTAGAGGTAAAAAATGGATGAATGCTAGTAATTACATGTGCTTCAACTTAGTACTTTTCGGACTCTGACATATAAATGTCACTTCAAACTAGTTTTGCTGTAATTTGGCACAGACCCCACAGGTGAACTCTCTCTCCATTCTGTTTCCTATCTGTACCCCTTCAGTACGTCGGTGAAAGTGAGCGTGCTGTGCGGCAGGTGTTTCAGCGCGCCAAGAACTCCGCCCCCTGTGTGATCTTCTTCGATGAAGTGGATGCCTTATGCCCTCGGAGATCAGACCGAGAGGTTGGTATCATAAATTCGTGATTCAGAGGGTTTTTTAGCATCACGAACCTTTTATAAGTTCATAAAAAGTTTATACAAAGTGTAAGCAGTTCTTGTAAAGTCATTCCTTGAGAACATTGAGACTCTTTACGTAAAGAAACCTAATAATTTGAAATCAGGGCCAAGGGATAACCATTGTACTTTTATCAAACTGTGTGTGTGTGTGTGTGTGTGTGTGTGTCTTCTTTTTTTTTTTTTTTTTTTTTAGTTGTTTGCTTGCACGTATCTGATTCACACAAATGAGTAGTTGGGAATGGAAATGATACTGATTTTGAATAGCCTGCCTTGTTATCTTATCATTCTCTTCAGTTAAATGAGTTATTGAGGCAGGAGAAGACGTAATTTAAGACATGCCCTCTCAGCAGGGTTAGGTAATACGCACCAACTCAGCACCAGTGCACTCTGGGCAAGGTATGAAGTTGGTTGGCATCGAACACCACTCGCATGGCTACACTGAGTCACAGTTCCTAGAAACTCCAGCACAGAGAGTGTCCAGAAACAACTCTTACCAGGAGAACTGCTGTGTAAGAGATGTGAGGATAGTGAGGCACGGTATAAAGACTATACAACGTTTTTGAAGCAGATAGCAAAGACCACTGAATAAGTACGTTTATTACAGGATGACTGAGGAAGTGATTGTGTATCTTTTGTGATTTATTTTCAAATAGTTATTCTGTGTGTATATTCTTAGGTAGTGAAGCATTTATTCAGTACCTCGTTTCACTTAGAATCTCCAGAAACAGTCGAAAGTTGGAAAACCAGAACTTGACTGAGCGTGACGCTCACCGCAGCAGCTTAGTTCCCTCATCCAGCGGTCACCGGGCCATCAGTCTCGTCACCAAATATCCTCATCACGGCCTTGTGTGGGAGTGATGTCGGTGCGCAGGGCAGCGGTCCTTCGTGTCCCCTGCCAGCTGTCACATCCCAAAATTGAGTGTGCAGCCTAGAGCAGAGGCGCCCCGCTCCACTCGCCCCCCAGTCAGCTGGTGCAGCCTGGTGCGCTCTGGGTTTTCCTGTGGCCGCAAACAAAGCCTTCGTTTGCTGACGGCCCCTTCCGTTGCTTTGCCGCTCTGTTACCAGCTGGTAGTTGAAGTGTGGAGGGCGGCCTGCCCTGTCCCCTCATCTCCTGGCCCTCAGAGGAGTCCGCAGCCACGCAGGCTGCGGTCCTCACTGCGGCTCCCTCTCTGTGGGAGGTCTGCCAGCCCGCATGTGTACATTCTAATACTTGTGTTTTACCCCTTAACATTTTCACCTGGGGATTCTGAAAATCCTTGGAATTTGAATGTATCCTTTTTTTATTATACAAGGTGTATATGAATGTATAGTTGTGAGAAATTAAAATAAATACAAGTATAAGAAAAGTGAAAATCTTTCCATTTTCTCCTCCCTATAATTCTTCTTGGATGGGTTACTTCTGCTAAAAGTTTAATGTTTAGTATTTATCATTCTAGAACTTTGTCCATAAACCTAAAAGCATGTGTTTTTTTTTTTAATTTTATATATAAATGTGATTATTCTATCTTGATTTTCCCATGCACTTAAGAGCTTTATTTTTTAAACTTGCGCATATATTCCACAGTCTGGATATAGAATTATTTATTTAATAATTCCCCTGTGTTGGACATTTACATTATTTCCAGTTACTTCTCTTACAAACAGAACCATAGTGAATATTCTTGCCACATAGTTTTGTGCACGTGTGGGAGTACGTGATTGTTTCAGAGGCAGGTTTTCAGGATGGAAGATGCATGCGTATTTTATTTTGAAAGCTAATATAAGTCATCCCTCACATACACTACTGGCTTCATACTCCCAACCAACCGCTTGTAAAAATAACCATTTCCTCCGTTTTTCTCAACAGTGGGTAATGCCCATCTTTTAATTTTTGTCAATTTTATTGGCAAAACAGGGTATTAAATTTTAGTATTCATGTCCCTGATTATCAGCAAGGTTAATTGTCTTCAGTGATTTTGTATTTCACCTTCTGCAAATTGCCTGATCGTATACTTCAATCCTTTTGCTATTGAAGTGTTTTTTCTTTTTTTTTAGTTATAGGAGCTTTTATATGTGGTAGAAATTAGTTCACTATCCAATTATGTGTGTTAGTACTATTTTTCCCAGTCTTACTATGTATCTTTAATTTTTTATTATATACAATATTATAATTGTAATATAGTAATGTTTAGTAACCTTTTCCTATATTGATTCTCAGGTTTTTGTCATATTTAGGTAGGATGTTTTGTTTTTACTTTTACCCAGTAATTCCATATTTTTTTTAGTATCATGGAATTATAATCCCATTAATCTCTTAACTATTAGTGTTGTCTCTCTAAGCAGTGATAATAAGGTGCATCTTTTTCTTTTTCTTTTTTTTTCTTTTCTTTTTTTTTTTTTTTTTTTTGAGAAATCAGTGGGTTAAGCTCATTACCACCTCTGTACAGAAGAAGAAAGGCAGTTCATGGCAGAAGGAAGCACAGCACCACTTTTCTCATTTCCTCCAGTGTGCATTTTAAGAACTTCTATAGCTCAGTGATTTGTCCTTCTATTTACCAACCTCCTGAACCTTTCTCTTACATGTTGCCTTGAGGTAGCTGTACTTTGTACTGTGTGCTTTAAGGAAAAAAGAAAAAGACAGGGCATCCCAGATGAAACATCTGCGGTGCCGGGGAATCTGACCTGGCCTTCAAAAGTGGAGTTGAGGTTTGTCCAAGGGGAAATTCATCGCAGCTGTTACTTCTTGGAATAACTCAGTGGTATAAACTTGGGGATCAGATAGATCTGAGTTAGAGTTTCATTTCTACTCTTGCCCAGCTGTGAGACCATGGACCAGTACTCGACAACCTCTCAGCCCTGGTTCCCTATCAAAACTGTGGCTAAAATAATAGGCATGCTGGGTAACACGGGGCTGAGAACATGTTTTATACAGTACTTGGCTGTACAGTAATGACTGGTCAGGAAGTGATCATTGCTCTCTCTTTTGACAAAAGCTTTCACTCAAATTAGCAAGTGTATTATTTTGTATGGCCAAAAAAAAAAAAAGAAAGGTGATGTATTTTTCTTTTCCTGGGGCTGATGGAGCTCTGTTTAATTTCTTTTTAGACGGGGGCAAGTGTCCGGGTGGTGAATCAGCTACTCACAGAGATGGACGGCCTGGAAATGCGCCAGCAAGTTTTTATCATGGCAGCCACTAACAGGCCAGGTAGGTCGGCAGGGTGTGGAGCAGACGCGTCTAAAAACCTCCAGCATTCAAAAATCGTAAAACTTACATACATCCTGGTAAAGGAAGAGTACGTTTGGGAAGTCCCTTCTGGATTCATAAGTTGAAATAAAACCTTAGGAAGCTTTTATGTAAGCTATAGTAGAAAACATAGTATTGTTGCCTGGATTCCATGAGTTACTTGTTTTTTTGCTCAGAAAGTTCTCTTGTTGGCAGAGAATAATGTACTGTACACTTTTGACCACGAAAATACTAATCAGAATTATGTCCCATGGTTTCTCTCAAGCTTATAGGAAACCACGTGAGACTCTTGTCATTGTATCTGAAGGCTGGAGACAGGTTTTTAAGGTTTAATACTGGAACCGTGTCCCTATACTTGTGGTTAACTATTATTTAAAATTGTTTACAAGGACTCAGGGGTTTAGAAAAAGGCTCAAGGCTTCAAAAGTGCTGGAGGTGGCTTTTACTCTGGGTCCTAAATTCTCTTTATATTGCTTAATGCCTTGCCATTTGTAGGAGCCACTGTGCCACAGCTGCTCCTACACTGGTACTTGTGGTGTTAACTGCGTCTGACAGCAGTGATGTGACCATTTAATTCCTTCCATGGAGTCCTCATTTGTCAAGCTGATACAATTTTTTCATTTTCTATAAGTTACTATGGAAACTAAAACCATCATGAATTATATGCCATTTTATTGTAAAATGAAAAATTGTGAGTTGTTGTGGTTTATACTTTGACTCTGGTAATAATGAAATGCTCCCTTTAGAATCAGACAGAGCAAGCCTTGAGTTCTGGCTGTAGCAGCTCATACCTTTGCAACCGGTCTGGCACCAGCTGAGTGGGTTCTCATTCAGCTCTGACTCCAAGCACCTGGGATCAGTGTGCGCCCCTGTAGTTAGGGAGTCCCCTCCCAGACTGCCCACCTCCCGTGCCAGCCGCAGCGGTATCTCAGGACCAGCCTCCTACCATCCAGGGATTCCCATGACCCCCTCAAGTTCAGTGGTTCACTAGAACAGCCAAGAGAATTCAGGAAAGCCCTGTGTTCACAGTCACGTTTGTAAAGGATACTCATGCAGGGACACCTTAGAGGGAGTGCAGAGTTCCAGTGGCCTCGCCATGGAGTCAGGGCACATCCCATACACACACTCCCCTCCCCGCACGTCAATGTGTTCTGTAACTAGGCAGCTCCCTTGAGCTTTGATGTCCAGTGTTTTTATTGGGGTTTTATTTTGTAGCCACGATTGATTGAATCATTGTCCATGTGACTAAAATCAAATCTTCAGCTTCCCCTTTCCTCCCCAGAGGTCTGGGTCCAAGTTCCAACCCTCTAATCACATAATTTGGTCTTTCCGGTAACCACTGCCATCCTGAGGTTATCTTGGGGCCGGCCAAGAGTTATCTCATTAGCATAACAAAGACTCCCAACAGGAAATTCCAAAGATATTTGAAGCTCTAATCCAAGAACCAGGGACAAAGAAACTAAATGTATTCTTTATTATACCGCATTCATCTTGTGCATATATTACATCATCTTGCTAACCATCATTTCTTCATCTATAAAATGAAGATAATAATACCTAATTGGCAGGACTGTCATAAAGATTAAGTGATGTTGGTAATCTACCACTTTGTGTGGCAAGTAGCTTTTTAGTAATTATTACTGTCACATGCAATTGCAGCACTAGCAGTAGGAGCACTCATTAGTTCATAAAAGTCACAGCCTCCTTAGGAGAAACCTTGAAGGTCTCTCAGATTTGGACTGAATCACCTCCTGGCTTTTCAAAGTAGATAACACATCTTTTCTAACAGATTTCAAGAAGACAGTCTCAGGTCCGCTGTCTAGAATAACCTTTTCTGTCTTTATCTGCACTCATCATTGGTCAAGTTTGTTTAACATAAAAACTCTTTTAGTTTAATCTCAGTGGATTAGAAAATAATAGGTCCTTCAGTGTCACTAGATTGTACTTAAGTCCTCTCCTTTAAAACAGCCCAGGGCCTCTACCTTTCCAGGTGGCTTTTCCCATGATCTGTTCATTCGCCTTAGAATTCTTTACGGCATGCCCGTCTCCTTAGTTGTAAACGCAGAACTGAATATAATTTTCTATGTTGACTTTAACCAGGGACATGAATGACAGATGACTCACCACATGGTGCTGGAGTTTTGTCCTTTCCGGTGTCCTGGAGTATTGTCACCTGCCTGCTGCACCTTACTCATCCTTTTTGCCCGTGTCAAACCCTTTTGCACTGAAGACCTACCTTCGTCTAAAAATAGATCCTTTTCACTTGTATTCGTGCTTATTAGGTCGCTCTGTTCTGTTGTACGCTATGCTGTGACATGCTGGTTGGACTGTGTATAACTTATTTTCTGCTCAGCTTTAAGAAATCCCTTCTTGCCTGATGTTCTGGTCAGCTCTTGCTGACTGACAAACTCCTGCAGTACTTAGTGCCTTAAAATTGTCATTTGTGCTTTGCTCGCATTTTCGTAGGTCAGGAATCCATGAAGGGTTTGTCCCAGGTGGTTCCTCTCTGGCCCAGATGCCATCAGCTGGAGTGGCTAGGCCAGAGAATCCCTTTCCAGGGTGGCTTCTCTACATGACTGGTGCCTCAGAGCTCCTTGACATGCGTGTCTCTCCCCCACACTCACTGTCCCCTTCTGAGGCCTCTCCTTGGGGACAGGACTCCCATTCGCATGGTTCTCAGAGGAGCGCCCACAGAGCAGCAACCCGCCAGTGACTCCTGTGCTCCAGGGCTTAGTTTCCAGTTAAACAGCACAGGGAGCCTGGCCCGGATCCACCGAGGGATTGGGTGTGAGCCCACAGCGTGAACTGGAAGGGCTGGGGCAGGCGGCCAGTATGGGCACACTAAGGAGGAGGAGGAGCAGAGAGACACCCTCTCCTAAGGAATGTCCTGGGCAGTAAGGTGTCCACCCACTGAAAAGTCACAAGGAGGCTCTGATCCTCTCAGCTGCTCTGCCTGCCGCCTCTCACTGACGAGGAAGCGGAGGCGCAGAGAAGCCAGGACTTGCCGGGGCCCACACCCTGGGAGTGGGGAAAGGCCTAAAGCTGGAGCCAGCGCACCAGCCCCTCCCGTGGGCTCCTGCCCACTGGTGGGGCCGTTTCCCGGCAAGAATGTATTTCTTAAGCTTGGAGGTGCCGTCTGCTGCCTAAAGATGCAGAGCGATGGTTACTGAAAGTGCAGCTGGTTTCTGCGAGCTCCAGTGTCTACCTGGAGATAGCTGTTCATTATTGGAATCCTCTTGGGTTTTATTTCTGTATTTACATATCTTGCAGCGTAATTTGTGCTGCTTGTTCTTGAACTGTGATGAGTGAGACTTTGCGGAGGGGAGGTGTGAGTGGGCTCCTCCCTGCCTTAGCCTTGCCTCCTTTTCTAATGGCCACAGGCATTAGTGTTTAAATAAAACCAGCCAACAGGAATGAGGACCCACTTCTGCTTCATGAATCTGACAGGTGATTGTAATGGGCTGCAAACCAATAGACAGAAAACCTATAAAACACCTCAAAACACCTCTCTTGTCAAGTTGTAAGGAAGAATATCTGCAGACTTGGGGAAGGAAATTCAGCCAACCAGCGTATATGGGTGAATTTCTTAGGTTTGGCAGACAAGATGTTTACAAAATACAAGACTGAAATTCTAAGTTACAAAAGGCTGGGCTTGGAGGAAGATTTCAGGTTTTCTCTACTTACAAAGTCTGTAAGATTGGGATTATCCTCTATTTATCCCAGTGACGGAGAAATAAGACACAAAGCCTGAGTCTTATAAAAAGGAAGAGGGGGACTTGGGCATCTAGCAAGGGGGGTTCCAGGACCCATCGCTTAGGCGTGGGGTTGCGGCTGGAAGTTTCATCCATCCCACCAAGAACCTTTGGGCCAACAAAGCCCACCCAGTCTCAGTTGCCCAGCGGCCTGCCAGGGTCAACCATGGATACTCAGCAGCATCCGCAGGAACCACCTTACCTGCCTGCCACATTCACCTGTGCACCTGTGTTCGTATCTGTTCTACACCCTGATGTACTTATAAGAGGAACCTAAGAAGCCAAATAAACTAGCAAAATAGAAGCAGAGGCATAGAATCATGGAACAGACTGACAGCTGTCGGGGGGGGGGCGGGTAGGGACTGTTTAAAAGAATGTGAAGGGATTAGAGAACATACATGAAGGACCCATGGACATGAACAAGGTTTGGGAACTGACTGTGGAAGTGGGGGTGGGCTGGGCAGATGGGCGCAAAGGGGAAAATTGGGACGACTGTGCAGCATAGACAGTAAAACATTGAGTAGATACATAAGTAATCAAGCGACACTGCAAAGCCTGTAGCAGAAACTGTTCTCCGCCCCAGCCCGCCCCGCGCCTGCCAGGGGGCAACGCTTGTGAGCTCCGTGAGCTGCTCTTTCTGTGCTGCCTCCACATTTCAAATAAGATGTTCAAACTGTTCTTATCAGGTGCTCACACTGCCCGTTAACTTCTTTCTAAGGTAGTTGAAGGTTGTTTTCTGACCTTCACCCTTTCTCCACCTCTTCCTCATCACCCCCATACCGTCTGCTCTCTTCACTCCCCCCCCCCCCCCGTATTTTTATTTATTTATTTATTTATTTATTTATGCGTCTATGATTTTCAGAGTACATTTATTAACGCTGGGGACAGTGAAACAAGGAAGGGCATAGTATAGAAGAAGCAACGAGAGAGGCCGCTTCGGCTCACTGGGAAGTCAGAGAAAAGGGGGCCTTGGAGGCGGTTCGGGGGTGAGCCCGGGAGAGGCTGCCACTGCCCGCCGTTCCCCGGGCAGCTGGTCTCCTGGGGGCCTAGAGTTTGGGAGGTGCGTGCCTGGGAGGGGGAGCGTGCTGTCCTCCTCATATTTTAATAGTTTTATCACAACTTTGGTTAAATCACTGCACGGTGTTTATGTTACTTACGACTGTAAATATTTTTCTCTGCTCACCCAAGAATAATAACTATGATTAAGTTTCTTTTTTTCTTTGACCTTTTTATTCTTAGATTTAGTAACGCTCGTCTTTTTCCTTTTGCCTTGCTTTCTGTGTTCTTATTCTTCATCGGATACGTTATTCAACAGTTTTATTTATCTAGGTGATGTATCGATTCCTTTGATTTTTTCGTTTGTTTGTTATTAGAAGCAACTCTTTTGGAGCTTTCTACCCTCTTGTTCCAACCCGGACTGGCTACCCTCTGGGTCTGTGGTAGAAGCAGCTGTTACCTCAGGAGCTCCCTTTACTGCTTTCCTTTGCTTCGCCCTCTGTTTCTGATCTTACATCTCTTGGTTCATGCTCTCATTTTGCTAGAGCCCATTTTCCAGTGGCTTTTCTAAGAAAGGTCACGAAGGAGGTAAAGTTTTTGAGGCAAATTATTTGAAATTTTCTTTATTTTCTTCTCATTATCAGTTGGCAGCCTGGCTGGGTATAGATTTTGAATTGAAATTTTTTTTTTTTTTTAATTTGTAGGCATTGCTTTATTTCCTTTAAAGATCTATGTCATTCTCATCCTTTTTATGACTTTTTATTTATTTGCTTCATGGGTATACTTAGTACTTGGTAGGTCTTAAACCTCCTGAATTGATCTTCTGAATTGCCTTTCTCCTATTTTTCATCTCTGTCTTTATTTTTCTTCCTAATTTTTAAGGCACTGCTTTTTAGAAAGGGAATGAAAGTACTGTCCTCTCCCCATTCTGCCCCTGGTCGTCCTGAAGCGCTGTGGCAGTCCTCTTCTGATGTGGAGGAGACCGCGGTCCCCAGCCCGTGCCGCCCTGAGGACGGGAAGCTCTGTGTACACAGCACACTCAGAGCACACGTGGCCTGCTAGTTTTGATCTCTCCTACACACCTCTTCGCATTCTGTCCTTCAAACATAAACTCCTGTAAAGGGTGTTCTCAGTCGATGGACTACCTGTTTCCACTTAATTCCCTGTCTAGCTGGTTAAAAACAGTCCTGCACAGCGTACACAGGTAATGAAACCCAAATAGCCACACCAGCTTATTACCTTTTCTTCTACCTCAGAGGCACCTGTTTCAGTAGCAGTTCAGCATCCAGAGAGAGTCTCTGCCTTCTACATATGACTCAGGTGAAAAAATAATAAGTAAATTATGATGTCTAAGCCGCTTCTGGGTATGGATTAGGTTTGCAGTTTTATAGCAGAGAAATAGCTCTATTTCATGGTCTCTATAGTTGTAAGTCCTTAGTAATTATTTGTCAGATGAAAGAGTGGATGACTTACAGGGAAAATATTTATTTCACAATTCAGCCACCTCAGCTCGGCGTAGAATGCAGTGCCCTCTCGCCTGACGCCAGCATCAAGCCTCTGTGTCTTGCCCTTTGACACAGTGCTGCCCTTTTAAAATTAACTTGGGCCCTGGCATCACATCTGCTGATTTATAGGCACCCTGGTACTTAATAGAACTTGGTAGCTATTTGCTTAATGAATCACAGAAGAGACCTACTTCTGTTTTTTGAAGGCTGTCTGATACTGTAATAATTTTCACTGGACATACTGAGAGTTTTGTTAGGCTGAAGATACAGTGGTTTTGGTTTTGGTTTTTTTAAACAGCTTTAGTGACGTGCAACATACCATAAAGGTCACCCATTTTAAGTGTACGGTTCCATGGTTTTACATATGTTTTTGGTTTGGGCAGCCATCCCAACAGTCTAATCTTGGAGCCTTTCCATCACCCCAGATTGAGACCTGTGTCTGCTGGCTGTCACTCCTTGGCCTCCCCCGACTTGGCAACCACTAATCTGCACTCTGTCTCTATAGATTTCCCTATTCTGGATATTTTATGTAAATGGAATCTCACAGTATGTGGGCTTTTGTATCTGGATTCTTTCACTTTAAGTACTGTTTTCAAGGTTCATCCATGTTGTAGAATGTGTTAATCCTTGATTCCTTTTTATTGCTGAAAAATGTTTCACATTGTGGGTATTCACCAGTTCAGGGCCATTTAGACTGTTTCTGGATCAGCAGATATGAAGAGGTATTTCTCTTCGAGCATCCGTCTCATTTCTAAGTGAACGCATTTTGCCTTTAAAGTTTTGGGATTGTTGGTGACTTTGAAATTGCAACTATAAGAATTGATATCCTCACTCTGACCTGAAATCCTGTCGCTGACACCATTAGGCAGGGAACCAGTTTGTCTGTATCAGGTGGTGGTGCCCAAGGATGTAGAAGGAATCTGGACACACTGTGTCATAGAGTTGACAGGCTTTGCTAATGGCTCGGACATGGATGTGGGAGGATGGAATCAAGCTTGAATACAGGTGTTAGGCCTGAAAAACTGGAAGAAAGAGTTGGCGTTAACCAAGATGGGAAAGACAGTGGCAGGGCCCTGTTTGGGGAGGTGATGGGAAAAGATCAGGATCTCACGTCGAAGATGCCGGTGAGTCAGTGGCAGTGCTGGGTACGAGCCAGCCTCTGTCACCGTCCATCCCTTGCACACTTCCCTTCTACTGTTTAAGATCTTTTAAAGGGCAAAAAGCAGATGAGTACATACACATTCTAGACAGGCAGCACAAGAGATTCTTATATTAATAATAGCTAGTTTCAGGACACTAATGAAAGACTTTTCAAACCTAGGTCCTAGAGCACAGAGCATAGCCATCAAAATGCTCCCTGGATCACAGATAAAAGATGTGCAGTCATGGCTGATGGTTGCCAGAGGTGGGGGGAGGGGGGCGGGGGGTACTGGGTGAAAAAGGTGAAGGGATTAAGAGGTACAAATTGGTAGTTACAAAATAGTCACAGGGATGTAAAGTAGAGCATAGGGAATATAATCAATAATATTGTAACAACTTTGTACGGTGCTGGAAGTACTGGGAATATTAGGGGAACACTTTGTAAAGTATACGATTGTCTAACCACTGTGTTATACCCCTGAAACTGGTAGAAAATAATACTGAATGTAAACTGTAACTGAAAAATAAAAAATAAAGCCACAAAGATAGTACTACAAACCTCAGGATGACTAACTAAAATTGAAAAGACTAACCATACCAAGAATTGTTAAGGCTGTGGAAGAAACCGAATTCTCATGCACTGCTAATGGGAATGGAAAATAGTACAACTAGTTTTGAAAATAGTTTGCCAATTTTCACAAGTCAAGCATACACCTACAGTGTGATATAGCCATACCACTTTGCATCCCACACTTAGGTGTTTACCAAGGAGAAATGAATGCCCATACAGACTTATTCACAATTATTCATAGTACCTTTATTTGTATTAGTCCAAGAGTGGGCACGAGCCAGATGTTTATCAGCAAAAGAGTGGAACCCTGACTGCTGTGGCTTAGAGGGTTGGGCAGCGTCTTGTAAACTGAAAGGTCGCTGGTTCATTTCCCAGTCAGGGCACATGCCTGGGTTGCAGACCACGTCCCTGGTTGGAAACATATGAGATGAAACCTATTGATGTTTCTCTCCCTTTTTTTCTCCTTCCATTCCCCTCTGTCTAAAAATAAATAAAATTAAAAAAAAAAAAAAACAGAAGAGTTAGAAAACAAATTGGGGGATATCCAGGCAGTGGAATACTACTCAGCAATAAAAAGAATTCAGTACGAATACACATAGCAACTTAGAGGAATCTCCAAATAATTATGTTGAGTAAAAGAGTAAAAGTTGCGTACAGAGTACATACTGTATGATACCACCTGCACAAAATTCTAGAAAATGTATACTAGTCTATAGTGACAAAACATTGGTGGCCGCCTAGGAATAAAGAGGGACAGGGAGGGCAAGATAAAGGTTACAAAGGGGTCCTCAGTAATCTTTAAGTGCAAAGGTTTCCTGAGACCAGAATGTTTGAGACTCTCTGCCCTGTAGAAAGAGATGACTCTTAGGCTTGTCAGACCATGTTCAGAGTTGTTCTGCAGTGGGGAGCAGGAGCTGAGAGAACCGGATGCGTATTTTAGGAAGTAACCGTGGCAGCATTTTAAGGGGAAGTTTAGGCTGGGGAGGAAGACACTACATGGGCCTTGACCAAGGGTGAAGGCAATGGGAGGCAGACTGGATAGGATGTGTTCCGGTCAGAGAGGTGGGGAAACCTGCCTGGTATTTGGGGGGCCGGCCGGGGTCCTTGTCTGAGATGGAGAACCCTGGAGGCAAGCAGGTTTGGGGCAGGGAGGTGAATGGGGGCTTTCTCCTCTCAAGATCCTGTTTTGTCAAGGAGAAGCTTTTCGTTTTAATAAAGTCTAATCGATTTTTTTTCTTTTTAAAAAAATGTGCTCTTCCCATCTCTCATGTTAATTATATTTTTTTAAAGATGCTATTTAATTTATATTAGACTCCTTCCTCCCTTCCCCTGCAGATATCATTGACCCTGCAATCCTGCGCCCAGGCCGCCTGGATAAAACCCTCTTTGTGGGTTTGCCGCCCCCGGCGGCTCGTCTGGCCATCTTGGAAACCATCACGAGAGTGAGTGAGGAAGCCGTGTGTGTCTGTGTCTGCTTCTCTCGTTGTCGGTACAGACGAGGAGTAACTTAGGATGCCGGACCACCTTCTGTTCTGTAGCTTTAACTATTTTCCCAGCCTCTGTCTCCCAAAGGAGAAGATGAACCGTTTTTGATAACTGAAGAGACTTATCATTCTTTTTTATTTGCTTAACATGAAAGAGATCCTTAAAGTTAAATGCTTAACTGATATACTATGATATCACTCTAATCACATGTTCTGTTCTTGTAGATCTTTGTTACCTTACAGGAATTATCCTCAGAGCATGTTTGAAATGGAATAGAACCTTTTAGAGATGAAAAGTAAATCGGGAAGGGCTCATTACTCATAGCCAGGGCAGCACTGAGATTTGAAACCACAGTGTTGACTTCTGTCCTCCACGGTGGCTATTTGCCAACTTGTAAGATGCCTGTACAGAGCTGACTTCACTGTTTTTATAAAAATAACAAGCAGTATCTACAGAATACAAAGAAAGCAAATCACCCTAATCATACCGCTGTAAAATACCTGGCATAGCATTCAGTGTGGACATGATCCCAGCTGCTCTGTGCAACCTGGGGCAGCGGGCGGGTGGCGAAGCGGTTGCGGGAAGAGGCGGGGGGCGGGGGGAGGGTGCAGCGAAGCCAACACATTAAGTTTGAAACTTAAAAAAAAACAAACACCAAAGCTAAGGGAATGATTAAACTTCCAATTAATGTTTCTTTCCCAAAAAAGATATTATTTTTGAAAGTACTGTGTTTTCTAAAATACTATTAAAAGATACTGTATTTTGTAAAGTTAGACTTTCTGCCCGCTTATATTTTTGTAAGTTGGCCAAAAGTGATTTTTAAAAAATGGCATTTTTAATATTTAACCTTTTCCGTTGCAAAGTTTGCTGCCTTTTTACTTTAATTCCCCAGATTGTTTTATGTACAGTTTTCTGTGAATACCTAAAATATTATGAGGAAACTAGAATAAAATTCTTGGGTCTTAGACTTAACGGTCTGAAAATATTTGTGAATCAGAGCAATTTTTCAGTATCTTTTGGACTCTTAAGTTTCTTAAAGGAAGACCCAGCAATGCCATACTCCTTTTTTGTACATTTTATTTGGTATTCCTGGTGATGATGTGCTAACAAGAGGTTTATCATTAAAAAACCCCCTTGAGCAAGTAGAAATTCTTTTTCCTAACTTTCATTTCTTCCCTGTAAGCGTCATGAAAACCTACCTTGTCTCAGAAAGCCAGAAAGGTTATTTAATGTCTGCAAATGCTTTGAGATAATATTACAGTGTTTAGTGATAAAAGTCCCACTAAAATTAACTTAAATTTACCATTTAACCATTTTTAGGTGTATAGTTCCTTGGCACTGGTGCATTCACATTGTTGTGCAGCTATCACTACTGTTCATCTCCAGAATTCCTTTTATTTTGCAGCCTAAAAACCTGGTCCCATTAACCCTGACTGGTGTGGCTCAGTTGGTTGGATGCTGTTCTGCAAAGTGAAAGATCGCCAGTTCAGTTCCCACTCAGGGCACATGCCTGGGTTGTGGGTTCAGTTCCTGGTCCAGGTGTGAAGGAGAGGCAACCAGTCGATGAATTTAGATATTGAGAAGTGTAAAAGAGTTATCCTCCAAGGATTTACTTCTTGTGGTTGAGCTCTTGATTAAAACAGGGCAACAGAAAGCTTGAGGTAAAATTGTCTAGCCACATGTGAACTAGAGTGAGGAAACATCCGTGTGCTGTGTGACAGTCAAGGCAAGGCTAATAGTTTCTGGTGAACATTAAAGAGTCTAAGGATGGCTCAGGCCTCATGAGGCAGCCTCTGCTCCCAGCCCCCCACCTCCTGCTAAGGAGGGCCTGAGGGGGGACACAGAGAGAATAGTATGTCTGAGAACATTACCAGTTCAGTTCTTGGTGACAGAAAGTAGAATGGCGGTTGCCAGGGGCTTGGGAGAGGAGGGAGTGGGTGGGTTAGTGGTGCGTGCATACAAAAGTGCATTTTGGGAAGATGAAGAAAGTTCTAGAGATGGATGGTTGCACATAGTATGAATATACTTAATGTCGCTCAATTACACACCTAAAAGTGGTTAAAAATAATCAATTTTGTTAAGCAAACTATACCACAATAAAATAAGAGAGCAATGCCAAAGCACAGATACTACCCACCCACAGCCCAACACCCCGCCCTGAGTTAACTGACTAAACTGAAAATATTTACATTAAAGGGAACCTGAGGGATCATGCATTCTAGCCGTCCAGTTTTACACACAACCAGAAGGGAAGAAGAAAAAGCAGGAAGACTTTTTGCCTAAGGTCCCACAGAGAGTATTTTTCCCATGATTATTTCCCAGGTCAAAGTGGATTGAGTGAGAAACAAAACTTTCTTGAACCTATTTAGATGAACATTTGCCTTTTATCAAATAATAACAGCCAGCAGAGGTACAGTTTACAAAATTCTTAAATGTGCCCAGACGGCAGAAAAGGAGAGGACGCCATCTGAGCGTGGACTGGCTGGCGGGTGGTTGGTTGATAAGAGGCCAGAGATGAACCGCGTCCTCCTGGGAGCACCTGCCACAAATATTTACACCTGCCTGGAAGCTTCCTGGCACATGTTTATTCACTTTTCTCTGTTTCTTCTTAAACTCTTTTCTAATGTAATAATTGTTACAAAGACGATGTGCAAGGTATATGTTAGTTATGAATTAGAATAGTAAAGTATATGCAAACCTATCCTCTATGTTATACATTGTAAGTCACTAAAAACTATTATTTGCCTCTGAGAGATACTAAAAATGATATTAAACACATGCTATATGCATGCAAGGTACTGTTTTAAGTGTTGGAATTCTCAGGCTATTCCGATACTTGTCCTTTCTAGCACCTCTTGGTATTAGCTAAAGGGAAATTGGCACCAAGGTCAGGATTAAGTTTAGGTAAAAGGTTAATTAAGAAAGAACACATTGAGCAGAGGGCTTTTGGCTTTTATTGTAGAGCAATTTCCTGCTCGTTCTGTCCTGGCCAGTTACAATATTATTTCTCACTCCCTGGCCAGCGAAAAACTAAGCAATATGCACATCTAAACTAAGGACGGCTTAAATCTCTGCCACATTTAATCAGCAGAGGAAACGTGCTTTCTCACCTTTGAGAAGGTGGAGGTGGTGATTTTGTTCTTGCTGGTGTTTTGTTTTTGCTGCAGCTGCAGACAAATTCTTCAAACCTCATAAGCATAAACTGCCTTTAGCTTGCCCAGGTTTGGAGTCCGCTGCTTCACCTCATTTCTCAAAATTGAAATTTGTGAAAATCTTGTAACACTTCTCTGAGAGTCAGTTATATTCATTTAGTCAAGTAGCCAGTGCTATTTATTTAGACCCTGTTAGGTGGAAAAGAACTGGTCTTTAAAGCCTCAGTGAAAAATGGTTTTTCCTCTCTTCTTTAGAGTGGCACCAAACCCCCGCTGGACGCAGATGTCAATCTGGAAGCGATTGCTGGTGACCATCGCTGCGATGGCTATTCGTAAGGATCTCAATCTCAAGTTCGTTAATTCTCGGAGGCTCAGCTTCCTCGTGTCCAGTGAGGGAGGGTGGTGGTGCTGGAAGGGCTGAGTTAAGGATCCTGTAGCGCACCTGATGCAGGGCCTGGCCCTCCCCTAGGGAAGCAGCTACCCACATCGCGGCCCCGGGTAATGCCGGAAGTGGGGGATCCTCTCAGGTGTTGACTCTCGTTGCTCAGCTTCCCTGACCACCTCTGCTGCCCTTCACAAACTGTCTGTCCTTCTGGCGTATTTGCGACTGGTTGCCCAGTTATCTAGGTGCTTCAGCATTGATAGTCCATGAGTGTCTCGTTGTCCAAGGCTCAGAATTTATTTTCACAGCACACCTGCCCCTGATCATCCACGCAGCCTGTCGTAAAAGCAGGACATCAGCATTTCTGCCTTAAGCACTCATGTTTTTGTGGTGATTGGAGTTTTTGTTGTCTTCTTCATATGTATTTAATGAAATTTGTTAATTCGCCCCATTTTGGTTTACAGAAGAAAAATGAAACTCAAGTTTAGCAGAGGAAGACATCTCCGCTGGCTTCTTTGAACAGCCCTGTTGATCGCCCACAGTGCACTTAGGTTCATGGTATCCCTAAAGGGCTCCCCGAGGCCCAGCCAGACGAGGCGGGGTTTCCACCTTTGAGGTCCTCGGGAGTCTGTTATTCAGCGATGTAAATTTATATCCAAAGAACATATCCGCTGGTAGTAACACAGGCACTTAGTTATTTCCAGTCCTGGTTGAAGAATTTTGTATAATCATCTCAACAATATGGCTTCACTTGAAACCATGCTGATCATTTCCAGGGAGTGTGGTTAGGAGACAGTTTTGTCTCCAACTTTTTTAATACATGGACACCTAGGGCACCAAGTCCCAATCTTCGTTCTGCCACTCCAAAGCCCCTGAGAGAGATGCCACACTCTGGTCAGGAAGCCGGGTCCATTTAAGAAGCAGTGAAGGGGAAGTGGTCAGGGTTCTGGGCGGGGAGCTGGGGGGGCAGATGTAAAAGCCTGTCCTTCCCTTTAAGGAGAACGTATCTCTACCCTAGTTGGGAATTGAATCTGTACCAGTCTGCATTTAAATGAACTTACTACTAAGTAAAAACAAGAGACTTAAGGGAGTAGTTTACAGCTTTAAGTGCTAAAATCTGAAAAGATTTTCTGTAACAGACAGTTTTGATGACAGAATGTACCCTGAGCTAAACCTGTTGGATTATGTCATGCGGGGTGTTAGTGTTCAGAGGGGTTACGGTCGGAGTCGAAGAGTGTGCATTTTGGGTTTCGGTTCCCCTGTCCTCGCAGTTTGAGAAACACTGTAATCCTGCCTGTCCGTGGTGTCTCTGCACCAGTGTCAGCTTTAAAACGAGGGAAAGGGATGACCAGCCCAGCATGTACAAGGTTATTAGTGTTATAACCCTGATCCGTTACAACAGAAACATTGGATTCAGTTAATAATTTAAACTCTGTGGGTCTTTAATTTATATTATGTGGATCATCAGCATTGTATATTAAATTAGGTTAATGTCTGGAAATAGGGTTTTTGTACCCAATTCAAGTTCTTTCTCAGAGAATCTCCAAGAACCTGAAGATGTAATGGGGTGAGACTCCAATCAGCACCATTGTATTTCATTGATTCATTGAACTCAGGAATCACGTGGACTCAGCGTATTTTTACACAGAACCATTAAATGAAGGCTTGTTAGTTCTTGTCATGTTTTAACTAACTTCGGATGAGTCTACTTACTTGAACTTGAATCAAGTGCATCAAAGACTTTGGTAGCCTTTGTATTTTCCCCTTTTTGAACATGGATCCATAAATTACTTTTTATAGAAGTTTATTTTAGACATTGGGTAACATAGGAATGGGCCGTCATATCTTCAACACAGGCCCCATGAAACATTTACAGTAGAGAGCGCGTCAGTTTCTATTGACGATGCTCTGAACTTTTTATGTTAACGTGGGTATCTAGAGTTATTATCGTGGGACTATTTATGATTCATTGCATTGTTTCCTCCATGGTTTCCTTTCTCCTGAAAGTCAAAAATAGTTTAAATGAAAGCTAAGCTCTTCCAACTGGCTGGAATCAGTTTCTCCCACATTGACTGGTCAGTTTCTCATGTGATGTAAAAGAAAATTGCTCTCAGACTTCTTTCAGGTCTAAATAGTATCTAAGAATAAATAAGAACACTTCTTTCATTACAGGGGCGCAGATCTCTCTGCTTTGGTGCGGGAAGCTTCTCTCTGTGCCCTGAGACAGGAAATGGCAAGACAGAAGTGTGGGAATGAAAAAGGTGCGATTCTCTCCAGGATTTCTCACTTCTTACCACTTTTCACTCTGATTACCTGAAGCCACTTTTTACCTAGAATACGACCATTTTTCTAGCGTCTGTTATTTATGATATTAAACTGGTATTTTCTGATGAGACCTTTAAAAAACCTTTCAGAATAGTATGTACTTCTGTGGCTGACAGTCATAATGATAGCAAAGTTATTTGGTGCCTTTCTAACAAAAAGTATCAGGTATTTCCTTATCATATACAAATGCTTGGACTTGGCAAGTGAGTCCCCAAGTTCAGACATCACTGCTTTGCTACAGCTGGCACTTCCAGTTGTTTGTCATTTGAGACTTTACATTAGTACGGTGGTTTCCAACCTGTGTCCCGCAAGAATGTTTAAAACATGCAATATCTGACTGTTAGTCAGAGGCACTGACCTCCTTTCCCTTAGAGAGTCAGATTAAAAAATGACAACATCCAGCCCAACAACAGCCATCCAGTGTGAATGCCTGGTCTTGAACAATAAATATATAGGTCATATAAAAGAGTTGCATCATATTGGTCACATGGCATAAGCTGGCATCTGATTAGTTAATTCTTGGTACCAGAAATCCCTCAATACAGGTATAGGCACCTGATTTTTTTAAAAGTCATTTTGGAGCGAAAAGTGTAGGTAATTTCTTTTGTTTGTTTGGTTTTTTTATGTAAATCAATCAAAATTATACCTTCTTTGTCAGGCAAAAAATGTAATATATTTTTTGGTGTGCCGCAGAATTTTAGTTAATTAGTTTATGTGTGCCATAAGATAAAAGAGATTTAAAATTGCTACATTAACATCTTACTAAAATACCATTTGCTTTCATTTGATGTGTTCAGCTACACATTTATTTTACTTTTAGGTAAATACTCTGTCCCAATATCTGTGTAAAAAATTTACTATTTTCAGTATGAATTATCATCATATAAGTTGTTATATTAATATTTTAAGCCAGGCCTTATTTACATTTAGTTGTTAGCTTTCTCTTACTTATCTAATGCCATCACCTTATAAAGAATTAGAACCTCCTTCTAATCCAGTGTTGTGATATTATCTACATATTATATTGGGTAAGGCAAAGCATGTTTACAGTTTGTATGGGAAAATAATGCAATAATCAATAAATAATACAAGAATAAACTGTTTCCCATACTCAGAACTATAAACTTACTTTTGCCCCACTTCGTATATTATGATAGTATAACTCCACAGCATCTGATTATGTTTATGCACTCTTAAATACCTTGGAATTCTGCTTTCCATTCCCAGTTAAATATATTTGATATATCTTAAAAGAAAACAATTCTGGTTCTTCATAAAGATCATTATTAAGTTAGGGCTACACAATGCACACAGGGTTACCAAGGGTTATCTGAGAGTGGTAGGTTTCTTTGGGTGGTACTGCATTAAGGTCTGATGAGCAGAGGGTAGGGGAAATTGTTGTTGGTCAAAAAGCACAAACTTCCTTGCAATAAGATGAATAAAGTTATAGGGATTTAATGTACTGCATGATGACTGTAAATTATAATACTGTATTATATACTTGAAAGTTAAGAGAGATCTTAAAAATCATCACCACACGAAAAAATAGGTAATCATGAGCGGGGACAGAGGTGTTGACTAACCATATTATATGCAGCATTTTGCAATATATGCATGAATCATATGTTCATGTTGCCTACCTTAAACGTTCATATGTCAACAACATCTCAGTAAAGCTGGGAGCTAATAAATAAAACGCACAGACATTTTGTTGTTGTTAAGGGATAAGAATCTCTAATTAAAGACAAAGTACTTTTTTATAAAATTTGTCCCAAAATAAACTTTTGATTGCTGGGGGGGAGGATAGCGCTCAAATGTGTGATATAAAAATTAAGCATTTCTGTAAAACTAAATATGGTTACAAATATATAAATTAAATGAAAAAGAAAAAGTCTAAAAAATTTGATGAACAGACTATATCTGGTTTGAATATTGTTCTGAAAAAGACTAGAACAATTTGTCATCGTTACTTTCTTCATTGTTCTTTTTTTAATATATATCTTTAAGATTCTATTTATTTTTAGAAGGAGAGGAAGGGAGGGGAAAAGAGAGGGAGGGAAACACCAATGTGTGAGAGAAATAGTGATCGGTTGCCTCTGACACCCCCCCAGCTGGGGTCCTGGCCCACATCCCAGGCATGTGCCCTGACTGGGAATTGAACCAGCGATCCTTCAGTTTGCGGGAGGACACGCAACCCACTCAGCCTCACCAGTCAGGACCTCAGTGTTCTTCTTGAATGCTTAGAAGTCTCCCAAAAGAAGCTAAGTTAAAAATCACAACCAGTGTACTATACCCAGAGGTATATGTTTGCGCATTTGCTCTACAGGTGAACTCAAAATTAGCCAGAAGCACTTTGAAGACGCTTTCAAGAAAGTAAAATCATCTATATCAAAAAAGGTAAGAAATGTTCTTAAAAGTAAGAGAGAAGAGAGATTAGAATTTAGACCAGTAGAGATGAACTCATGAAAATAAGCAAAGTGATTGCCTTTGTGGGAGTGCTCTTGAGAGACTTGGTTTTGCATCTTTCTTAGGGACTGAAGCTCAGACAATGACCTCTTGTGTCTGGTTTTACAATCTCAGGGTTTTTAATCAGTCTCATTCATGTGCTTTTTGACTGGCTGCACCCTTTTCAATAAATAGCTTCGTGTCTTCTTGGAGCTAGACTACCCAAACTAAGCACTGGGGACTTACCCATAAGTTTTAGAAAAGTAAAAATATCTTTACTGTAAAGTCAGAAAAAGGTTAAAAAAATCACTCTTTTTCTTACATAAAATGCCAGATTTTACATGTTGTTTCTTACTTTGTTAAGGTGTATTTAGTGAGTTAAAATGGTTATTGTTGCATGAAGTCAGGTAGCACTCGGTCATCTCTGTTTCCAGACTCATGAGCTGTCCTGTGCCTGAGCCACGAGACCCGTTTCCGGGGACATTGCCCTTTCCTTTACATTGTTAGCCCTTTATCACCCAGGCTCAGTGTTTCTCATGACGATGACTGACTGAAAACGTGAGGTCAGAGTCTGGGCTGTAACCTGAAGGGACTGCTGTGTCCCAGCGCCTCCGGCCTAAAGCGCTAAGCTAGGTGGCTGTCTTTCAACTAAACAACCTGTTAAGGGTGTTGGGTTGGTGGTGGTAACTTTCAGGTCCATGAGTTACTTCTAACTCAGCCACAGCCACCTTTACTGGTAATAAAAGATAGAACTTTTTACCTGTTTTGGCAGAAGTCTCAAAACTTGATCCCACCCTCTTGGCCAGGAAATGAGGAAACAGTGGCTCCCATCTGCAGCTGGCGAGGTGTCGGTCAGAAAAGCCCTGTCATTGAATCAAAGTATAACCACACCAGATGTTGACCCAGCAACTCCTTTGTATGATTTTATCCTCAGAAATACCCATCAGCATAAAATGATTTACTGTTTGGAACATTATATATTATAATAATAGTTAAAGATTGAATTTCTGAATGATCATACAATGAATTCTATTGTAAAAAACCTGAAGAATATCTCTGCAATATATTTTTTTTTAAAAAGCAGAGATCATATGTATGATGTGCCACCATTTATATTACAAAGAGGAAAAGACAATATTAGTGTTTGCAAGTATATGCAGTGGGAAATCTAAAAGTATACATCGATGGGGGCCGTGTAGGAAAGAGCCTTTTTTCATTTTATAACTATTTATATGTATTTTTGAACCTTGTAAACATTTTACCTATCCAAAAGGATAATTTAACAAAATTGGATTTTAAAAACTAAAACCTGCTGTATTGGAGATGAAGGTATAGGAGTGGAATGACTAAAATGTAAAAGACTGACAACACCAAGGAGTAGCAAGGATGCGAAGCACTAGAACTGTCGTACATTGTTGAAAATGTAAAATGATGCAACCCCATTGGAAAACAACAGACAGTTTCTGACAAACGTTCATATTACATAAGAAGCTTCTGCTTTTGCCTCTTCTTCCAGTCTGGACTCAGTATGGTTTAGAATTTTGCTCTCTTTACTAATTAGATACAGACGTAAGAATCTGTTAACCTGATTTCTGGGGCAAACTTTGTACATCAGCAGTTATGAGAGTCACGGGCATTCTGTGGAGAAAGGAATGTGTATGGAAATAAATGTCATAACCAAGTACCACAGACTGGCTGGCATAAACAACAGAAGTTTGCTTTCTCACAGTCCTGGATATTAGAAGTCCAAGGTGCTGGTGGGGTTGGTTTCTTCTGCGGCCTCTCTCCTTGCGGGTGACCGTCCTCTCTCTGTGTCTGCACGTGGGCCTCCCTCTGCGCATCCATGTGCTAATCTTATAAATTATTCTTACAAAGATACTGGCCATGCTGGAGGAGAGCCCACCCGAATGACTTTATTTTCACTTAATTGCCTCTTTAAAGACCCCATCTCCAAGTATAATCACTCCGAAGTACTGGGACTTCAGCATAAGAATTTGGGGGGACACCATTCAGCCCTCCACAGTCATCAGCTCTCTGTTCTGTCTTCTCTCCCCTCCTCAGGATCAAGTGATGTACGAAGCCCTGAGGCAGTCCCTGAGCCCGTGACTGCCCCGCAGCGGGCGGGGAGGGGTTCCCATGCATCACCATGGCAGAGACGCCCCCACACTCCGAGGCGCTGCGTTCGGCTTGGCAGATGTGGTCCCGTGTAAGCGTTTCATTCTCAAATTACTGAGGCCAAATCGGAGCTGAAGATTTCTTCCCATCTGGTCAGCCTTGTGTGGAAACAGCCTACTTCCTCCTTAAGGAAAGAAATGTGAACTGCCAAAATAAAGTAACTGATACTTTTTTTAAATAAAAAAAAAATTTTTTTCCGAAATAATCTCAACTGTACTATGGAAAAGTTGCGATTACGGTAAAAAGCACTTCCTTCCCCTGAACCATCTGAAAGAAGTTGCCGGCCTAATGGCCCACCCCCCCAAACCCTTTCCTGTGTTTCCTGTGCACCGAGCTACGCCCCTGCCCAGCCCACCGTCGGTGAGGGGAGGAACCGTAAGCCTGCTGCCTCCCATCCTCGGGCTCCGTCCCCCGCTGCCTCCCATCCTCGGGCTCCGTCCCCGCAGCCTCCCATCCTCGGGCTCCGTCCCCGCTCCCCCGGTTGTCCCAGTGATGCCCTTTACGCTAGAAGGGTCCCGTTCAGGTTGAGCTCTTGCTGTCGGTTGCTGTTTCTCTTTAGCTTTCCTCGTGTCTGGAGCTGCTCCTCCGTCTTGGCTTTGACACTTGCGAAGGTCGCAGGCCCACGGCTTGGTAGAACACCCTCAGTGTGGATTTCTCTGATGTTTCTTTCCTCTTGATGAGTCTCAAGCTCTGCACCTTTGGGACGACGGTGGCGGAGTGATGCAGTGTCCTCAGTGTGTCTGATCGCCTGACGAAGGTGGTTCTGCGAAGCTTCTTACCCTGCAAGGTTACCTTTCGCCATAGGGCAGTACTGTGTTCCCAGTGTTTTACCCGTTACGTACGACGTTCACATTGCTCTGATGAGGTTGGTTTGGGGGCCCTTTTGTGCTGGCCTCTGGGTGCCTCTGTGGAGTCCCTAGCTGTCACTTCTTGAAGGGTGTGTGTCATGTCTGACCTCACTCATCCGTGCTGCTGCTCGTGGTGTGTTCTCAGGCTGGGTAGGTGAGCTTGGTCACCTAGGCTTTTTCTGTCCAGGACTCCCACTCCACCTCACTCTACACAAATTGTTTTGCTACTTGCTGAAATAGAGAAAGTACAAATACACAAAAGCGAATCAAATAGATAAAACAGTCGTTTTTTTCCAAGGCGTTCACAGAACGGTACAGACATCTGAATGGAATATCACAAGGCTCAAGGCAGGGGTGTAAAGAGAGGGTGCCTAGGACCACAGAGGAGGCAACACCAAAGGAAGCAGCGAACCTGCATCATGTGCTAGAGACAGGTGGTTACGAACCAAGGGAGAAGGAAAACGTGCTCTGTGGACAGCATGAGGGCGGCGCAGTCTGCCTGTGCGGGCTGGTAACCCTTGACCCTGAGGAGGAGGGAGCTGCTCAGCAAAGTGTGTTCCCAAGAGCTCTTCCTTAGGTGTGGAGGTGAAAAGTCCATGCTTTATCACAGCCAAGGACATTCGTCCCCAAAGACCACAGTAAAAGTCTCACGGTGGAGGAGCTGAAATTCCTTAGCTTCCACTCCCCGTCTGTCCTAACACCTGCTCTTCCTCCCACGGAGCTCATCACCCAAGCCAGAACTTGAAATCATCGTCAGTCCTGCTGCAGGTAATCAGTCATTTACTATTTAGAAATGTTTCTGACATCTGTCCCTTCTGTTGTCCCAGCAGACACTGGCCTAGTTGAAGCCATCATCCCCTTTCCTAATGTGTACTCAGCCTCCTAGTTCGTTCATCTCCTGTTCCAGCCTCACACGTACTAGACTCAGGGCCACCTTTCCAAGATACTCAGCGTAACATCCTTCAACAGACTGAACTCATTAGACTAATGTGGACCTTTGCGATCCGACGTCATTGCCACCTTTGGCCCCAACCCTCCCCTCCCTCTTCTTCACCCACTCCGACTGGATTTATTGCCGTTCCTGTGAGGCCCCATGTTCTTCCAGCCTTTGCTCATGAGTCCCCCGCTACCCGGAATGCCTGCTTCCTACCACCCAAACACAGCACCCGCTTCTGGGCTTGAAACAGCGCCGTCTGAGAAGTTTCACCCAGTCCCTCCCTCTGTGTTCACAACCGTGGCTCTTAATGTTAGATCAGTTCCATTTACGTACCAGGTGGCGATTCTCCATGACAGAGCCCCTGCTCATTCTGACTTGTGTGGCACTTGACACACAGGAACAAACTAACTTTGGAATTGCACAGCTGAGCCATCCAATGGCGCAAAGCACATTGAACGTCGGGGAGATTTTTTTAAAATAAAAGTTGACAAAATTAAAGCCTTCACATTTCGTAGTTCACTAAGGCTAAAGAAAGACTAGTCATTTTGTAAAACCTACACTAAAAATTTCACTTTCTCTTCCACCCCCAACTGTTAAAATGGCCTGACTGAATGTTACCAGAACCAACACTGTAACACCAAGTCCTTTGGACAGCTGTCCCAGATACCACATCTTGGCGCAGGTGATCTTCATGGCACGGACGGCGAGGTCCTCCATCCTTGGGGAGCGTCCCCGGCCGCTCCAGCCTGCCCGCCGTTTTCAGTTCGGACAACTGCAGCGTCGCGGCTCCCACGCACCAAGCCGCTTCCTCGACACCAGGGAACTGATGGAACAGCATGGATACCATCGCCTCATTCATCTCTACGGGTCAACTAATCAGGACTAACAGGTTGGAGGGCAATGAGGGGCCTGTGGTTTGGTGCTGCATTTCCTTGGCTATCAGCTGACGGGTGCTCCCTGAGCAGCAGCCTGTTTATTAGCAGCCATTGCTGTCTGTCCCACAGTTTTGGCTTTTTTTCCCCATTGTCAGCAAGTCACTTGTGGGTGAGCCCAGTTCTTTAGATATTGCAAAGTCTTGTCCCCTCGTCTTTGTCGTCTTTAAAGTCACAGTATCTACCACATGCCCAAACTGAGGAAACAAGCCATCGGGGGATCGCTTCAGTTTGGTTTTTTTTTTTTTAATTTTGCCATTCATATTGTTGATATAAATGGTATGGTTTGGTCTGATACCCATCTTTTGGGTTAAATTGTTCAAATAGCCTGAGGCCAGCACAGTGTCTCCTAAGAACTGAACATTGGGAAGATTTAATGGAGGTTTTCTGTGGTTTCCACCCCAGGCACCTATCAAACTGGGACTCCATGGCTCCCTGAAGGGAAACCAGCAAAGCTGGGGAGGTGTTCCGTCACCCCAGAGCCCTTTTCTAGCAGCATTTTTCCCTGGAAACTGCTCAAAGGAAACTTTCTAAGAGCGTGGCCTACGCAAGGATTGTCTAGAACAGCAGCTTTACAGAGGAGATTATATGGATTTATTACAACTGAAATTCTAATTACCTTCTCCTTTTGCACAGATGGGAAAACCTGCTCTCCCACTCTGGCTGACCGGGAGTGAGCCTGGCAGGTGGACAATGGCTGCTTCTCTTCATACTCCCGGGACTTTGACTCCTTGAACTTCCTTGAAATTAATATTGCGGAAGACATGAGTTTCACAATAACTGAGCCCTTAGGAAGTGGGGATACAGTTCGGGGAGCCATAGAAATGCTGCTTTGTAGCATAGAGGGAAATCAGTTTTTTGAATTAAAAAGCCCTCCCTGAAAAGGGGATCAAAAGCTAACTGATTGTGTGAACGCCTCTGAGCACCTACTTCACGGGGGGCTTTTTTCCGATTGTCTTACCATCCTCAGTTCTCTAGGAACTTGAATGTGGAAGTAATGTTCATAACCTCTAATCCTTTATTGCCCACCTTAGTTGGTAGTCCATCTTAGATTTATTTATTAAAAATGAATGTATTTGCACCCTCTTCAACTTGACACCTCGCGTGGCCCCGGTTTGGAGCATCAGCGCTTCCACAAACAGCGTCAGGCCGTGGTCACTGCCTGGTGGCGCAGGATGGGGAAGAATAGGAAGGTGGATTTACAAACATGATTTACTAATTCATCGAAACTGGACTCTTCAGTTTATATTCGAGAAAACTGAGGCTCAGAGAGGTTAAGCAGCTCGACCTTGGTCACACAGCTAAGCGGCATCTGGGAATCCAAATTCAAGACTCAACTCTAAAGTCTCATTGTTTCACATCGTACTGGCTACTTTGGCAGGAAGTGGACTTCTGTGGCATGTCTCCTGGGGAATTACTGAAATGTCCCGCCTTCATTGACTAGTGCGACCTGTAATCATAATCTTCAGGCAGTAGTGTATAGCATTTCTTTCCTTTGAACTTGGCCGACTAGTATCAGAAACCTCTGCACAGCAGCCAGTCGGTACACTTGGAAGTCGGGAAGAACAGAGGCACGTCTGGTGAGCCCCTGGAGACGGGGGGCCTGCCAGGGGAGTGAGCGGAGGGGACTGGCCTCCTCCTGTCCCCCCAGGCTGCTCAGCACCCAGAAACAGCTGGCACCGTCCTGCGAGGCTAAACCGCTGCTCTGGTGGGAGCCCCGCAGCCCGGGCCTGACATCCAAGCTCCAGGCCTTGAACACCGGGTTGCCCGGCATTAGACACTCCCCGCTTGCCTGTGCCTGCCCTGCGCCCAGGTCTCGGGGTTTTCTGTTTACGTCTTCCTGATGGCTTTCTGAGGGCGCGTCGGGGCAGAGTTAAGTTCTTCCAGGTTCAGTTCTTGACCCTCCTAGTTCTCTGGGACTCCGTCCACGTTGATAGTTCCTACTGAATCCAGGTCAGACCATCCCGAAAAACTAGGGCGTGAACCAAGGAAAAAGGCAGACATGGGGTAGAGGGGTCCCGCACAGGAGGGAGGGTAAGGGAGCCCTCGGGGAGGGCGGTTTTGCCCCAGACCAGGCAGGCCGGCAGCCAGTCCAGGCCTAAGCAGTGACTCAGAAAAAAGACATGTTAAGGGTTATAGTCACATGACAATCAACCGCCCTCCTACAGTCTTTGAACATGGAAACAGAATGTCCAAGGTGTGCCTGGCCCACTTATCTGTACTTGGCTGCTTCTGTCGGTTCACTGAAGAAGCCCACACCTCGCTTCCCGGAGCACCTGGGGACACCGATTCCACCTCAGACGTGGCTGCTTTTTCGGCCTCCGGCAGCTGGGCTGAGTCTGGAGGCACGCAGTCCACGTTCTCTTTGGCCGCATTTCTGCCGGCCAGGGTGCACCTCACTCCAGTGGCCCTGCCACGTACCCTCAGAGGGGCCCCAGGGAGCCCTTAGGGGACTGAAACCAGACCCTGCCCTGGCTGCCTCAGGGCCCGTGCGTCTCCAGGGGACATTGTCGCCGTTGCCCTACAGT